AGAGGGGTCTGCCAGGGAGACCGCAACCGGCCGACTGAGCGGCGTGAGAGTGGTGCGGTCTCGAAAGAAGGAGCGGGAAGCACCCGAATCAAGGGTGAAAGTGTGCGACGCCGGAGCAGACGTGGTACCTGAGAGAGCAGACTCACCAGCACCTGGAGCAGCAGACTCACTAGCACCTGGAGCAGCAGACTCACTGGCACCTAGAGCAGCAGCTGCACCGCCCGGGTCGGGCGGAACACTCAGGGAACAGTCACCGGCATCACTAGTAGACAATGCATACATGGCAGTGAGAATAGCATCAAAGTCAAGAGCATAGACATCTACCCTCTGCCGTAGCAGCTCCACCCAGTCGGGGAGCTCAGCCGCGTCGCCAAACTCTGTACGCCAGGCGTCGCTCAGACTGGCGAAGCAGCGGGACTCTGTGTGACCAAACGTCCCGCAAGGCTGGCCAGTCCGAGCACCAGTGCGAATGACGTACGGGCAGCGAGCAGAACCCTGTGACCCCCCCCCGCTGAAAGTACCACTCATGAAGCTGCGGGGGCGAAGGGACCGCGCGCACACGACGCTGCAGCTGCACCTGGCCACTACAAGAAGCGGTGGTGACTCGAGCAGGGGTGTCAGCAAATCCCAGTCTTGCTCGTGTTCGTTTAGCATAAATGGGTTGTTGTAGCTGGTGAATTGGACTTCTTGTCCAGGCTGAGGAGGAGGGACGTGTCGAAAGTGTCTTCGATAGGTTCATCGAGTGCGGGGGTGATCGCGCATTGCCATGTTGCCAAGTCCATGATAAATGTTGTTATTGTTGTTGTGCGGCGCCTCTCTGCATCAGACTGAGGTGATTGGCGTGGGGCAGACCGATGGTCTGAAGACGGGATGAGAAGTAAGATGCTATATGCCATATGCGATTCGTTGTACGGTAGTACTGAGCTTTTGCTTCGTCAGTGCCGCCAACTGGGCCGACGTAGCTTTTGTCGAAGTTGCACAATAATTGCGCGCTTTGGGGAAGTAATTCAAACTTGAAGCCCCACGTGTTAAAGTCTCGCCCGTTGAAGGTGGTGCTTGCGCGAATCTTGGAAATAGCCAGAAACTTGTTCCGGGCTGTGAGCATGGCTTCGTCATTTGGACGGAAAGTGGTTGGAGTAGAAGATTTCGATCCTGGGTCGAAAGTGGTTGGGCCCGGTTCTTTGTTTGGAGTGGCCGGTTGGTCGGGTTGCTGCGGGGTTCCCATGTTACCTCTCTTCAATTGTTGATTTTCTGATTCCAAAGTGGTGATACGGTGGATCAGTTGCTCTAGGAGCGCATTGCTCATGGTGGTGTTGTCCGCGGAGTTCGTGGAAGGGTTGGCAGTGGCTTCACCACTGGGAGCCGCTTGCCTGCCATATCCTCCAGCCATGTTTCGGCGAGAGTGCGTACCGGACGCCACCTTGGTTTCGAATTTGAATCAAAGGTGGTAGAATTCAGCGTGGCTCTCATACCATGTTACTATCTGAAATGACTTTATAGGATCGTCTCATGTTGATCGCCCGTAGCGTAGCATAGGAAGGTTTGCTAGTGATGTCGGGTATAGACCCCGTCGAAAGGAGGGGATTGAATATCGACAAAAGTGACTAATACAATGCGGTACATGGCTTTATATAGAGAATACAGTGGAATACGAAATGTCATAGCTAGCCATGTACCATGAGGGGGTACATTCCCCTTAGGGCTAATCTAAATATGGAAAACCATGTCGAAATAGCTAGGCAAAAGATAGAAACAGGAAAGAGGGTTTTCACTAGCATGCAGTTGAGTACATATAGCAAACCCTAATTCAGGCTGTACTCGCTATAGAGTACCCCACTGCAGGCTACACAAACATCACATTCTGACACACCCCCATAGTCAAAGTGGGGTACAATCAACACAACAAGCAGGCAGAGCAGTAGGTTCACAAATACAAGCAAAGCTAGAGGCTATCACAGAGGGCAAGTGAGGAGGAGGAGAAACTGCGGGGGCGAGAAGATGGGAGGCGACGGCTGAAGCTGCAGACACACGGGCAACAGGAGTGCGCAGCACTGTCGCTACCAGGCTAAACCCGGACTACACGGCGACAGGCGCAGCTGGCTCGCTGTGCTCCCAGGAGTGCTCACACTGTGGCTACCAGGCGCAGAGCCCCTGATTACACGGCCACAGGGGGTCGTGGCTCTCTGGACTTCAGGCGCTGCGGACGACAAGACGACTGCCTCCATTCAACTTTCCACAGCTGTCCCACACCACTTTCACACACCCCCTGCTGCACCTCTAGCACTGCTCACACGCCACCCCCCTCGTACCACTCCGACGGCTCCAACACATCCACCCCCCTCATCGGCTGCTGGAGCAGTGGGAGACAGAGGAGGAGGAGGAGCAGGGGACGGCTCACACACCCGGCACCCCCATACTCTCCACCCCCAAACCCTAACACAGGAGCGCGGTCAGAAGCTCGGGGGACGGCGTGCGGCACTGGGGCAGACTGTACGGGCCGCGCACGGGCCTGGCGCAGGCCGGACGAACCGCGCGCGGACTGCCCGGGCCGCGCGCGGGCTGCCCGGGCCGCGCGCGGGCTGTACGGGCCGCGCGCGGGCCTGGCGCAGCCCGTACGGGCCGCGCGCGGGCCTGGCGCAGGTCGCGCGGGCCGCGTCGGGCGACGGGGGGCGACGCGCGGGTCCCCGGGGGCTCCGCGACGGGCGACGGGGGGCGACGCGCGGGTCGACGGGGCAGAAAACCGCCGCGCGCCCCGAGCGCGCAGCGGGAAGAAAAATCGCCGCGCGTCCTGAGCGCGCGGCAGGCAGGAAACATCGCACGCAGGACAGCAGCGGAAGCATCGGATGGAACCACCCACAGGATCGACCCTGGAGGGTCGACCTGCTCCGATAGCATGTCGAAATAGCTAGGCAAACGATAGAAACAGGAAAGAGGGTTTTCACTAGCATGAAGTTGAGTTCATATAGCAAACCCTATTTCAGGTTGTACTCGCTATAGAGTACCCCACATTCAGCCATGTCGGCTTTCGAAAGCCCTTGGCGTACGCGCAGTGCCTCGCCGACTTCATCGCGGCCGGCCATCATTCTGATAACTAGCCCGAGACCGCCAGCACCACCAGCGCCTCCCACACCTCCTGCCCCGATTGCTCCACCAGCGCCGCCTGCGCCGCCCATTTATCCCCCGGGTTTCGTTTCCCACCAGGACCGACCTCTCTTCGAGCCCCCTGACGAAGAGGCCTTTCCCGCACCAATAGACGTCAGCGAAAATCGCGACGAGACCGATGAGGCGGGGGACGGTGTTGGCGACTTCCCCATCCCCACCTTTCCCGAAGACCTGGTCCACGATGAAGCTGGTCCCAAATCAACGAGGGACGCTGCGCCTACGAGTCCGCGTTTCTCGCAAGAGTACACACCATTGCACGGCGCGCACCATGGGTGAATAGTGGTAGTGGCTTTTGCGGATGAAGGACGAGAACCTGTCAATTTGTCACACCTCCCGTCTTGCAGGGGTTTAGCCAATCAGCGTCCGCCGTTAGCTGAAGATCGCGAAAAGGTAGCACCGTGCAGGCGTCGGCTGAAGGGTGGCGGTCGCGTGCGAAATATCCCGACATGGAGCATGCTGTTTACAAGAAGCTTCTGAACTTCCGCGGGCGGGGGTTAGCGTCCCAATCAAGCCCGTCAAGCAGTGGAGCAGGACATTCATGAAGCACCACCACCCGGATGTCGCTTGGATGGCCTCCCCGCGCTGGACGTTTCGCTTCCGTGTACGGTGGGGCCTCGCCATGCGTGTGAAGACGAAGATCGGGCAGCGCCTCGCGAAGGGTATGTATACCTTGCCACGAGATACATTTTCAATCCGTGTTCGTGTATAAGCCACATCCCGCTGTTTACCTGGTTGACTCACTTAGGTTACCATGATATTTTATGCAGACTGCAAGCCCAACTGCGAGTCATTCTAAGAGTTCGTATGGCGGAACGTCATCAAGTGGGGGATCGACACGTGGAACGTCATAAACGCGGACCAGACCCCTGTGTTCTTGGAGATGCCGTGCGACCGGACTCTGCATCACCGCGGCGAGAAGTCTGTGCACGTACGCAGTGCGGGCTACGAGAAGCAACGGGTGACCGTGATGCTGGGTGTCACGGTGGACGGACGCAAGCTCCCAGCGATGGTCATCTTCAAGCGCAAGACCATCCCTAAGATCCGCATGCCGCCAGGTAATTATTGTAGTGGTTCCGAAGCCGTGGTATGTGATACTTAAGTACGTTTGACAAACTCCTCGTGCACTTGCGTGTTATTGTGTGCAGGTGCCATCATCCGTGCTCATGAGAAGGGGTGGATGGACAACGTTCTTCTCCCCTTCATCAAGCCGCCTCGTGGCATCCGTCGGTCCAAGACCCTCCTGGTCTTGAACTTCTACCGAGGACACATCACGGACGGCATTCTTCCGAAGCTCAGGTGGCACCGTGTGATCCCCGCCATCATCCCGAGGGGGGTGCACGCCCCTGCTGCAACCCCTTGACGTGAGCACGTTCATTCAAGGCGGGACTGCGCACGTTCTACAACGATTGGTTCGCCGACGAAGGGGTGAACAGCTTCACCCTTGCGGTGCGGCTACCGTAAGGTTCTTACCGTAACATTGTAAGAGCACACGTTGACACAATAAACTTACTCACTCTAATCTGTGTGCGTCGAGCGCCCTTGCAGGGAACCTGAGGAAGCCCACCGCTGAGACGGTGTTGAAGTGGATCGCTCATGCCTGGAGTGACGTGCCGGAGCACATCATTGTTAAGGCGTTCCTGACCACCGGCATCAGCAACGCCGTTGACGGCAGCCAGGATCACCTCGTCCTGGCGCACATGCGGGGTGCTGGCCAGGTCGAGGAGGGAGAGGACGTCCACGCCTCCCCCTTGGTGGAGGAGTGGGTCAACCCCCTCTACACCACGACTGCTGACGACGAGGAAGCTGCCCGGGAGGCGGACGACGAGAACTGTGGGGATATGCCCGCGGGGGAGGAGGAGGAGGAGGAGGAGGAGGAGGAGGAGGAGGAGGAGGAGGAGGAGGAGGAGGAGGAGGAGGAGGAGGAGGAGGAGGCGGAGGAGGAGGAGGAGGAGGAGGAGAAGGAGGCGGCGGAGGCGGAGGCGGCGGAGGCGGAGGAGGATGAGGAGATCAAGGGGGAGGCAGAGTGGGGAGACGTGGAGGAGGACGAGGTGGAGTAAGTAAAAGGGGGATGCAAGAGGAAGTTTAGCATTGCCGTACCGTAGATATGTATGACTGTGTTTCTATGAAGTACTGTAGAATTGACTCGTTCCATGCCTTAACATTGTGTCTAGTGTAATTCCAATTGCAGTCTTAGTTCTAAACAGTTGGGCAATATATTCTTGAATAGAATCCCCTTCCCTCGGGGAAGGGGGAAGGGGGGGGGGGGGGGTCTTATAATGATTAAATGCACAGGGGGGGTCCTCTCACATATGCTACATATTAAGAGTCTCAGTACCGTTCAAAAGTCTCGAGGGTCTTTTTTTCGGGAGGGTCCTATATCCGAGAGACTGCGGTACTTCGTTACTGTAGGAATATATAACAATTCCATGTTGTAACAGGTAAGAAGCGGAGGTCGAGCTCGACTAGTAATTATTACGCACAAAAAAATAATCAAAACTATACTGATACGTGTAATATGGCTAGGAAAGGGAGTGTACCAATCAGAGTTCATGACTTACCATCACTACATAACCCAACATGATGGTATGTCTTTGTTGTATTGATATTTACATTCCCTGTGACAAGGTCCAACTAAGTCTTCCACTATTTTCACCCTATTATTCTTTATCCATCTAGTTGATTCCTCAGTTCAGCACACGTTTTTCTCATCAACTCAGACCTCCAAAATAGAATTACGTTTATGTTTTGAAACGTTTTTAGGAAGATAAGGCTCTGAGTTAGTTAGACGTCGCCGTATCAAAATCGAAGCTCTCTCTCGCGGTACCTTATCAGCTGCTTAGCGGGAGAGATGTCGTGTCAGTGGAGCTTTGGGCGTCCCACAAACCGCTTCGGCCTGGGCGGCTCGTAAGACCAAGCAAATCTCAGGTCCACTGGTCTTCAAGTCTCCCAGAGCTAGGCCAGTGGCCCGGTTGCACAGAGAAACCGCTGCCTGAGCCAAGCATCAGTTGTGGCCGAACGTATCTGCCAAACCTGTAGCCTGGCTTGAACGGGGGGTCATACCAGATTGCTCGTAGGCTTTGTAGCTCGGTTTTCCCGAACGAAGGCGTCTGGTATGGTTAAGTATGTTGTTTTTTACGCCCACAAACGCCCCATGGCATGGGCCTAACCAAATTCCAGGCCCGAACCACTTAGGGTAACCAGCCACAGCCTCGTGCCCTGCCCGATGAGTCTCACCACCACCACCTGCGTTCCGCTAGGTAGCCACCAACCACCAGCCACAGCCCTCCGAACCGAGCCAGCTTATGACCACCATACGTATGTGGATGTCAGACCAAACGTCACGTTTTCTCGTTGCCCCGCCTGCCCAGAAGGCCGGAAATCGTCAGATGGGAACGGGTAGTCGGTAGCATTGCAGGTCCACGAGCACAGGCATCGGGAATTTGCTGGGTCAAATCATCCCACCCCACGCCACTCCCCTCGATCTTGACCCCTCGTTTTTGACGATCAAAATCTTCACCGCACATAAACGCACCGAATCAATTTTCACCTTCTCTAAACTCCCTTTCTCCCTGCACAGCCTCTACCACACAAAAACATGTCAACCCTTTCCAATCCAACCAGGCTTCGGGCAGAATAGTGCTCGCTGTTAGCTTGCCTCTGATTCATTGCCTCGAAAGGAAGGTCCCGCCAGGTCACAGGGTGAAGTTGCTCGAATATGCAGTGTAGAGTAGTGGCCTAGAAACGCCATAGCCAGCGGCTCGGGAATCGTTGCATTTACGACTTGTCCGTCGCTCGCGTCGTGGCTCTCTAGCCTGTCTCGGTCAACTTTTCACAGAATTCGACCAGGCTGCAAGCAAAGCTTTACCACAGCAGTAGTTGTTTGATTAAGATATTTGGATCGTAGAGAAAGCCTTGTATCAGAAGCACACAAGTAGCAGCAGTAGCAGCAGGAGAGCAGCAGCACATGGCAGCAGCGTCGAACTCAGCAGGATGCTGACCCCTGCTGGTTACAGGTTTAGTCCCGGCCTGCCTTGCGTAAGCTCGTCTCACCAGCGGCCAAGACTAAGAGCTGTCAGATGGAGTCACATACAAGCTTGTTCTCTTCTCCTTTCCGTAGCAATCCTAGCCGTTCATCCCGCCAGGATTCCAGGAACATCGACGGTGCTCTCTTTTCAGTCGCATTCGGAGCGAATTTTAGCTAATACTGGGACGAGTCTGCCTTCTCAAGCAGGCAAGTGTCAGAGCCGCGTGTGCTTGATGCTTGGTGCTTGGTTACAAAACAGCTTGTTTTCGTTGGAAGTCCATAAGTTAGTTAGATTCATTCGGTCGGCGAAGGGTAATTGCACTCCATAGTTTTGCCTGATTCACATTCTGAAGCGGTTTACCGAGGACACGACACGACCAAGCATGCCGTAGATTCCAACGAGTGGTTCCGTTTAGGGTTGCGTAGACAAGCTCAGGGTTCCGTTTAGGGTTTCGTGCGAGTAAGCAGAATCCTGCGAGTTTAGTGTTACCACTCAGTTCTACTGCAGCCTTCGTCTAGCAGCTGGCTCTGGCGTGGTGTTTTTTCGCAGACATTGAGTTCGACCTGCTGCAGGTCTCGTGGTGGCACTGATTATTTCAAGACCGTAACGGAATCATCCCGCTTGGGTTGCTTAGGTCCCGCAGCGGTAGATAGATACTACGGGGGACCGCTGCTGATTATTTGTGTAGATTCCCGCTGTTGTCAGGCGAGTGGTAGTCACTTTTCCAGGAGTGGGATACAGCAACGGTTCTGTAAGCGTGGTGAGGATAATCTTGGAGCCTCCGTTGGCAGATACTAGCTGTGGTGCGGATTAGGGTTCGAACAGGAGGGTAAATGACCGAGCCGCATTCGACGCTGTCGTTATTCGAGCCGTATTCTTGTTTAAGCCGAGTAAGGTACACTGAGCGCAATCGGCGTTCTGCTTATTGATTGATTTGGGACGGTTGTGCATGGTAGCGTGCTCACTGGCAAAAGCGACGATGACTGTGTACCGTGTTAGGGTTTCGATGTACAGCAGTTGCTTGCGACTACACATGGATGCTTGAGGCTCCCCAAGAACGAGGACCGAATTAGGGTTACGATGTGTAGCAATGGCTTGTGAGTCGTTCGTGACCGTACATCCATTTTCTCCATTTGGTAGGCGCCTCATGAAGCGAGGATGTCCATGTACCGAATTAGGGTTTCGACGTACAGCACCTGCTCGAGGCCGTGTAGCTATAGCCTGACCTGACCATGTACCATTTTAGGGTTTCGATGGTTCGCAGTTGCGAGAGTGGTGGACGGTTAGGCGAGCATTGATTCCTAGGAGAAAAATGGGAGGCTAGACGAACAGAGAACAGCTAGGCGAGCAGTGGACGGTTGGGCGAGCATTGGCTGCTAGGCGAAAATGGGAGGCTAGACGAACAGAGAACAGCTAGGCGAGCAGTGGACGGTTTGGCGAGTCACCAAAGGCACCGGGTCCCAGTGAGGCAATCTCTTGAAAGCTTGTGCGAGCTTATGATGTATCCTATGTATGGGGTGGTGGAGTACAGTATAGCCCATGTTACTGTACACTAGTCATATTGACGCATACTAATATGCTACTGGTGCCCCCCTTTCTCTCCCTCATCCTGCAGGCTTCGTTAGTATCAACTGCGGATACGCAGGCCCCCCGTTTGTGGACAAACTCACCGGAATAAGGTGGCATTCAGATCAATACTTCAGCACAGGAGTGCCCGGCACTGCTCCCCCTCCCAAGGGCAAGCAGTGGGGGCCGTATGACGTGGAAGCGACCATGCGAGTCTTTACAGAGTACCCCGTTAATTGTTATAACATCCCGGTGGCCAAGCCTGGGAGGTATCTGCTGCGGCTGGTGATGTACTATGGGAATTACGACAAGGCCAAGAGTCCACCCGCGTTCAACGTCTCCTTTGGGATCTCATTCGCGTGAGTGTGTGATGGTGCTGCCACCCCCTTTGTTTGCCAAGATTTGATCCTGTTTTGGCTTCAATTCACACCCTCTGGATTCTTCAAGTGCCTCGTCGGGCGTTGACCCACCCTGTGCTTCTCATTCATGCGGCACATGCTTCGACTGATTTATGATGGTTGGAACTGGCTATGCTGCTGTGTGCTGTGTGCTGTGTGCTGTGTGCTGTGTGCAGAGCGACGGTGGTGCTGGCTCTAAAGGAGAGGGTGGTCTCAGAAATCATCGGCCAAGTTGACTCCACAGAGCTCGAGGTATGTGGTGGGTGGAATGGAATTGAAGGGATGGGAAGGAAAGGACAGAGCTTGCGGTGTGGTCTGAATCAACTGAAGACCCACCTGGCTGGCTCTGAAGGAGAGGGTGGTCTCAGAAATCATCGGCCAAGTTGACTCCACAGGGCTCGAGGTATGTGGTGGGTGGAAGGAGTGAAAACGAGAAGGGTGAGGTGAGCAAATTTCGCGGTTCGGTTTGAGTCGACGGAAGAATCGCTTGGCTCTGAAGGAGAAGGTATTCTTGTATCATTGGCCAAGTTACCTCGTGCAAGCCCCTGGTGAACGCGTTGGAGCTGAATCCGTTAGTCCTTAGCAGGAGACTCTTGAATCGCTTGACTTGCTCTCACACCTTTCTTGTCGTCCCCCTCTGCCCCCTCTTCCCCCCCACCAGGTGTGCTGCGTGAGCATCTACGGCAAGCCGCTGGTGAACGCGTTGGAGCTGCCCGACCTCTCGGGCGTCATGCTGCTCTGGTGGCGCCTCAATCCCGCACACCCACTCATCTACTCTGCTGGCCCTTCCCGTCCGTTTCTCCCCCCTGCAGCTATTCTGCATTGGCTCTCCTGAAATAGGCTGAGGAGTCGAGAGTTGACTTGTGGTTAGTCACTCACTCCTCCTTCCCACTTTCCTCTCCCACCAGGTGTGCTTTGTGATAATCTACAACAAGCCCCTGGTGAACGTGTTGGAGCTGAGGCCGCTGGGCACTCAGCCCCCGTGCTCTTCTTACCTTCTGGGCTCTCCGCTCTTCCCTTACCCTCTCCCCCATCCCAGGTGTGCTTCGTGAGCATCTACGGCAAGCCCCTGGTGAACGCGCTGGAGCTGAGGCCACTGCCGCCAGAGTCGTACGTGTCGCTGCCCGACCCCTCGGGCGTCATGCTGCTCTGGTGGCGCCTCTTCTGCGCCAACGACTCGCTCACCAACCGCAGTCTTCGGTGAGTGAGGAAAGTAGACATTTTCAGAGGAGTGAGGGCACGCTGCTGTGCTGTGCTATGCTGTGCTGTGCTGCTGCTTCCCCCTAGATGCTGGCTTTGACTTGAGGCGTCATACTGCTCTGCTCTGGTGGCGCCTCTTCTGTGCCAACGGCTCGCTCACCAACCGCAGTCTGCGGTGAGTGAGGCTATGCTGTGCTGTGCTGTGCGGTGCGATGCTGTGTGGTGCGATGTGGTGCTGTGCGCACCAATTGCTCTGGTGGCGCCTCTTCTGAGCCAACGACTCGCGCACCAACCCTCTCCACCTCTTTCCACCCCTCTCCACCCCTGCAGCTACCCCTACGACCCATTGGATCGCATCTGGGATGCAGATGGCGTGATGGCCACTAGCGGGGGCGCTGCCTCGTCCACCCTCATGTTCGACTACTCTTTCGACTCCTACGTTTTCGGCACGCCGATTAATGTCAAGCCGGCCATAGGGGCTAGAGCTGTGGCAGCAGCTACTTCTGCTGCGTTTGGCACTGGGGATTCGGGTGAAACGGTGGGGGGAGAGAGTGCGTCGGAAGAAGCAGGGGAGGCAGCGGGAGCGGAGGCAGCAGCAACAGCAACAGCGGCGGCAGCAGCAGCGGCGGGAGCAGGAACAGCAGCAGCAGCAGCAGCAGCAGCAGTGGTTGGTGAAGCAGGCGGGTCACCAGCAGAAGAAGCAGCAGAAGCAGTAGCAGAAGAAGCAGCAGAAGCAGCAGAGCAAGCAATCACGGCGAACGGCACAGCCAATGCCGTTCCTCCCTTCCTACAGCTCACAGCACGAACAGTACCACAGGCACCCACAGTAACCATGGGCAGCAGCAGTGGGCTGGAGTACCAGTTTCAGTTCCTCGAGAGCCCTGCGAATTTCCAGCTGATTATGTACTTTGCGAACGTGGAGGGGCGGGTGAAGCGGGCGGGGGACATGGTGTTTGATATCCTGTTAAATGAGCAGGTGGTGGTTGCGAGATTTGATCTGTTTCTGCAGCTGCAAGGGGTGAGGGCGGTACGGGCTGGGACAAGAGGCATAGGTGCAAGTGGGGTGAGTGGAAGTGGCGTGGGGGGAAGTGCTGCTGTTGAGAGTGGCGGTGGCGATGTGACTGCTCATGTTGCTGCTGTAGGCCTTACTGCTACTCCTGCCGGTGTGACACCCACTGCATCGCCTCTTCCTCCACCCGCTGCCACCGTTCCCTCCACTCCTCCGCCTCCCCCCCTTTTCCCTGCTGCTCCTGCACCCGCTTCTGCTGCTTCTAGGACCAGCAGCAGCAGCAGCAGCAGCAGCAGCGCCACTGATAGTAGCCTGTACGCGCAGCAGGTGGTGATGGTGGTTGTGAATTTCACGAGTGTGGATCTCTACACGCCCGCCGTCCTGCTGCTGAGGCCAGCTGCTAGCAGCCGCCTCCCACCTGCCATCAGCGGCATCGAGATGTACGAGGTGTTCCCTGCTGCCAAGCCAACGCCCCCTGCTGAAGGTGCGTTCACCACCACCCCGAATGAACACCTCTATTACAGTGAACCCACCAGCCGCCTGCCGCCAGCAATGAGTGGAATCGAGATGTACGAGGTGTTCCCTGCTGCCAAGTCAACACCTGCTGCTGAAGGTGAGTTCTGTGTAAAATTCAGGAGTGTGTTTTAAATAACATCTGCCCATCCCCCAGACTCCCTCGTTTCTCCCCTTTAACCCCCAGACTCCTCCCCTCAGTCTCCCCATCAACCCCAGTTTCCGCCCTGAGTTTTTCTCCCTTCCCTTCCCCTCTCCTCCCCATCCCTCACCCTCTTTCTCCCCTTCCCTCTTCCCCCCCCTCTCAGCCTTGGCGCTGGGTGGTTCCCAGAGGCTGCTAGGGGTTCCGGCGTGGCAGGGGTGGGATATGTGCGACCCATTAGATGACCCTCAATTCCCTTTTCCGTACTCCCCTCATCCTCATCCCCTCACCTTGCTCTCCTCCCTATCCAACCCTACTTCTCCCCTCCCTCCCCGGTTCTCCTTCTTCCCCTCCCAGTTGCCGCCCCGGTTCCAGACGCTACTGGGGGTGCCAGCGTCTCTGGCCGGGTGGCAGGGGTTGGACCCTTGTAACCCCATCAAGTGATTCCCATGCCCCTTTCCCCCCTTCCCCCCTCCCTTCACTCCCTCCCAGTTGCTGCCCTGCGTGATTTCCAGAGTTTGCTGGGGGCGCCAGCGTCACTGGCGGGATGGCAGGGGGCGGACCCCTGTAACCTCATCAACTGATCCTCATGCCCCTTTTCCCCCTCCCCCCTCCCTTCACTCCCTCCCAGTTGCTGCCCTGCGTGATTTCCAGAGTTTGCTGGGGCGCCAGCGTCACTGGCGGGATGGCAGGGGGCGGACCCCTGTAACCTCATCAACTGATCCTCATGCCCCTTTTCCCCCTCCCCCCTCCCTTCACTCCCTCCCAGTTGCTGCCCTGCGTGATTTCCAGAGTTTGCTGGGGCGCCAGCGTCACTGGCCGGGTGGCAGGGAGCGGATCCATGTAAACCCATCAAGTGATCCCCATGCCCCTTCCCCCCCTCCCCCCCTCCCTCCACCACCTCTCAGTCGCTGCCTTGCTTGATTTCCAGAGGCTACTGGGGGAGCCAGTGTCACTGGCGGGATGGCAGGGGTTGGACCCCTGCAACCCCATCAAGTGATCCTCATGCCCCTTCCCCCCCTTCCCCCCCTCCCCCCCTCCCTTCACCCCCTCCCAGTTGCTGCCCTGCGTGATTTTCAAAGTTTGCTGGGGGCGCCAGCGTCACTGGCAGGGTGGCAGGGGGCGGATCCCTGCAACCCCATCAAGTGGGCGGGCATTCAGTGCATTCAGGCGCAGGGGGACAGCGCATCACACGTCAGCGGCATGTGAGTGGGGGGAATGGGGGTGGGTGGGGGAGGAATGGGGTGAGCGAGTGTTATTGGATCCATGCAACCCCATCAAGTGGGCGGGCATTCAGTGCATACAGGCGCAGGGGGACAGCGAGTCACATGTCAGCGGCATGTGAGTGGGTGGAATTGCGGGCATGAGTAAGAGGGTGCAAGGCACGTTAGATCTATGGCAGGGGGCGGACCCCTGCAATCCTATCAAGTGGGCGGGCATTCAGTGCATACAGGCACAGGGGGACAGCGCATCACACGTCAGCGGCATGTGAGTGGGTGGGAGGGAAAATGAGGGAGGAGGGGCAGCACGTTTTTGTACGGGGAACTACAGTCTTTACCCCCCCATCCCTTCCTCTCTGCTTGCTGCACCCACAGTCTCTCCTCTCCTTCTCCCCTTCCCTACCTTTCCCTCCCAACCCCAGCAGCTGTTTGGGAAACTACAGTCCCCACAACCCCATCTCCCCATTACTGGCTAACATCTCCCATCCCTTCCTCCCTGCTTGCTGCACCCACAGTCTCTCCTCTCCTTCTCCCCGTTCCTCCCTACCCCTCCCAACCCCAGCTGCTTTTTCTGAAACTACAGCCCCCACGGCCCCATCTCCCCATTGCTGGCTAACATCTCCCATCCCCTCCTCTCTGCGTGCTGCATCCGCAATTCTTTCTCTCTCTGCCCCTCTCACTTCTCCCCCCTTCCTCCACACCAGCTACCTGGACAACTACAGTCTCCACGGCCCCATCTCCCCGTTGCTGGCGAACATCTCGCATCCCTTCCTCCCTGCTTGCTCACCAAAGATTCTCCTTTCCCCCCCACCCCCACCCACCAGCTACCTGGGCAACTACAGTCTCCACGGCCCCATCTCCCCACTGCTGGCTAACATCTCCTTCCTCCAACACCTGTGAGTCGCTCAGGCTTGACTTGTCGCTTCGGCTTCTCAGTCTCGCCCCTGCAACGCCCACTAGCTTGCCTTGTCTTCATTCACTCCTCTCGCCCATCTCCCCACTGCTGGCTAATATCTCCTTCCTCCAACACCTTTGAGTCGCTCACGCTTCTGACTCTCCCCCTTCTGACTCTCGCCCTTCTGACTCTCGCCCTTCTGACTCTCGCCCTTCTGACTCTCCCCCTTCTGACTCTCCCCCTTCTGACTCTCCCCCTTCTGACTCTCGCCCTTCTGACTCTCGCCCTTCTGACTCTCCCCCTTCTGACTCTCGCCCTTCTGACTCTCGCCCTTCTGACTCTCGTCCCTCCATCGCTGGCTTGCTTGTCTCTGCTACTTATACGTCGGCTCCTTTCCTTCCTCCCTACTTTTTGTTTCTGGAGTGTTGAGTCCTCTCCTCCTCCCTTCCCCATATGGCCCCAATCCCCTTACCCCCCTCAGCTGGGTCAAGGATAACGAGCCGGTGAAAGAGATCCCTTCTCTTGCGTGAATTGTTCCCCCCCCTCCTCCTCTCCTCTTTGTCAATTGGCTGGCCCCAATCCCTCTTCCTACCTTCAGCTGGGTGAATGACAACGAGTTGGTGAAACAGATTCCCAGCTCCCTTAAAGTGCTGCGTAAATCCTCTCACACCCACATCTCCCTTTTGCCTCTTGGCTTGACTGACCCCAATCCCTCTTCCTCCCCCCAGCTGGGTGAATGACAACGAGTTGGTGAAACAGATTCCCAGCTCCCTTGGCGATCCCGCGAGCGATAGTTTGAAAATCTAAAAAATCTCTCCCACTCACCCCCACCCACCACCCCCCCTTCCCCCCCAGCTGGGTGAATGACAATGAGTTGGTGAAAGAGATTCCCAGCTCCCTTGGCGATCTCGGGGATCTCTCCACACTGTGAGTGCTCTGCCTGTTCTGCCAGTTTAGCGTTTCTTGCACTCCCTCACTCCCTCGAGCTGTGTTTTGGGTCGACTCAAAAGGCAGAATGAGATTCCCAGCTCCCTTGGCGATCTTGGGGATCTGTCCACACTGTGAGTGGTCTGTGCTGCCAGTTAGTTATTTCTTGCACTCCCTCACTCACTCCCTTGCTCCTCCCTGCACACGGCTCCCTCACTCTCTCACCCTCACTCCCTCACTCCCACACCCCCCACTTATTTCTCTCGCTCCTTCGCCCGTCCGTCCCACATCTCCCATCTATCTCCACCACCCCCTCTGCTTCACCTTACCTCACTCACCAACCTCATTCCCCTCGCTGTCACCTTGCCTCTCATGCCCCCCACCCGAATACCCCCAACCCTACTCCTTCCCCTCTTCCTCGCAGTCTACTGCAGAACAACCATCTAACGGGGCAGGTGCCCCAGTCCCTCACCAACCTCACCAATCTGGTGCAGCTGTGAGTCGTGTGCAATCTCACCACCACTGCCACCGCCAGTGCACGTTGTGTTTGCAAGTCATTTGCACTGCACTCATCCATCTCTTGCTTTCTCTGCAGCCGTCACTCACTCCCCATCCCAGCTCCCCTCTGTGTTTCCCTTCTCTCCTCTGATGCACATGCTGCAGCAACGTGGCGAACAACAGCCTCACGGGAGTGTTCCCCTCTCTCTTCCTTACCACCTTGCCCTTTTCCCCGTTTCCTATTCCCCTCTCTCCTCTGATGCACATGCTGCAGCAACGTGGCGAACAACAGCCTCACGGGAGTGTTCCCCTCTCTCTTCCTTACCACCTTGCCCTTTTCCCCGTTTCCTATTCCCCTCTCTCCTCTGATGCACATGCTGCAGCAACGTGGCGAACAACAGCCTCACGGGAGTGTTCCCCTTCAACATGACCACGCAGTTCATCCAAGTCGTGTAAGTGGTGCAGTGCAGGGGGGGCGGCACAGGGGCAGGGTACGGAGAGGACACAGGTTCTATTTTCGGGTCCTGTTCATCACCTGTGTTCCCATTCAACATGACCACCCAGTCCAAGTCGTGTAAGTGGAGCAGTGCACAGCAGGCGCAGGGGCACAGGGGTACAGGTGTGCGGTCCGCTGTTCTTCAGCTGTTTGAGTCGTGATTCTGCCCTCTGCCTTGGACATCACACACAGATTGTCAAATCCCTTGCTTCCCATTCTTCCCCCCGTCTCTCCCCTTCCAACTCTCCCCTGTGTACCCCATCCCCCCCTTTCCCGCTTGTCTTCCCCATCCCTTCCCCCAGTGCCACGGGCAACGACCTCTGCTCCTCTCAGGGCCTTCACAATCTCGCCAACTGCAGAATTCTTCCCCCTAATGCCCTCCTTGCCCCTTACTCTCCCTTGTCTTCCTCCCTGTTTCCCCCCCTCCCCCAGTGCCACGGGCAACGACCTCTGCCCGCCCCAGGGCCTCTACGATCTCCCCTACTGGAATCCCGCTCCCCCTAATTTCCTCACTCCTCTTGCTCCCCCCGTCTTCCTCGTTGTCTCCTCCCTTCCCCCAGTGCCACGGGCAACGACCTCTGCTCTCCCCAGGGCCTATACGATCTCCCCAACTGCGGAGCCCTCCCCCCTCCGCCCCCTTCTCCCCCCTCCCCCTCCGCTCCCCCACCCACACCGTCCCCCATCTCCCCCGCTCCCCCTTCCGAGCCCTCCGTTCCTCCCTCTCCGACTGCTGACTCGAGTGCTACTGGGAGAAACGTGCTGGTAGGATCCGTGGTCGGATCTCTATTAGTTGCTGCCATTGCTTCTTCGCTGGTGGTGTGGATGTATTTTAGAGGGGCCAGGAAGGACAGGGAGAAGGGGGAGAGGGGGGAGAAGGAGGAGGGAGAGAAGCGGGGTGAAGTGGCAGCAGCAGGAGGGGGAGGCGGAGGGGAAGGTGGGGATGGGGATGAGGGATCGGGGAAAAGGGGTGATGGGTCTGGTGGTGGGAGTGGGAGAGGAGGGGGTGAGAGCGGGAGGCAAAATGTTGGTGCGTCACGGAGCGGATCAAGGGAGGACAGAGGGAGTGAGAGAGGGGGTGAGAGTGGGAGGGACGGGGAGCGGGCGAGCGGGAGAGGAGAAGGGGAATCCAGTGATAGGGAGAAAGATTCCATACCTCTTTCCGGACCTAACTCCAGCTCTACCGAGCCTCTGCTACCCAATGGGAATGTATCCGAACGTAAGAGTGATCCAAATGTGGAAGGTCCAGCTCTTGCCACCGCTGCTACAGATGCAGCCACAGGTGCAGCAGCAGCAGCAGCAGCAGCTACAGCAGCAGCTGCAGCAGCAGGAGGAGCAGCAGCGGTGGCGGAGGCGGCGCACAACGGACAAAAAACGCCACCCAACGGGCTGGCGGTGGAGCCGGCGCCGTTCACTGTGCCACCCACGCACGTGCAGCGGATGAGCCTGGCGGAGCTGGAGGAGGCGACAGGGGGGTTCTGTGAGGAGCAGATGATCGGTGCAGGGGGGTTCGGACCGGTGTATCGTGGTGTGCTGGCAAATGGACGAGTGGTGGCAGTGAAGCGACGTGCAGTGGATTCGATGCAGGGATCTACAGAGTTCAACAATGAGGTGAGTGAGTGAGCTGTTTAGCAGTTTTGGTGTCTGGAAGAGTGGGTCAGCTGGGGTGGAGGAGCTGGCACTGATTGCCTTGTGTGAGGAGCAGGGACACAGTGTTTGATTGGATGCGTCTCACGAATAGCCCCTCTTTCTGTCTGCTCTGCCCCCTTTCCCGTCCCCTCAAGTTCCTGTCCAAGATCCGCCATCCCCACCTGATGGCGCTGATAGCCTTCTGTGAGGAGCAGCTGACCCACCTCTCCCCTCCACCCGCACCCCTCCCTACGGCTCTCCCCCTCTCCCACCAGCTCAAGTTCCTGTCCAAGATCCGCCATCCCACTTGGTTGCGCTGATTGCCTTCTGTGAGAAGCAGGGGTGTGTTTTGTTTGATTTGAGGTGCCTCACGAGTAGCTTCCCTTTGTCTGCACTAACCCTCTCCCTCCCATCTGCATTTGTCCCCTCTCCTCTCTCCCCTCTCCTCTCTCTCCTCAATCCTCTCCTCTCCCCCCTTCCCACCCTGCCAGCTCAAGTTCCTGTCCAAGATACGGCACCCCCACCTGGTGGCGCTTATTGCCTTCTGTGAGGAGCAGGGGCAGCAGCTGCTGGTGTATGAGTTCATGGCGCAGGGCAATTTGAGGGAACACTTATACGGTAAGTGGAGAGGATTCTATAAGGGGGACAAACTGGAGGCTGGAGTAGCTGCTAGTGTATGAGTTCATGGTGCAGGGCAACCTGCGAGAGCACTTATATGGTGCGTGGGAATAGTTAAAGATGTAAGAGGTGATGTTATAGAGGGTACAGATTGCAGCAGCTGCTTGTTTATGAGTCCATGGTGCAGGGAAACTTGAGGGAACACTTGTACGGTGAGTGAGGATGCCATTATATTAGTGTGATACATGATTCCATAAAGTGTACAGAATAGAGCAGCTGCTGGTGTATGAGTTCATGGCTAAGGGCAACTTGCGGGAGCACTTATACGGTGTGTGGACGTGATGCTATAGAGGGTATGGATTAGAGGATGATGCCCATCCCGCTTGCGTTTTGGTAACCACTTGTTTCTCTGTGCCTTGCTGTGCTGCAATCGTCGCTACTCCCTTCCCACTGCTCCGTTTCAAATCCTCCCTTTCCTGCAACCTCTCCGTTTCAATGCGGTGCAGACCGGTTGGGAGCGCCAAGGGGGCGGTTGCGGTGGCTGCAGCGCCTCTCCATCGCTGTTGGTGCCGCCAAAGGTAGGGAGAGGACGAGGGACAGGGGAAGATGTCGGGGGGTGGGCAAGAGTGGACGGGAGGAGGGTTGGACAGAAGGTCTCTAACAATGCTAATGCTGTACCAAGGTAAGGGGTCAGCGCGTGAATGGGGAAGGGTTGGATAGGATAGTGTATCGTCTGTCACCCCAGAGTAGCGAAGCGACTATGTCCTGTTGCTCTCTCGTTCATTCACTCTTCTACCCCTAATGTGTCGTCCTTCCCCTTGTCCCTCCGTTCCTCTATTTTCCTCTCCGCCCCGTTCCTATCATTTTCTGCTTCTCCTCCTCCTCCCTCAATCGTCTCATCTCCAGTTGTGATAACTCAAGTTTTGAGTCGACTCAAAACACTTTGTTCCTCCATTTTCCTCTCTGCCCCGTTTCTCCTTCTCTGCCCTCAAATCGTCTCGTCTCCACTTTTCTCGTCACGTTAACCCCTCCAGGCATTGAATACCTGCACGTGGCTCTCCGGCCCTCCGTCATCCATCGCGACATCAAGACCACCAACATTCTCCTCGACGACAGCCTCTTACCCCAACGCCCTTCTCCCTTTGTTCCACCTCCTCCTCCTCCTCCTCCCCCCCCCACCCTAAATCGTCTCATATAAGGCCACCAACATCCTCCTCTTCCCTCCTCCTTCCTCATCCACCCATTCCGTCATGCCCCTCTCACTTCCTCCAGGCATAGAGTACCTGCATGTGGCACTCCGCCCCTCCATCATTCACCGGGACATCAAGACCACCAACATTCTCCTCGACGACAGCCTCTTACTCCTTGATTGCCCCTTCCCCCCCCCCCCCCCCCGTCCCCCACACACACCTCCTTTTTAACAGGGATTGAGTACCTGCATGTGGCACTCCGCCCCTCCATCATCCACCGGGACATCAAGACCACCAACATCCTGCTTGACGACAGCCTCTCATTCCCCGCATTCCCCTCTATTCGCCCCTCCCCTTCCTTGCTCAACTTCTCGTCTCCCAGGCATAGAGTACCTGCATGTGGCACTCCGCCCCTCCATCATCCACCGGGACATCAAGACCACCAATATCCCCCTTGATGACAGCCTCTTACCCCAACGCCCTTCTCCCTTTGTTCCACCTCCCTGCCCTTCCCCCACCCTCACCAGGAATTGAGTACCTGCACGTGGCCCTGCGCCCATCCATCATCCATCGGGACATCAAGACCACCAACATTCTCCTCGACGACAGCCTCTCATTCACCCTCTCGCTCTTTCCTTTGCCCTCTTCCCCCCACCTTCCCCACAGGAATTGAGTACCTACATGTGGCCCTCCGCCCCTCCATCATTCACCGGGACATCAAGACCACCAACATTCTCCTCGACGACAGCCTCTTACACACCCACTCCCGCTGTTCTCTCCCCCACCCTTCAGGGATTGAGTACCTGCACGTGGCCCTGCGTCCATCCATCATCCATCGGGACATCAAGACCACCAACATTCTCCTCGACGACAGCCTCTGCGCCAAGGTCGCTGACTTTGGGCTGTCCCGCCTGGGGCCGCAGGACAACACGCACGTCTCCACCAACGTCAAGGGCACGGCTGGTTACTTGGACCCAGAGTGAGTGTACTGGGTTTGCGGGCGAAGCACAGGGGACTGTTGAGTAGAAGGGTTGTTTACTTTGGCCTGTCTTGCCTGGGCCTCCAGGACAACACACACGTGTCCACTAATGTGAAGGGCACGGCCGGTGACCTGGACCCAGAGTGAGTGTGCCTTGCTTGAAATGATTGCCTGTCGTTGGGGCAACATGGCCTGTCCCGCCTGGGCCCCCAGGACAACACGCATGTGTCAACCAATGTGAAGGGCACAGCCGGTTACCTGGACCCAGAGTGAGTATACACACACCAGATGCCTTGCTGGGATTGCCTGGGCTGTCCTGCATGGGCCTGCAGGAGAGCTAGCACTTGTCCACAATGTCAAGGGCACGGCCAGTTACTTAGACCCCCAGTGAGTGGCTATATGGGGAAGGGTTACACAATGGACTTTTTCCCTTGCTGTTGTGTTGTGTCTCCCCATTCCCTTCCCCAATCCCCCCTTTTCCCTTCTCCATCCTCCCTTTTCCTTTCTGTCCTTCCGTTCTTTCCTCCCCCTCCAATACCTTTGGAGGTACTACATGGTGCAGCAGCTGACGGATCGCAGTGACGTGTTCGGCTTTAAAGTGGTGCTGCTGGAGCTTGTCAGTGGGCGAGAATCACAAGCCCCTCTTCCTCCTCCCCCTCAATCCCCATGGGTTAATGCAGGTACTACACGGTGCAGCAATTAACCGATCGCAGTGACGTGTTCAGCTTTGGAGTGGTGCTGCTGGAGCTGGTCAGCGGGCGGCAACCCATTGACCTCAGCCGCCCACGAGTCGACTGGAACATCATTGACTGGGTGCGTTGACTACTGTTGACTCCCTGTTGACTGGTGTTGACTGCACTTCACTCTTCTTCCTGTTCATTCCTGACTTCCAACAACTTTTTCCTCCACTCCCTCTCATCACCTTGCCCTAACCTTCCCCCTCTCTCATCCTCCCCTCTCATACCCCCAGGCACGCAAGCACCTGCAGCAGGGGGACATAGAGGCAATAGTCGACCCCACACTGCCCCCTTCAGAATACCTCCTGGACGCAATGTGGAAGGTGGCTGAGGTGGGCATTCTCTGTGTCGAGCCCATGGGAATCAACCGGCCGAGTATCAGTGAGGTGGTTCGGGAGCTTGGAGAGGCTGTTGCTATGGAGTTATCGAATACGCCTGTAAGGAATCATTTTCACCAGCAGCAGCAGCACCAGCGGCAGCAGCACCAGCAGCAAGGGCATGAGGGGGAGGGGCAGGGGGAGGGGCAGCAGGAGGGGTATGATTCGGAGATTGGGGTGGGTTATGGGGATGACAGAGGGGGAGGGAGAGGGGGAAGTGGGGAGGAAGGGGGAAGGGGTGGAGAGCGGTTGGGCGGCCGACAAGGCTATTACAACTCGACACTGACGTTTTCTCGCTCGGGATCCAACGGTGGAGATTCGCCGAGAGGGACAGATGGGCGGAGACAAGATGGCGGCAGGGAGCTTGAGGCTCGGGATAGGGGGTTTGGGAGAGGGGAGAATCCGAACAGAGTGGTCCCGGCTGAGCTGGCGATGAGCTGGCGAGGAGAAGGTGGAGAGGCGTCAGGGGGTATGAGGGGGGATGGTGATGGGAGTGGGGAAATGTGGGCGGAAGGTGGAGGTGTGAGTGGGGGAGGGAGTGAGGGAGCGAGTGGGGGAGTGAGTGGGAGAGTGGGCTGGGGAGGGTTAGGAGAAGGGATGGCAGGGATGGTTGGGGGTGATTGGAGTGGGAGTAGTGTGGGAAGACATGGAGATGGAGGAGTGGTTGAAGGGGGAGGAGGAGGGAGAAGAAGAGGAGATGGAGGAGGAGGAGAGGGAGGGAGTGCGATGGGGTTCAGAGGACCAGGGAGAGGAGGAGAGATGTATATAAGGAGAGGGGGGTCGTCAGAAGAGCTTGTGTCGGGGAGTGCGGTGCAAGGCGGTGCAATGCAAGGGGGTGGGGTGCAAGGGGGTGGAGGGCAAGGGGCAGGCCTCATGGCGGTTTCTGATTCGTTGATGAGGAGAAAAAGGGAAGGAGCATCTTACAATGGCCCCATTTCCCGGCCTAACTTGCCTGGGGGTAGAGTTGGTAGAGAGGGGAGAGGGGGAATTGGGGGAAGCGAGGGCAGGGAGTTGAGAGAGGGGATGAGGGGGATAGAGCAGGGAGGGTTTTCGGGGGAGAGTGTGGAGGCGGATTTGATGATGACACAGGCACCACATGGGGATTACATGATGCTGCGGAAGGTGCAGCAAGGGGTGTTGTCGCCGCCTGTTCCGCAGGAGAAACGGCATTTCTCTGCTGAGGACAACCCGCGGTTCGCCTCGCCGTTCTTGCAGCCCGGATTCCAGCCCCGGGCAGGCGGCCGAGATTTCGAATCTGCCCGAGAGCCGGCAGGGGGTTATGGTGTTGGGGGGGATTTGGAGGGGAAGAGGCGGATGAGTGATGGGGAAGGTGTGGATATGAGTACAGGGAGAGAGGATGGGCGTGTGTTGAGGGGAGATGTGTTGATGAGAGATGACAGGAGGCCAGATTACCCTGAGATGTCTCAATCTCAAGTTCCAATGCATGATTCTGGATTCGAGTTGTCTCGACCGCACGATTCGGGTTTCGAGACATCTCGGCCGCACAATCTGGTTACCGCCACTGCATCGTCGTTGTCAGCGGTGGAGCTGGTTGGAATGTCTTCAGACTCGTGGCGGGAAACCCCTTCTCTGCCGTTCTTAGTGCCCAGCCAGGGGCAGGAACACTTGAGTGGTCAACTAGATGAGGGAGTAGGGGTTGAGAAGACGGAGCAGCGGAAAATGGCTGTTCTTGCTCAGTCGGCGCCATCACAGTAGGTAGAAGAATGTGTATTTATATTACTGTTTCTGTTGCATAATGTACACTTCTCAAAGCACCTGGGTGCTTACTGAGTAGTAAGAATAAGTTTTAGGGGGTTCCCTCACTAATGCTGTTTCACTGGAACATCCGGTTCCATGCTCTGGGATGGGTGAAATGCCAACCTAACCATGTGATCAGTTAGGTGTACCCCTACATGCCAGTCTAGCAACCTCATAGATACCCACTCCCAGTGGCGTGGCGGATTATTTAGCAAACTGCATAGTATGGCGAAAGGTAAAAAACCCTCAGCATTATGAGTTGCTGCAGAAAATAACACGTATTTTAAATAAGAGAGAATTACTTGTAATTATTTGCTACACCGGTCCTCCCGTAACTTATCTCAACATACTCCCGTCGCGTTGTTATCTTGACTGGACCTTCAGGCATTCTCAAGGCTGCAAGGCCCCACTGAATGTTCAGGCTGGTAAGCAGCGGTTGAATGCGGTAATAAGAAAAGACCGTTGTAGAGCGCACAAAATCGCTCTCCACCGCTGAGCAAATGGCGAACTCCAACAAATCAGCCTGGGGGACAAACCTCTGATTCTGCTCGGCAAAATCTGAGCTGAGTTCTCTTGGCTCTTGTTTTCAGCTGTATCATTTGAATGATTCCAAAAGTGGCTTCCTCGAGTCTAGTGGTAGCAATGCCTCCTCATCGCGCTACGGCGATGTGGATCGCCGTCGTAATTGGTAGGTCTCCTGTTATAATTTTTCCCGTTACTTATACCACATTCTAAGTACATGTTTATTGATTGACTGAAATGTGAAGGCCAATGTGCGTACTGCTGTCCTGGAATCTCCAAAGATTCCGTCCCATCTCATGGTCTGTGCGTCAGCGCCACCTCTTCATATGATAAAGATTTGATACGTCTCGACGCAGTCTTTCCTCGTCAATGTCAATGTTTCCTCGTCAATGTCATGGTTTCCTCGTTAACGTCAACGTTTTCACGTCAATGCCAGCTTCATGAATCATGGTGCTTGTTGGGTCTGACGTACGCTAATTCAGTCTACACCGCGGCATTTCAGTCCCTCGTTATCCTCGATAAAGCAAATGGGATAAAGCTTTTTCTCGGCATTATCAACCTAATTGGGTTGTCGCCACCGCATTGTGGTCACACGTGCAAATCAAGAAGTTCCACCTTTAATGAGATGACTCGGAAGCAGAACACGGTAAAACAGTGACGATACTCTTTTTCTTCGTGTTTTGTCTCTTCCCTTCTTTTCCTCCTTCCTCATGAATCCTCAAATCCTTCCGATGACTCTCATCTCCTTGCATCCCTTCTTCCACCCCCCACCCCCCTTCCCCCCCTCTCCCCTCCCCCCTCCCCCCCTTCCCCCCCTCTCTCTCCCCCCCCACGACCAACCCGGCCATATAACTGAAACCGAGCCTGAAATGCCACTGATTTTGACCCTTCCATTCTAAAAAATATTTATGACCCTTTCATTCCAAAAAATTATAGCTTGATTTTGCTCCAGTGGTGTCCCTCACCCTCCCAAGCTGGACTATGCTTCGTGTGCACCAGAGGTGGAGGAGTGAGTGGATGTTCATATGGCCGAGACAGCGGAGGTGCAGTGACCTCTCGAATCATCAATCTCAAACCACCCCTCCCCACATCCCTCGCTCCACCTGCCGAGCCTTCCCCCGTTCCCCCAACCAACCCGCCTCCTGCCCCTCCCACCCCACCTCCCTCTTTCTCCAGCGGTGTCGCTCGCCCTCGCCCCCTCAGCAGCAGCGCTGCGCTATGGCCAATCGGAGCCCCCACCCAAGCTGGACTATGCGTCATGCGCCGCGGAGGTGGAGGAGTGGGTGGACGTGCAGATGGCTGAGACAGCGGAGGTGCAGTGGCAGCGGGAGGAGCGAATGGCTAGCGGCGAGAGCCCCATGCCGCAGACGCTCTTCTTTCTCCATGTGGCTCGTGCGGGAGGGAGGACGTATCACCAGTGGTGCGTGTGATTATACTGATGTGCAGTGGCAGTGGGAGGTGCGGGGCCGAGCAGTGGCGAGACTTTTATGCAACAGACGTTTTTCTTCCTGCACGTAGTTGGTGGGGAAAGAGGCTGGACGTTCCGCCAGCGGTGGGTGTAATTATCAGTTGTGACAATTGGTGTTCTCACAGGGTGGGTGGGTGGGGTTGCATTATGCTGGGCTGGGCTGTGCTCTTTCTCGTTACGCAGAACCTCTTCCTTACTGACTCAGTGAGTGACTCTTGCCTCTGCTCTCGTTCTTCCCTTGCTCCCTCACTCCCGCAGCTTCCTGAGTACGCTCATGCCCAGCACCGTGCAGTGCAACATGTCATACCACGTGCTGCGAGACGACCCCACGTGAGTCACATGTGCCATGCCTGCTTTGTCATCATACCACGTGCTATGCGGCTATGCCCTGTGCTGCGTGAGCAACAGACTACCACGCGTTGTTGCTCCCACATCGACAGTCCTACCTACTAGGCAGCACGCACTGCAACATGCCGACATGCCACGTCACCACATCTAGGCTCTTGTGTCCTGTCCTGTCAACGAGCCTTGCCAGCATGGAGTGTCGGCTGCTAGCGACTCACGACGACTACGGAATGAATGACCACTCAACTCCCTCCCGGCGCCACCCGCCACGGGAGTCAACACCCTCTTCCGAGAGCCCGTAGATGATAGATCGTGCTCTCTCCATGTACGAGTTCTCCGTGCACATCTCGGGGCGCAGCATGGGGCTGGCTGGACCTCAAGCAGCTTTGAGAATTCTCTAAAAGCACATCTCAGCCGCCTCTATCTCCACCTGCTGCTCCTCTTCTCCCCTGCCCTCCTCTCCCCTCTCGCCCCTCCCTGCCTGCTTTCCCCTCCCTTCATCCCCACACCAGCATGGGGTGTCGCCTGCTAGCCACGCATGATGACTACGGCATGACCACTCAGCTCCCGCCCGGCGCTGCTACCAGCGTCACCACCCTCTTTCGTGAACCTCTCGACCGCGTGCTCTCCATGTACGAGTTCTCCGTGCACATCTCAACCGCCTCTCTCCCCTCCTCCCCTTCTCTCCCCCACTGCCCCCTCTCTCTCCCAGGATGGGGTGTCGCCTGCTAGCCACGCACGACGACTACGGCATGACCACTCAGCTCCCTCCCGGCGCCGCCACCGGCGTCACCACCCTCTTCTGTGAACCCCTAGACCGCGTTCTTTCTATGTACGAGTTCTCCGTGCACATCTCAACAACCTCTCTTCCCTTGCCTGTCCCTCCGCCCTTCACCAGCATGGGGTGTCGCCTCCTAGCCACGCATGACGACTACGGCATGACCACACAGCTCCCACCCGGAGCCGCCACGGGCGTCACAACCCTTTTCCGCGAACCTCTCGACCGCGTTCTTTCCATGTACGAGTTCTCGGTGCGCATCTCGGGGCGCAGCATGGGGCTGGACCTCAAGCAGTCTTTGAGGCGCCTCAGACGTCAACAGCATGGGGCTGGACCTCAAGCAGCTGCTTGCCGGATGAGACGCTCCGTGACGAGTTCTCACTGCACATCTCAACCGCCTCTCTTCCCCTGCCCCATTCCCCACACCTGTTCCCGCCCCCACCCCCCTCCCCTACTGCCAGCATGGGGTGTCGCCTCCTGGCGACTCACGATGACTACGGCATGACCACGCAGCTCCCACCCGGCGCCGCTACAGGCGTCACAACTCTTTTCCGTGAGCCTCTTGACCGAGTGCTCTCCATGTACGAGTTCTCGGTGCACATCTCGGGGCGCAGCATGGGGCTGGCTGGACCTCAAGCAGTCTTCAAGGCGCCTCAGACGTCAACAGCATGGGGCTGGACCTCAAGCAGCTGCCTGCCGGATGAGACGCTCTACGAGTTCTCACTGCACATCTCAACCGGCTCCCTCCCCCTGCCCCATTTCCCACACCTGTCCCCGCCCCCCCTCCTCCCCTCCTGCCAGCATGGGGTGTCGCCTCCTGGCGACTCACGATGACTACGGCATGACCACACAGCTCCCTCCCGGTGCCGCTACAGGCGTCACCACCCTGTTCCGTGAGCCTCTCGACCGAGTGCTCTCCTTGACGAGTTTTCGGTGCACATCTCAACCGCCTCTCCCCCCCTGCCCCTTCCCCCATTCGTCATCACTGTTCTCCCATTCCCTCACTCCCCTATCAGCATGGGGTGCCGCCTCCTAGCCACACACGACGACTACGGCATGACCACGCAACTCCCTCCTGGCGCCGCTACAGGCGTTACAACCCTTTTCCGAGAGCCCCTCGACCGCGTTCTCTCCATGTACGAGTTCTCCGTGCACATCTCGGGGCGCAGCATGGGGCTGGACCTGAAGCAGTCTTGGAGGCGCCTCAGACATCGGCAGCATGGGGCTGGACCTGAAGCAACTGCGAGTCCTCGGTGCACATCTCAACCACCTCTCCCCCTTTGCCCCCCCTCACTCCTCCCGCCCCTTCCCCCACTCCTCGCCCCCTTTCTCCCCATCCCACCAGCATGGGCTGTCGCCTGCTGGCCACGCATGACGACTACGGCATGACCACTCAGCTCCCTCCCGGCGCCGCTACAGGCGTTACCACTCTTTTCCGAGAGCCTCTCGACCGCGTGCTCTCCATGTACGAGTTCTCCGTGCACATCTCGGGGCGCAGCATGGGGCTGGACCTGAAGCAGCTGCCGGATGAGACGCTGTACGCCGCACGGAGGAAGATGCGCGAGCATTACAGGAACCTGGTGCCGACAGACACGAGGAACGTGTGGCCGTGGACGCTGCTTTCTGTCACGATGGAGGAAGATCTCTGGGACCGGGTGAGTGGTCGGATATGCATGAACGGATGATTGAGTAGAGTCTAGAGCACTACAGGAACCTGGTGCCGACGGACACGAGGAACGTGTGGCCGTGGACGCTGCTGTCCGTGACCATGGAGGAGGACCTGTGGGACCGGATGAGTGGACTCTGAGCATAGGCAGCATCATAAGCAGCAGCATAAACAGCAGCACATATAGCAGCAGATGCAGCAAGCAGTGCAGAGCGCAGTGCAGGGATCAAGGCACCAAGCAGGCAGAAAGCAACAACCACAGCAGCAGCACTACAGGAACCTGGTGCCAACGGACACGAGGAACGTGTGGCTGTGGACATCTCTATCTGTGACCATGGAAGAAGATTTATGGGATCGGGTGAGTGTATGAGCAGCGAGCAGTGTAGTGAGCACCACATAACACAAAGGCCTGCAGGCAGTGGTACATAGGGCACGGCATTACAGGAACCTGGTGCCGACGGGCACAAGGAACGTGTGGCCGTGCGTGGACGCTGCTGTCCGTGTCCATGGAGGAGGGCCTGTGGGACCAGGTGAGTGCAAGCTAGCAGCACGTACAGCATTGACGGCCCGTGACGACATGTACTCTCGTGCACACCTCGTGATGCCTCCTTGTTCGTATTTCCCCATGCACCACCCCTCTCCCATGTGATTGCAGCGTGACTTCACTGGCATTCCCCCTCCACCGGTGGGTTTCGACGAGGGCCGTGACGACATGTACTCCCGTGCACACCTCGTGATGCCTCTGAGGGACTTCATCGAGCTGCCCTTGGCACATGACGTGGTGCACAATGGTGCAACCTTCCAGGTACGCATTGCTGTGGCGGCCATGCAAATCTCCCTGAACCACAGCGCACCGCACTGCACTGCACAGCTCCTCACCTCGTGATGCCTCTGAGGGATTTCATCGAGCTGCCCTTGGCACATGACGTGGTGCACAATGGGGCTACTTTCCTGGTACTCATTTCTGTGGGGTCACCACACAACACCGCACAGCACTGCACCTCGTCACATATATAGACTGTGATCATAGTTGACCTGTAATTGCATCACCTTGCCTTCCCTGCCTCATTTCCCCCCCCCCTTAAATCACACTGCCAGCTGGCAGGCATCACGAACCTATGTTGCACTATACGCTGAGAAATTCTTCCGTATCACGTTTATGCGTTCACGTATAAACGGAAAAACGTGATACGGGGACAATACGCGATACGCCCGGACGGGCAGCCCGTCGGAAAAAAAAAAATTCTGTTGCGACATGTTCTCGCGATCTGTGATTCTCCGTAACCTAATTCTGACATTTGAAAGTCGAATGTCTTCCCCCGCACCCACCCCCCCACTTCCACCGCACATAACCTCACACCACCTCCCAAATCCAACCCTTCCCTTCCATCCACACACTTCAGCTTTCACGTCGGCAGTTTCGAAAACCTATGTCTACCGCTAATGTCGCAGCTGGACGCAAGTAGGCAGAGGGGCGCAGATCTGGCATTCCGCCGCCAGATCCGCGCGATTCTAGTATTCCGCCAGCAGATCGCCGCAGATCGGCAAGAAACATTGAATATATGGACCATCACTCTCTCCCTGACACTTTTTTCCCCTGCCCGGAACTTTTTTTCCCTGCCCGGGACAACGTATTTTGAGCGTATCGAGGGGGCGGAAATCCATCGTATGGCGTTCGTACGTTGGCGTATAGTACGAACGCGACTGGTACGCGAATCGCGTATTTTGCAACATAGTCACGAACAACAGTGTGCTGCCAGAGGCGAAGCGGCTGAGGCAGTGCGTGCTGCCCTCCCTCCCCTCACATCCCTTCTTCTCTCTCGTTCATCTCTCCCATCCCCCCTGTACCCCCTCCCCTCCCCAGGTGGTAGGCATCACGAACAACAGTGTGCTGCCAGAGGCGAAGCGGCTGAGGCAGTGCGTGCTGCAGCACCTGGACCTGAAGGGTAAGGTACTTAACCCTCCTCTCCCCCCTCTCCCTCCTCTCCCCCTTCCCCCCTCCCCACCAACCCCACAGCTAGCGGGCATCACGAACAACAGTGTGCTGCCAGAGGCGAAGCGGCTGAGGCAGTGTGTGCTGCAGCACCCGGAGCTGGGAGGAGAGATGCTGAAGCTCGCTAAGGTGGGTGGGGAAAGCAAGGGGAGCCCTAGGGTACAGACAGCCATGCACCAGTGCATGGGCACTTGATGGCTGAGGCAGTGTGTGCTGCAGCACCCGGAGCTGGGAGGAGAGATGCTGAAGCTCGCTAAGGTGGGTGGGGAAAGCAAGGGGAGCCTAGGCAGGGTATTCAAGCGCATGAGCTCTTAGCGGCTGAGGCAGTGCGTGCTGCAGCACCCGGAGCTGGGCGGGGAGATGCTCAAGCTCGCCAAGGTTAGTGGGGAAGGAGCAGGAAGGGAAGGCCAGGCAGGGGTGTGGTGCTAGCAGGAGTGCATGGGCACTTGGCGACTGAGGCAGTGCGTGCTGCAGCACCCGGAGCTGGGGGGAGAGATGCTGAAGCTGGCCAAGGTGGGTGGAAGGGGCAAGCACGGGTAGAGTAGGCTAGGCCTTGAGGGTACGAGTAGACTAGGCAGGAGTAACCAATCCCGGGTAGTGGCAGGCATGGAGGCATGGAGGCATGGGGGCATGGGGGGCATGGGGGCATGGAGGCGTGTGGATGCACTCATCCATCTGGGATTCACCGATCGCATGGAGGAGTCAATCGAGCTGCTGCTGGCTGTGCTTCTGTTCTGCCACTGCCCACCTTACCATCTTTTCTTCCATCCGCCCATGTCACCACCTGCCAATCTGCTCTACCATCCATGCAGGCGCGGGTGGACGCGTTGATCCATTTGGGATTCACCGACCGCATGGAGGAGTCAATCGAGCTGCTGCTGGCTGTCCATGGAAAAGTATATTGAGCTGCATGCAACCATCCTTCTCGCACTGCCCAAGCCACCATCTCCCCATTTGTACCCAACTATGTCCTCACCACTCCCATGCAGGCGCGGGTGGATGCATTGATCCATCTGGGCTTCACTGACCGCATGGAGGAGTCAATCGAGCTGCTGCTGGCTGTCCTTCTGCCACTGCCCTTGCCACTATCACCCCATACGCACCCACCACCCAACCGCTACTCTCCCAAACAGGCGCGAGTCGATGCTCTCATCCATCTGGGCTTCACCGACCGCATGGAGGAGTCAATCGAGCTGCTGCTGGCTGTGATCGACCGCTCCCTCTCCTCCCAGGCCTTCACCCTCCCTGGTATGAATGATCACAAGTCAAACCCGAGCTGGTTCGCATGCACCCTCCCAGGTATTCTCGTGCTGTTCCATGTGACACATTTCTTTCCGCCTCACGAGAAGAATGAGCTGCTGCTGGCTGTGATCGATCCCTCCTTCTCCTCACAGGCCTTCACCCTCCCAGGTACGGCATGCATCCAGTGACCCACGTTCCATGCTACCTATGTGCCCCTTGTGTTGTGTAACCCATATCCTCCCTGACCCCGTTGACTGCATTGACTTCCTTGACTCCATGCATGCATGCACTCTCCAGGTACGGTATGTGTCCAGTGACCCACGTTCCATGCTACCCACGTGCCCCTTGTGTTGTGTAACCCATCTGCCATCTATAAGTCATGCTATCCATGTTCGCATGTGCCGTGCAATGCACCTCCATGCCATGCAACCATATGCCCCCATGCCCCCATACCCTATGCCCATGCCCCCATACCGCTTGCCCCGTGCCCATGCCTATGCCCTGTGCCCATGCCTATGCCCTGTACCCATGCCTATGCCCCGTGCCCATGCCTATGCCCCGAGCCCATGCCTATGCCCCGTGCCCTTTATTGAGCAGGCAAGAACCCCCGGGGGCGATGCAAGAGGCCCAAGAAGAAGGCCAAGGAGAGAGCGATGCCGGTGAGTTCTCTGCTCCTTGAGTGAGTGAGGCATGCCAGTGTGTTGGTTGGTTGTAAGCCAAATGTGATGTGACCTGTGATAACAAGAATCCCTGGTCTGGTCACATGGGATGGGAGGCTCTCCGTGACCAAATGGGAGTGCATTTGGTTGTGACCTGACCAGGCTGGCATCTGTGACCAGGCTGGCATCTGTGACCAGGCTGGCATCTGTGACCAGGCTGGCATCTGTCATCAGAGAGCAGTACGCGGAGTGCCTCAAGGACCAGATGGAGCTCACGCAGCTGAACGAGCTCATATCCTCCCTGACCCCGTTGACTGCATTGACTTCCTTGACTCCATGCATGCATGCACTCTCTCCCCCCCACCCACCAGTGGAAGAGCATCAGGGAGCAGTATGCGGAGTGCCTCAAGGACCAGATGGAGCTCTCCCAACTGAACGAGCTCATTGCCTGCCTGCTATCATTGACTCCATTGACTTGCCATTTCTCCTCTCCTCCTCCCCACCTCACCAGTGGAAGAGCATCAGGGAGCAGTACGCGGAGTGCCTCAAAGACCAGATGGAGCTCACCCTTCTTATCCCAGCACTCTCACCTTCCTGACCCCGTTGACTCTATTCACATACTCACCTGTACCCCGGTCCCCTCCAGTGGAAGAGCATCAGGGAGCAGTACGCGGAGTGCCTCAAAGACCAGATGGAGCTCACTCAGCTGAACGAGCTCATTGCCTTCCGCCACATGGGGCCGCTCAAGTTCTCCAGGAAGGTACGCAATGCTGTGCTGTGAGAGGCACACATGAGGTACCAGTTACAGCCATTGTCTGTGCAAGTGTGGCTTCATAAACACTCACCCAGCTGAACGAGCTCATTGCCTTCCGCCACATGGGGCCGCTCAAGTTCTCCAGGAAGGTATGCTGCTTGGGAGATCGTGGTACAAGGTACAGCCGTAACTACATGGTACATAGCGCAACTTTGCATTCACCTGCCTCATTGCGTTCCGCCACATGGGGCCACTCAAGTTCTCCAGGAAGGTACGTCATGCTGGGAGAGCGAGCTTATGCTGTGCTGGGAGGGGCATGCATGAGGTACCATCAGTTGCAGCCGTAGTCCGTGAAAGTGTGGCTTCATGAACGCTCACACAGCTGAATGAACTCATTGCCTTCAGCTGCGCCCACATATGGCGGCGCCCACATATGGCCGCTCAAGGTCGCACCATGTGGGTGCCGCATAACGACAGGTATGTTATGCAGAGGGAGAGAGGTACAAGGCACAACTGTAGCTCACTGCCAGTGCCAGCCATCATCCCTTTCCTCCTTTTCCCTTCCCTCTCTATCTCGCGACCACCATCACCATCACACCATCCCCTATCGCATTTCATCCCTCCCCCTCTCTTCCCATACCACACCAGGAGCGAGCACACATTCCAGAGGACGTGATGGGGCGCATCAAGGAGCTGAATGCTCTCGACTTGGAGCTCACTCCATCTCAATACACCCTTTCTCTCCCTCCCTTATCACCCACACCAGGAACGAGCGCGCATTCCAGAGGATGTGATGAGGCGCATCAAGGAGCTGAACGCTCTTGACTTGGAGCTCACTGAATACGCGCGCGACAAGTACACTCAGATGCTGGTGAGTGCTTACTCTCATCTCCTAATCCGCCTGATATTCATGTATCTTCACATGAGCTGAATGCTCTCGACTTGGAGCTCACTGAATACGTGCGCGACAAGTACACTCAGATGCTGGTGAGTGGTTACTCTCATCTCCTAATCCGCCTGATATTCATGTATCTTCACATGTCAACGCTCTTGACTTGGAGCTCACTGAGTATGCGCGCGACAAGTACACTCAGATGCTGGTGAGTGCTACTCTCGCTTAATTTTCCTATGTGATATACATGGACCGATATGTACCTGGTGCTGATGCTCTTGACCTGGAGCTCACTGAGTATGCGCGGGACAAATACAGTCAGACGCCGGTGAGTGGTTACTCTCGCTTCTATTGTTATCTGATATGCATGGATGGATATGTACAAGGAGCTGAACGCTCTCGACTTGGAGCTCACTGAATATGCGCGAGACAAGTACACTCAGATGCTGGTGAGTGGTTACTCTCATCTCTTGTTTTCTATGTGATATGCATGCTTGGATATGCACATGTTCCTGAATTCTCTTGACCTGGAGCTCACTGAGTATGCGCGAGACAAGTACACTCAGATGCTGGTGAGTTGTTACGCTTGAGGCGCCTCAAAAGTCCTCTCTTTACCCGCAAGCATCGAGGAGTTGAATGAATGGTGAGTTGTTACCCTATGTCTACTGTACGTATATGTATGTATGTTCCCATGTGTGCATACCGTATGCGTGTATCCTCAGTGCAGCACGCATGCGTGCATGCCCAGCAGGACCAAGTATCGTCCTATGATGGAAGCAGTCGGCAACCCATCGATCCACCGACCGCTGCTGAAGCAGCTGTGGATACTTAAAGCACCCCTCCCTCCTATTGTGTGCCTGTCTGCATGTGTGTATGTGTCGTACGTGCATGTATGAATCCCCAGCAGGACAAGTACCGACCCGTGATGGAAGGCAGCCGGCAACCCATCCCATCCACCGACCGCTGCTGAAGCCGTCTTGGCATGCTTAACACCCCTCTTTCTTTTTGTGTGTGGCATACCAACTGCTTGTGTGCGTGCCTGTGTGCGTCTCTGTGTGCATGTATAAAACCCCGTCAGGACAAGTATCGGCCTATGATGGAAGCACTTGGAAACCCATCCACCGATTGCTGCTGAAGCAGCTGTGCATACTGAAAAACAACCCTCCCTCCTGTTCTATGTGCTTGTGTGAATCCCCGTCAGGACAAGTATCGGCCTATGATGGAAGCAATTGGAAACCCATCCACCGACTGCTGCTGAAGCAGCTGTGCATACTGAAAAACAACCCTCCCTCCTGTTCTATGTGCTTGTGTGAATCCCCGTCAGGACAAGTATCGGCCTATGATGGAAGCAATTGGAAACCCATCCACCGACCGCTGCTGAAGAACCAAGATTGTTGAGGACCCCGTATTGCCATGACGAGACAGTAGGAATCATGTGTGCAATCGGCTGGCTTGAATGCATTAGTTAATTTTCTGTGCTGCAAGGGTGTAACATACAGTGGTTGTGTTCGAATCACTTGTAACCTGTATTTCAACCTCTTTTAGGTTGAGATTCTTTTGCAGTAACACAGGCTGTGATCAAATTCAAATGTCTCATAATACGTAGGTGAAGGAGGAGCGAGAGACCTAGGCCACATCTGACTTCGTTAGTCACATTATGTACAATAAGAGCTACCATACAACCCTAAACCCTTTAGGCTGGGACGTTCGGAATCTAAATCACTACGCCAGCCCCATCTGAGCATTGAATCAAATATTTCCGTGCCACGTCAGCAAGCCGCCCTCCAATCATCTTGTACTGCCGGATCTCGCCTGGCAGCGCGTCCATGGCCCGCGCCACGTCAGCAGCCAGCTGGCGCGGCCCGGAGAACACTCGCAGCGGCTTCATGTGCGTGCGGATGGTGAACAGTACCGCTCCGGTCCTGGAAGGGGGGTAAATACCGTAGGGAGGGGCATGGACGACCAGTGGATGGCGCGGGGAGCAGTGGCTTCATGTGCGTGCGGATGCTGAACAGTAAGGAAGAGGAGGGCGGAACAACCTCACCTCTCCCAGCTCCTCCTCAAGACAAGGAAGGGGGTTGGGACAGGTGAGGTAGGACCCTCCTCTTGCTTCTCTTCTAGCTCATTTTCTTTCTTCTAGCTCCAGCCCTTTAGCACCTTACCTCCGGATCCGCATTCCACACTCACTTGGGCACACTCACTCACTTGGGCAGGCACACTCACTCACTTGGGCACACTCATTCACTTGGGCACACTCACTCACTTGGGCACACTCACTCACTTGGCAGGCACCCATCACACTACCTCTGGTTCGTCATTCCACACTCACTTGGGCACACTCACTCACTTGGGCACACTCACTCACTTGGGCAGGCACACTCACTCACTTGGGCACACTCATTCACTTGGGCACACTCACTCACTTGGGCACACTCACTCACTTGGCAGGCACCCATCACACTACCTCTGGTTCGTCATTCCACACTCACTTGGGCACACTCACTCACTTGGGCACACTCACTCACTTGGGCAGGCGTACGAACGTCTCTCTCTCACTGCGAGTGAACAGCTTCCATCCAGCACTCTCCACTGTTATCAATTCACTGCCTTTCTCCTCTTGCTCCTCTTCTTGCTGCTGCTTCTGCGTCTTCTGAAGCTTCTGTTCTGCCAGCCCTGCTTTTGCCTCCACCAGAGAGGCATACGACGCCTGTAGTGTGTACAGCAGTGGCAGCATGTGGGGGTTGTGGGGGCATGTGCGGAAGAGATTCTGAGCACACAAGAGACAATACGGAACACTTATCGAATGGAGAAAACCCAAACTCATGAGTAACGAGAACGAGCCTCAAGTTTTGAGGCTCTGAAACGAATATGGTGCTGTGTCTTCCAATTGTGCTCAACAATATCGAATGGAGGAACCCCGACTCATAAGTAACAGAAAGAACGTCTGAAATCAGCCAAAAGGGCCGCCTTTTAGGACGTCTCAAAAGTCGTCAGCTGAATTCTTGTTGAATGGAGAAAGCGCGACTCATGAGTAGTGGAAACAAACCTTTTCGAGTCGACTAGTTTCTTAGTCGACTCATGTAACGAACCTCTGAAATCGGCCTGAAAAGCCGCGGGTCATCGGTTATTGTCCAATTGGAGCGCTCGAACGGGCTGCCCGGCTGCAGGTTGTTCAGAAATTTGTCGACTGCCCGAGAAATTGTCGACTCGTAGAGAGGAACGGGTGTGTGGATTTGTGCGGTGGGCAGCCCGAGTTTCTCGGGCAGGATCCAGCTGTTTGGAAAGAGAACAGCACCGGAGACCAGGCAGAGCGGGGGCATGGAGGACGAGGAAGAGGTGGAGGGAGAAGAGGAGGAAGTGGGGGAGGAGGAATGGGAGGGGGGAGGGGAGGAGGAAGGGCGAGGGAGCATAAGGCAAATATCTTCCTGCAAGAAGGAGCAAGAATGACAGAGACATGGGGAGCAAAGAGACATTGACGAAACGATAAGGAACTATGACAAGAGCAGAACGAGGAAGGGCGAGGGAGAACAAGGCAAACACGCTTCTAGAAGAGGTCTACCAATGAATCTGGCACCAAATCAGAGGTACTCACTCACTCTACACCAACTAATGGTATACCGATGATCTCTAGAGGTACCGATAATACTCTACTATAGTATGAGTTGACCAATTATCTCTAGAGGGTCCTGAGATGAATCTGGCACCATAGGTACTCATTCACTCCGTACCAACCGATTCTAAACCAGCTCCACTCTCTCTACAGGGCACAAACCAATCACCTGTATGAGTTGAGCTATGATCTCCAGAGGGTCTTGTGATGAATCCGACAGGTCGAATGAATCACCCGTGGCATGGTTGTGCAGGTGATGGTGCGCAAGGGAGAAGCTGGGGACAATGAGTGGAGGGGACGGAGGTGCAGAGTAAGGGAGGGGAGGGGCCAGTGAGCAGGCAGGTCGAATGAGTCACCCGTGGCATGGTTGTGCAGATGTTGGTGCGAGAGGGAGAAGCTGGGGAGGAGGTGGGGGAGAGAGCGGAGAGAGGAGAAGGGAGAGTGATGGAACGGAGAAGCAGGGCTGCATCAGTGAATCTGAGAGGTCGAACAAATCCCCCGTGGCATGGTTGTGCAGATGATGATGCGAGAGGGAGAAGCTGGGGAGGAGGTGTGGGGGGAACGGAGGGAGGGTAAGATGGAGAGGAGAAGAGAGGTGCGACCCGCTAGAAAGTAGAGAAAGTGGATTTTGAGACGTCTCCATGTAAGTAGACGCCTTTTGAGAGGTCTAAGGAAAAACAACTTATATATATACATGTAAATATGTTTATACATATATATAGTACCTACCACGTACATGTGTGGGAATCGGGATGGCAAGAAATCCGCCAGCATGTGTAGTAACTCCCACTCCGCCTCCCTCACTCTCTCCCTCACTCCATCCTCCCACTCCCCCCCTCCCTCCCTCACTCTCCCCCACTCACACTCCCCTTCATCCCTGCCCCTGCTCCCCACACACTCCCCCCTCCCCCTCTCTCCCCCAACTCTGCCAATGACCGTGCTTCGACGATTCGCTAGAATGGCTTTCCTTAAAGCCATTTCCTGCCGGTAGAACGGGTCGATCTGAAGAAAGAGGGGGGAGAAAAAAGGGGAAAGGGGAGAGGGGAGAGAGTGAGCTAGATTTTCTCTCCTTAAAGTCATTTCCTGCCGGTAGAACGGGTCGATCTGAAGAAAGAGGGGGGAGAAAACAGGGGAGAGGGGAGAGAGTGAGCTAGATTTTCTTTCCTTAAAGCCATTTCCTGCCGATAGAACGGGTCGATCTGAAGAAGCAGGAGAGGGAAGGTGGCGGGGAGGGAGGGTTGGTGGGGGGGGAGGGGAAAGGGAGGGGGACGAGGGGTGAGAGTAAGTTAAAATGTGTCAATGCGGGTTAAGGGACCTGTATCCAGTCAACCCTAGCCAGCACGAGGTGACTTTTGAGTCGACTCAAAAGTCACCTGTATCCTGTCAACCCTAGTCAGCAGCACGGGCCAATGCACGTGTATCCAGTCATAAATCGCCACCGGGTGCACCCCCATGGCCATAAGGAGAGGAGTGGCAACTTTTCAAAACACCCTATCAGCCAGTCAACGCAAGTACACGCCAGTCAAAATGGGTCAAGTCAGGTCAATGCACCTGTATCCAGTCATCCATCGCCATGGGTTGCACCCCCATGGCCATGCGGAAAGGAGCCTTCAGCGGCAGATACTCGAAATGGCCTGCCAGCCAGCCAGTCAATGCCAGTCAATGCCAGTCAATGCCAATCCACAGGTCGTGAAGGAAAGAGGAGAGGGGCTGATGGAGAGAGAGGAGGGGAGTAGCAGAAAATCAACAAAGCCATGAACGGTCAGGGACTCGATGAAATCAGATGAAAAAGCAGAACGGAAATGGCAAAAAAAAAAAAAAAAAAAAAAAAAAAAAAAAACCAGGCTTCCCACATGCCCCGCCCATTCCACCCTCCCCTGCCCCACATTCCCCCTTGCACCCACTCTCTCTCCCCCACATTCCCATTTTTTTTCCCTGAACATTTGTAACTGTTCTGCCTTACCCTCGAGTCTTTCAGAAAGCTTCCACCTTTTCCCCTTATCCGCCTACCTGGGCCTAAGGGGAGCGGCGCAGAGGGGAGAGTGGAGGGCGCGGGGGAGGAGGGCGGGGGCGGAGAGGCGGAGAGCAGGGGGAGGATGACGGGCGCAGGTGTGGGGGCGGATGGGGAAGTGGCGGGGGGAGCAGCGGAGGCGGGAGAAGCAGAGGTCGAAGAGGAGTGGGATGAGGCAATGTGTTGAGGAGAGGTTTGGGGAAGAGAAGAAGAGGGAGGAAGGGAGGAGGCGGAAGAGGAGGAAGCGGAAGAGGAGGAAGCGGAAGAGGAGGAAGCGGAAGAGGAGGAAGCGGAAGAGGAGGAAGTGGAAGCGGAGGAAGCGGAAGCGGAGGAAGCGGTAGAGGAGGAAGCGGGGAGGGCATGGGAGGAGGCAGATGAGGGAATGCAGCCAGACGCGGGTTGATCGCGAGTCGCGTCAGAAGAGGAACCAGCAGCGGAAGCTTCGTCGTTTAACGAGCACTGGCACTGCTGCATTCGATCGTTGATGCGCCGTTCACGCCGCCTCCGCCGTTCCCGTGCGGATCTCCCCACGCCGTTGTTCTGCCCATTGGTAACCTGCAACGTGGCGTCTTCGCGTCGCGCGGATCTCGCGATTTCCGAATTTCTACAATGAACACGCCTTTGTTTTGCTGACGAATCTAAACGGGAATTCGCCCGACACGCATATTCCGACAGCGATTGACCGAAGCGCGCCGTGAAAAACGGAGAGAACGAGGAGAGCGCTGGTTGCGGAGGGGAAGAGGGCGTGAGGGGAGGCATGCACCTGCGCTGGAAGGCACGCGCAGCCTGCGCCGCGACTGGCGGAGCCATGCGGGGAAGAACGGGGGAAGGGAAGTGCGGGGATGTGCGGTATAATCGCAACAGGAATGTTACCGTATCAAAGTATGTTCCATGCGAAATTTGCTCCTCGCATTCTTCTCGCGAATTCGTTCGCCGAGCAAAGTTGTGGGCCTCTGTGTCAACTTTGTTTACAAGCGAGTGAAACAGATGCGACTGACGAGAACGGTAACTGCGATTTCGTGCATTCGCCAACCCGGGGCCTTGTCTCGTTCAGCACGTAACCTCACTGTACGCGCTTCGCCTGCGAAATTGGATTCCCGAGCTGTGTTCTTGAAGGCGTATTCTAACAAACATATGGAACATCGTATCAGTTGATGTGGCGAGTACAGTTACTTTAATTCGACAGATTTTGAGAACTTTCGCTTCACGCATATTTGAGCCAAAATCTAGTTCTCCAAATCTGGCTGCACGAATCGCACAGTTTTCACGCGACGCTCGTCGAAATTATGCTTGCACGAATATAGCGTCCAGCTCACTTGTTCGAAACGAAGATACATCGGCACCTCACAAATGAATTTGAAGCTGAAATTTTGAAAAATAGCATCCAAGCGTTTCTCTTGTCGGAACGCTCCCCTGTCCACAACCGTCTTCCTCTCCGCACACCACACCACACCACGCGGAGCGCACCCAAGGAACTGACGGCATTCCCTGCGTGACACGCCATCCCCCCTGCTTCCTCCCCTCCCCTCCCCACCACCCTACTGCGTGACTACTTCCGCCAGAACTCCGCTCCCCTCCGCAACAGACCCGAAGTTATCCACCAGCTGCGCCCCATTCGCGCGCCCTTGTACAGCCCTCTCTCCTTCCCACCCGCCAACCTTCCCCCGTCCCCCTTACCCATCTTCCCCCTGTCCCCCTCTCTGCTGCCCGCCCTCTTGGTCCCCTTCGCTCCTTCGCGACGAGGCGCAGCGGACGTGCTGCAGCACAACAAATACCGAACGCATTTTCAACTTTTTTCCGAACATTTCCAAATCCGCTCGAAAAGCTCTCAAACAAGCCCCTTGCTTTTCCTTTCAAATCGGTTTCGTCGCACTTTTTTCTGGGTTCGCTTTTCTTCATTCCGCCATTTCGCCTCTCTGGGAGATCATTGTTGCGCTCTGCACTTTTTTCGTTGCGTCTGCTTTTCCTGGAATATAGGGCGTGCCGCGAGAATCATTAGCAGGGGAAATTAAGCTGCAGGTTTTCTCCGTGACGTCGCACACGGAACGAGACGAGTTGTAACGCGCATCAAAACTGATTTCTGCCGTGACGCCGCAAACGAAGCTTCTGACAGACGGAAGCTCACAAGCACTTGCACATTCGATTTCTGGATTCTCAATACCACGCGTTCTTCGTGGCTATGGACTGGGCTGCTTCAGTCCCCTTCCGAGTCGCGCATGTAACGTCTGTGCTTCTTGTGCTACTACTGTCCCAGCTTCTTCTCGCCACTACTGCACTCCCTAATACCGCGTATAACGCACGGAGCCAGCACGCGCCAGATACACCAGCGCTTTATCAAAATCTGCTTTTTTCGAACAGCACGAACTCGCAGCCACAACCTGAACCACAGGCAATACTCGCTATAGAAGGATTCGCAAACAGCAGCAGTGCTCCCAGCAGAAGGGCCATGAGGGGCGGCGGGAGCGGGGGAGCAGGCGGGGGCGGGAGTGGGCATGGGGGGAGTCACGGCGGCAGCAGCAGGGGCAGCAGCAGGGGCAGCAGCAGGGGCAGCAGCAGGGGCAGCAGTAGGAGCGGTAGCAGCACCAGTAGTAGCAGTCGCGGGGACAGGGGTCGCAGCGGCAGCATCGCAACGTCCATTTATTTTCGCCGCACGACTTCTGGTCGCCGGCCCAAGTCGACTTTAAGAGGCTTCAGGCCGCTCGTGTATCCGGTTAGCTACTATGAGGACTATGAGTACGGTGACTATATCGAGCCATGGGACTACAGCTATCTGAACGACAAGGCAAGCAGTAAGCAGGCACTCGGTGTAATTGCATCGACTACAGCACTCGGTGCGATTGCATCGACTCTTTTGCTTTTGTATATGCTCGGATAGTTGTCTCGAGACTCCAGGCCTTGGGATTACACTTCATATCCTTCGTTTCCATAGAAGTCTGATGTGGTGAGAAGTGTTGTTTCTTTCGCTTTAGTGAGTTTGTTCTTCTGAAGCGAGACTCGTTACAAGCAGAATCTAATTACTCGCAAGAAAACGCCCTAGTATTCTTAGGAAGGGAGATCTTGAATCAGCAATAAACATATTCAATACTTCAAGAAACAGGTCTACGTCAAGCAAAAAAACACCAAGCCATGAGCTGAAACACGCCCAAGACACACACTTATCAGCCCTTGCGTCAGCTCTTGCGTTCACCCTTTTCCGCTAGACCGATTAGCAGCTCCAGCAACCAACCAAAGATCAGAAATCACCATGCCACCCACCCACCCAGTCCTTGATTCTCTTCACTCCTCTGCACTGCCTGATTTCACTATCTGGCTTTCGTGCATGCCCTGTGGCATGAGCCACAGGCCAGAACGCTCCGAGCTACCACACCCTTGGGAGGGGTTCAACTGTCAAGCCCAGTCCCCTCCCCCTGCCACCGACGCTGGGAAGCTTTGCATGAAAAGAAGCGCCTCCATAAGGGAGTTATTTGCAACAAAGGTGCAGGAGAGAGTGTATGGGGTGAAAGTGGATGGAGGAGAGGGGATGGATGAGAGGATAGACAAGGAAGTTTGAGAAATAAGTGCGTGAAGGAGTTTACAGGGATGAGGGAGAGAGACAAGGTGGGGGGGGGGGGGGAGGGGGGTGGAGGGGGGGGGGATTTGGAGAGAGAGAGAGAGAGAGAGAGAGAGAGAGAGAGAGAGAGAGAGAGAGAGAGAGAGAGAGAGAGAGAGAGAGAGAGAGAGAGAGGATAAGCACTCTGCACCACCTCTCCTCTAAGCAATCCACGCCGTCTTGCCTGCCTTGCCTTACTATACTCTACCCAACTCTCCTCTCCGCTCGTGCTGCTGCTTCTCTTCCTGGCGTTACTGCTGCCATCCCGCCCATGCTGCTGCTCTTGCTACAGGGACGGAAAGCTACCATCACTCCCAGCACCTGCAGTGGTGCCAGTAGCACCGCCAGCAGCCAAGCCAGTCGTAGCAGCGGCTGTAGCAGCAGCTGTAGCAGTGCCTGCAGCAGGGAGAGCTGCTGCTGCGGCGGCTGGTGTTGCTGCATGTGCCTGCTGTGCCTCCCGCCGAATGGGATACTGCAGGGGCTGTCGCAGCAACGACTGGCTTGCTCCTCCTGCTCCTCCTGCTGCTGCAGCTGCCCCTGCTGCTGCTCCTGTCATTGTTCCTACATGGCCATTACTCCCACTACCAATGCCAGCGCCACCACCACTGCCACCACTGCTGCTGCCACTAGCCGCCCTGCTACTGCTGCTACTGCTGCTGCTGCTGTTGTTACTGCTGCTAGCCACAGCAGCGGACGGGGCAGCAGCAGCGGACGAAGAGGGGGACGAGGAGCGAGGGGAGTGGCGCCGTGGGTGGGAGAAGAGGGAGAGGGACGAGGAGAGAGAGAGGGAGGGGGAAGCCAGAGGCAACCCACCCCCGGACTGTGACAAAACGCGTGGTGACACTAACGAGGGGCATCCAGCCCCGCGAGCAAGGCCGCTGCTGCTGCTGCCGCCGCCGCCGCTGCTGCTACTGCTATTGCCACTGCCAGTGATGGGCAGCGACGAGAGATTGAACGAAAACGAACGGTGGTTACCACTGTTACCACCGCTGATGCTAGGCCCTGCTTGATCCTCCGTACTGCTGCTGCCCCTTAGATTCCTAGCGCTCCTACTGCCGCCAAGGCTTAAATTACCACCACCAATACCCGCATGCCCAGTACCAGAAGTACCACCAGATCCAACGGCCGAGATGCTACCAGATTCTACGGTCGTGACGCTACCAGATCCAACGGTCGAGATGCTACTCCCAGCGGCACTCCTGCTGCTGCTGCTGCCGCTCCCCCCTGCACCGCCACTGGTGCTAATACCAGCGCTCCTGTTGCTCCCGCCTGCTAAGCTTTGGCGGAAGGAAAGACTCGAAGCTAACAGACCTCCTCCCGTTGCAAGCACCCCTCCTTCGTTATTATCACCTTCGTTGAAGTAGTACCCACCCAGGGTAGCACCTGCACTCATGCTGTTGGTAATGGCCTGGTTGCTTCCGTTGCCATTACTCCCCCCCGCGCCCATATCCCCGCCTGTTGCCCCTCCGCCTCCGCCTCCGCCTCCCCCTCCCCCGCCGCCTCCGCTGATCAGCCGGCGCAGGGATGTTGCCATCATCGCGAGGCGCGTGCGCGCGCCGCCGCTCCTGCTACCCACCCCCCATCCTCCTCCCCCTGCGCCACCTGCGCCACCCCCCTGCGCATGACCGCCGTCCAGTCCCCCGGCCCCCCCGCCTCCTCCGCCTCCCCCGCCCCCCATAGCCCCCAGAAACCGCATACCCACGGCGGTTGCGGTCAACTCCTCTTCCGCGCCGCCCCCCACTCCGCCTGCTCCCCCGCCCGCGCCAATCGCGCCCGCACGCCCCAGCGCATGAAGCCCGGGGAAGTCGCGCACCAAGCGCCCGCCGCCCAGCTGCTCCGCCGCTGCCGCGCCCTCCCCTCTGCGCCCTGCGCCATGTTCCCCCCCCGCGCCAACCCCCCTGCGCCGTCCGCCGCCCAGCATCATCCCGTCAACCGGCTCCGCGATCACCACTCCGCCCGCGCCTCCGCCGCCGTTTCCGCCGGCTGCCCCGCGCGCGCCTCCCCCAGCCCCTCCGCCAGCCCCGTGCTCCCTATGCGCGTGCGCGTGCGCGTGAGACGACGACGAAGCGGATCGCGTGCGCTCCTGCGTGATCGAGAGCGCCGGCCGCTGCTTCTGCAGAAAATCCAGCGAAGACGGTGTAACATTCGAACACCGGCGAACCTTGAGCCGCTGTAGCGAAGGACACCCGTTCGCGAGCGCGATAATCCCCAGATCGGTAACCCGACTACAACCCTTCACGCACAGTCGTCTGAGCGACGGACAGCCGTAAGCCAAACACGCCATTTCTAAATCCCCCATCGCGGAGGACGAGCACAGAGTCAATCGCTCCAGCCCGCGGCAGTTAGTCGCGAGCGGTTTAAGACTAGCCGCGGTGCACGAGTGCGCTACGAGCACGAGCTCCTGCAAGTCGCGGCAGCAGCGCGCAATAGCGCCTAAACCCGTGTCGCCTATATGGCCGGGAGCCCACCCCTCGATGTGAAGCCGCCGTAGCCCCGTGCATCCCGCCGCAATCGCCGCCATGCCCGCGTCCGTGCAATCCGGCGTGCGGACGACCACGAGCGCCTCGAGCTTCGGGCAGCGCGCCACGGCCTGTAGACCGCGGTCCGTCAGCTGAAGCTTTTCCAGGTAGACCTGCGAGAGTTCGGGCAGCCGTTTCTGCCCGAGAGAAGATTCCAGAACGCGGTCCCAGTACCCGCCGTTGCGCGCGAGAATGAGCGTCTCGAGATTGCCGCACGCCTCGAGCAGGGGAGTCCAGATGGTCGAATTTGATTGGTCCTTAAGGCAGAGACGGCGGAGCTTCAGGTTCGAGGGGGTGAGCGGCTCGAGTGCGCGATCCGCGGGGGGCTTCATGCTGCATAGAGAAAGGGGGAGACAGGCCGGAAGCAAGGGGGGGATGGGGGAGGGGAGTGGCGGAGAACAGTGAGTATGGGAAGACGGGCTTCATGCTGCGCGCGGAAACAGGGCGGAAGGAACGGCGGGATGGGGGAACAGGGGACAGGGGGGAGGGGCGGGTGGCGGAGGGCAGAGACGGTGGTGAGGAGAAACACGGGGCAACGTCTCGCGTTGGCACACCCACCCATCGCGAAAAATGCCACAGCGAATGTCAAATACTGCAAAGTTTTGGTAACACACTTCGCCATTGCGCGTACCTTCGCTTGACCGTGAGGTCCTCCAGCAGGGGGCAGCCGGCCAGAAGCGCGTTGAGTCCGCGCGTGCCGAACCCGCACCCGCCCACCGAAAACTTGCGCAGATGCGGGCACGCGCGGGTGAAGCGCTCCATGCCCTCATCCGTCACCTGCGCGGAGGAAAGGGGTGGGGGAGGGATGGGAGGGGAAAGGGAGGGGCGGGGGAGAGAGGAGGGAGGGGGGACGGCAGGGAGAGGGGGGACGGCAGGGCGGAGGGGAAGGGGGAGGAACAAAAGGGGAGACGACAGGGGGGAAAAACAGAAGGGGGTAGCAGTTAGAACGGGCTGGAACTTGCGCAGATACGCGCACGCGCGGGTGAATCGCTCCATGGCCGGGGGAGGTGCGGAAAGCACAGGGGCGCGAGGGAAGGGAGGAGACGAGAAATATGGAAAAGCTGGAAGCGAAAGAAGCATTTCTAAACGTCTCGAGTCAACAATAAGCCGTCCGCGCCCTTGCCCCGCCGAACCCTTTCCCCGCCGCACCGTTTCCCCGCCGCACCCTTTCCCCGCCGCACCCTTTTCCCGCCGCACCCTTGCCCCCCTGCACCCTTGCCCCGCCGCACCCTTGCCCCGCCGCGCCCTTGCCCCGCCGCGCCCTTAGCCCCCCGCGCCTTTACCCCGCCGCCACTAGCACGGCCCCGCGACTAGCACGACCACGTGCACGCCAGTTACAAAGCACGTGGTTACCACGTGACTAACCTGCTTGCAGTTCTTCAGCTTGAGCTTCCGCAGCAGCAGGCATTGCTCCGCCACGAGCGTGAGCGCCGCGTCGTCCACGCTCTGCACGTTGCGGTCGCATTTCAGCACGAGCTTCTGCACCGCACAGAACCGCTCCAGCAGCCGCGGGAGCTGCTGCGTCAGCTCCGTCGTCGCCCGCAACGACAGGTTCGGCCGAGACTCCGAGTCCGTGCTGCAGTTTGGAAGCGAGTAGGGAGCAGGTACGGAAATAAGGTGGTCGGAAGTAGGTCCGGATTAGGTTTCAGAAGTAGGTTCGGAGGGTACTAGAGCCGGGCAAGCAAGCACGCCGCCAAGTGCCTCACCTCATCCATCTCCGACAGACGAGCAAGCACGCCGCCAAGTCGGAGGTGACTTTTGAGTCGACTCAAAAGTCACCTTTTGAGTCGACTCAAAAGTCACCTAGGGTACTAGAGCACGTCGAGAGCACGCCGCCTAAGTGCCTCACCTCATCCATCTGCGACAGACAAGCGAGCACGCCGCCAGGTCCGCCGCGTTCAGCTGCCGAAACACGGCCGCCAGACAGTCGTCTGGCAACAGCGAAATGAGGTTTTCCTCCGACGACGATGACGACGACGCTGACGACGTCGCCGTGTCCGCGTGCGACGGGTCACCACCCGTGCGACTGTCGAGCTCCAGCGAACAATTCGACGCGCTGTCCTCGTCTTCGGAGTGATCCGACACGGGCTTCTGGACCAGCGCCATTGGCGGCGAGTCCTGTTGCTGCTGCAAGAGAAGAATAAACCCCTTCTACGAAGCTTCGCGCGTTTCAACGGTCGATAGGCAGAAGAACCCCCGCTCGACTATGCTCCGTTGAAGGGACACCGAAAGAGAAATGCGATAATACACGAGAGCTGCTGCGGTGGACGAAGCCTCTGGAGTACGTAACTGGAGTACCTGACTGGTAACTAAGGCTGTAGCCTACAGGATAAACGCTCCAGCGAGGAACTGGAAAGCTCGATGCACCACGTCACTGTTCCAACTCTATAATAACTACGAGAAGAGGTAAGAGCGACGGAAGAACCACGAGACGGCGGCGGTGATGTTGAAGTCACTTCTTGTAGGACTCTCAGACGGGACTAGGAGATAACGGGTTGAAGAACGCGGCCAGTGCGAAGAGCTTCTGCTAATTCATGTCTTTGACGGTTTAGGAGGAAAGAATCAACGTGCTAGTTATTCTTGTGACATGACCAGCACATGACCAGCACTAGATTCTCCTCTCTGGCTCTTACCATCACGATCAGAAACAGGTTGTAGATACGGCAGAAACACGCGTAGCATGGGCATATGGGCTTCAGCTGGCGATAGTTGCGGGAGGAAAGACGAATCGGAGGGTGGGGGATGGCACGAGGTTCGATCTGGGTGGGTGCAGCGGGTGCGGCAGCAGGCAGATCACGGAGGGAAAATCGGAGAGAAACACGGAAGGTGCAGGTTAGGGACCTTGGGAGCTTGGGGGACAAGCACGAGGTTGGGATGGGAGGCCATTGGGGTATGGAGGAGGTTGTTTGAGAAGAGGAGGGCTACAGTGGTTGGTTCGGGATGGGAGGTTTGGGGAGTATGCTGGACCATGGGAACTGGGGAAAGGAGGGTTACACGTATCTGTCGGGTGGCTTGGTCAGGAAGGACCCGGTTCGGTTCGCGCTCGCCGAGCCGATGGTTTGTGGTATGGGTGGTGGGGAGGCAGCCATGCTGGCAAGCTCAAATACTGCACACGGCGGTGGTGAATCGTGATGATTGTGTGCGGGTGGTGGCGATTTGAAGGCAGTCTCCGGTCAGTAATGTAAATGTTTTCAAGAACAGTGGTACATTACCTGAAAATGAACTTGCGGGGCAACAAACCCTGACCAAATCTTGAGGGCATGATAGGCTGGTGTAGCAGGCCAAGTGACCAACAGGCTTGGTGATTGGTGACGGCGTCGTGCGAAACCCGAGGCCGGGTTTGGTGGGGTGGTTCGGCAGGCTTCAGAGGGGCGGATTCGGTTTCGCCTGGGTAGGGCATAACGTCCGGCGACGCAAAACTCTGATCCGAACATCGCGCAGCGGGAGGAAAGGTGTAATGGATTGGATGCGACTGGTATCGGTGACAGTTGACGAGACTTGCGACGTATGCGGCGGCGTTAGGTGTCGTGTGATTCGCGGAGCGGTGTCGGGCTCGGTTGCGCACTTGGATGGACGCGAGACTTCGGAAGAGGTAACACAAATCTTGCGATAATAAAAGAACCATTAATTTCAACTCGGCTATGAAGGTTCGACCCTAGGATCACATCGGGAAGGTTAGCACACAACTGAGTGGTGGTGGGCCCTTGACCTCAATAGCAGAGTGAATGTAAAGTGCTCGAGATGATTAAAACATGCAAAGACAAAGATCGCTTCGAGTCAACTCTGATTTCTCGCATTCATCCTCGTTACCTCGTGCTTCGCTTAGCTGCGGTTAGGAGTGTACAATAGCATTTCACTATTCGTAACACGGGGAAATCCAATATTATCCAATCGGGTTAGGTTGGGTCATGGAAATCATGATTATAGATTGGTAGTCAAACAAGACCGCGTATCAATATTGGTGGCACTAGTAGCCACGTTTGTCAAACTTGTGAAATCTGAAATCTAGTAAAATGTGCAAAGAGGAGAGGGAGCCCTAGTTTTGTTTGTTTTTATTTTTTTCCTCGTTTTGGTAGTTCAAAAGATTAGGAATATTTAGCTAACGTCTTGCTCAAATATGTGAATTTAATGTAGGGCTACGTGGATTTGGTGCTTTATATCCTTAGTAGATGAAGCGTATGGGAGGATCAGAAATGATTAATGGTTTGTCCGGGGTTTGGCAGCTGTGGTGTGTACGGCATCCGAACTGCTCAACCGTTGGATCCATCCAGCAACAGTCTGGCAATTTACTGTATCGCCACATCCAGGACCCTTCACCTACGACAATCAGCCGTATCTATGATTCGCCCATTTGTACAGCGGCCCACGTGGGAGGTGGAGCAGTTCCAATGAGTTCAACTTGTGACCCTAACAATCGCTCTAACGGGTAACTCGAATTCTGATGGCTGCAATTAACCCGTTCCGTGTTTTAGTACCGCAATCGTTTCTCCTTGTTTTGCAGTGGTTTCAATGCATGGTTCCTTCCAAACGGATTCATGCTCAGTTGTCTCGGCTCAACGTGAAATTTAGGGCGCGTGTGATCTTGGGTTTTTGGTCAAAGTTCGAACTTAAACCTCTTTGCACGGTTGCAAAAATCTCTCAATTGTATTTCACTGTGTAAAACCTTTCTAGAAAAGCGAACTCTCGGAAGTTCGAAAAAAAATCACACGCGCCCTTACACATTGAGGACTTTATTTCCATCGTAGTAAACCTTTTTAGACTCGCTTTGCAGTTCAGGCATTGCAGCCAAACCATGCCACGAAATCGCACAGGCAGAAGGGGACAAGCACGCACAGGTGGTGATTGGACGTGCCGAGCCTGCAACAGGTACGGCACTGGTGCTGGAAGAACCTCGGTTTGGGTTCTACGAAGCCCAAACAAGCTTTGGACATGGAACAAGGTTGTTGCAAAAACCACCATCTGTGTTCAAATTTCAGCGGGTCAAGGTGATCCGACTTGCTAAACCTATGAGATATCTTAGCAATAACCGGGGAATTGCAAGTGCCTTTTAGCAAAATCATGACACGAGGCCCAGCCAACTGAACCGCGCCAGCATATTCTTTCTAACTCTCCTCATCACTCAGTACAAACCACAAACAGCACAATCTGGAAACAAACCAGGACCCGAAAGTTCCGCTATGCCCCCCTCCGCCTCGGACAGAAACTGGCGCTTGCGCGCACGGCGCTTGCTGCTCGCGAGGGCCAACTTGGCGCGCAGCAGAAAGCTGCGCCAACCTGCCTCCCGCTCCCCACAAGCCGACCTAACCTAACCTATCCTGGCAGGCAACCTAGAGACCTCCTACCAGCACCTAATTACCCCCGACACAGCGCAAAAGTGCCGCTCCTTTCTCCCGTGTCCTCCGTAGTCCGTTCGGCACTCCCCATGTCCGGTGACTGATCCTTCTAGTTCGCTCATCTGTTCTGGTGTGTAGAGGAGAACCAGGGCACCTGCCGTCACTTCGTCGTTTCATTTCCAGCATCAGAAACGTGCAAAAGGTGTAGGCTCCAGCTTCAGTGCACCACTAAACTTTCGTTGTACATACCAAGCGTCTACCGACGCCTGTATCTCACTAACCCATTCGCTTCGATATTAGTCGCGTCCATCGTCTTACAGGAAATTCTCCGTTGACATTCTGACATTCTCCATTGGGGGTTACTAACGACGAGCCTTAGCGTATAACCCTAGCTCGTTACCACCTCCAGATATATATATATATATTTTTTTCCTCTGGGTCGATTGCGAAGTAGCTCGATATCAGGCTAAGGCAACATTCACACGCAGCGTCGAAACCGAGCGTGACCATCCGCCAATTACTAGTCGGAGACTTGCCTGTACAGTTCCCGCCATTTTTTCTAGCAGGAGATTATCTCCAGCTGCTGGTCGAGTCAGTTCGTCAACACTCATTTCCCGGCCGCCGACATCCTTTAAACTCCTAGTCTTCCCTAGTCTGATCTTCCACTCTCTTCCTAATCTTCTCCTCGAATCGCGTCAGAAGAACAGCTCCTAATAGAAAGGCAGTTACGAGGCGCCATGAACAGGTACGTGGCTTACCAGTTTTGTTCTATTTCCGTTTCTGCGCGCGCTCGATCTGCTAGATCTGCCTGTTTTGTTCCGGGCTGTGGTAATTGGAGAGTAGGCAGAGACACGTGGTAAGATGTCTCAGCGATTCCAGGAACACGTGACACGTGAAGGTAGTGACACGTGGCTGAATTGGAGAGTCTAGAGACGTCTTATAATCAGTCGGTCTTGCAGTTTGGCTAGGGACACGTGGAGGGGCTGTAGGACACGTGGAGGAGCTGTAGGACACGTGGAGGAGCTGCAGGACACGTGGAGGACTCGGAAGAGTACAAGGCTTTGCGCCAGTTAGGGGTGGCTGGAAACGGTAGGGTTGGATGAAAACGACAGGGTTTGATGGAAGGCGATAGGGGTTGATGGAAAGGATAGGGTTGGATGATTGCTTTCCGCAGATTGCCTCATTGCACTGCGCCAAGTAGGGATGGAGACGGTTGGGGTGGACGGAGTGTGTGAGGGTGGACGTAGACTGTTAAGGTTGACGGAGAGGGTGAGGGTGAACGGAGACGGTAGAGATGAAAGGAGACTGTTAGGGTGGACGGAGACGGTAGATATAGACGGAGATGGTTAGAGTGGACGGAGATGTGTGGACGGTTGGACGGAGCTGATAGAGATGGACGGAGTAAGTTAGGGTGGTCGGAAATGGTAAGGGTGGACGGAGACGGCAGGAGTGGACAGAGACGGGAAGGGTGGACTGCGACGGTTAGGGTGGACGGAGACGGTAGGGGTGGATGGAAACGGAAAGAGTGGAAGGAGAAGGTAGAGGGGAGACGGAGACAGTAAGAATGGACGGAGACGACTAGTACGAGCAACGTTTTTTTAGCGCAATTGCCGGGGGAAACGCGAGCTGCTGTTATTTGCACCCGTCGCTGCTTCGCCAGCGTCGCTTCTTACAAGCGGTCTGGAGAAATCGATGGTCTCGTACCGCGAGACCAATCGACTTCTATGCGCCTTTCCCGTTCGACACGTGTCCTCGACTCCGAGTGGCTTGTCGATGAGCTCGTTGGGAGTCGCGGTTAAGGAAGATTTTTAAAATTGTCCATCCTGTTGGGATTCCGAGTGGCTTGTCGAGGAGCTCGCGTGACTTGCGTAACATCCTCCATGTGTTACGCTTCCTCTCGAAACGCGTGCCAACACATGTGCCAAAACACGTCCCGAATCGTCTAGCGTTCGTCGATGTTTGGCCCGCCTCAAAACTGAGACGATTTTTTTAACGCCCCAAAACGCGCTCGTCGCGTAACCCGCGTGGCCTTTTCGACGTGTTTTGAACGGCTGTTAACGCGGTCGTTTCGGCTGTCGAAGGATACGCGTTATCAGCATATCCGGCAGTAGATCGTAGCACCAGAGGGAGGACCTGGGGTGGGCGTCAAAGAACATGAAAGGTGCGACTAAGATCAAACGAACGGGTATGAATTGTCCAAGCATAAAGACGCAACAAATAAATGAATCGTCGGGACATGAAATGTTACTGGGAACGCGGCCTGAATACCACGGGATCTGCCGATTTGCTTAAGCCGTTCCTGTCGCGTCTCATAGAGCGTGTCGTTGTGATGTTTGGAACGGTTGCGTAACTGCGTGTCTGGCAACCCATTACCTTGTCGTGCTCAACAACAACATATTTCCCCCTCCCCGCTTTCCCGCGTCCTCCTTTTCACCCCTCTTCCTCCACTCCCCCCCGTCCCCCGTCCCGCGCGCAGGTACAGTTCATGAAGCAGTTGGGGGACGGCACTTATGGAACCGTGTGGAAGGCTTTCAACTCAACCCATCCCTTGTCGTATTCAGCACACCCTCCCCTCTTCTCCCCCCTCCCCCGTCCCCCCCCCGCGCGTAGGTACAAGGTAATGAAGCAGTTGGGGGACGGCACTTATGGGACCGTCTGGAAGGCGCTTAACCTGCACACAAACGAAATTGTGAGTGTACAGTATCTGGGACTAGAAGGGTAGACGAGTGTAATTCCACTCAATAGTCACTTCCGTCTGGAAGGCGCTCAACCTTCACGCAAACGAAAATGTGAGTGTACAGTGCTAGGATCTGTCGAGTATGCGCGGGAAGTGTGCATGAGCATGCGAGACGCATAGACGTCATCTTACACCCCGCTTACCCCAGTCCATGTCTGACCCTCTCATACCATCTCCCTCACTTTCCCCACCCCCTCTTTCTCCCCTTCCCCCTCACCTCATCACCAGGTGGCGGTGAAAAAGATGAAGCGCAAGTTCTACTCGTGGGACGAGTGCATGAGCCTGCGAGAGGTTAAGGTGGGTAGGAGGGGAAGGGGGGCAGGGCAGGAGCGAAAGGATTGGGTCAGAAAGGGGAAGGTTGGGTAAGGATTGGGGGAAGAAGGGAGGGGGGCGGGGAAGAGAGGTGAGGGTGATGGGGATGATAGGTCTTTTGGGTAAGTGGATGCGAGGGAATGGGAATTTTGACTGTAGAGGCTGGTCCACCTTTTGGGGATTCTCCCGTCTGCTTTTGAGTTGACTGATAAGTGGATGCGAGGGAATGGGAAGTTTGACTGTAAAGGCTGGTCCACGCTTTGAGGATTCTCCCGTCTCTCTTCCCCTCCAACAACCCTTTTCCCCCACCCTAACATAGTGCGGCTGAAGGGCGTTCATCCTTACCCCCTTTCACCCTTCCCCTGCCCCCCTCTTCCCCCCCCACACCAGTCTCTACGCAAGCTGAACCACCCCAACATCGTGCGGTTGAAGGAGGCTAATTTGCCCTTTCCCTCCCCTCTGCCCGTCTCCCCCTCTCTCCCCTCACCTGCTCGTCTTCCCCCACTCACACCAGTCCCTACGCAAGCTGAACCACCCCAACATCGTGCGGTTGAAGGAGGTGATTCGGGAGAACAACGAGCTGTTCTTTATATTCGAGTTCATGGTAAGTTGTATTGGTGGGGGGCAAGGGTAGAGGAGAAGGGGGGGATGAATGAACAAGGAGTGGAAGGAGCGAGTTTGATATGCTCACAGCACAGCACTTGTAGGTGATAGTGCGGCTGAAGGAGGTGATCCGCGAGAGCAACGATCATGGTGAGGCGATGGGTGGGGGAGGGGAGGGGAGGGGGCAGGGGGGATGAATGAATGAGGAGTAAAGGAGTGGGTTTGCATCACTTTTAGTGCGGCTCAAGGAGGTGATCCACGAGAACAACGAGCTGTTCGAGTTCATGGTGAGCCATAGGGGTGGTGGTGGGGGAAAGGGTGTGGATGAATAATTGAAGGATGTGTGTGTGCGTGCGTGCGTGCGTGCGTGCGTGCGTGCGTGCGTGCGTGCGTGCGTGCGTGCGTGCGTGCGTGCGTGCGTGCGTGCGTGCGTGCGTGCGTGCGTGCGTGCGTGCGTGCGTGTGTGTGTGTGTGTGTGTGCACGCCCACATGCGAGGTCAGGAGTGCAACCTGTACCATCTGATGAAGGACAGAGAGACCTACTTTCAATCCATTGTCCTGTGACCACAGTGCCGCACATCTGCTTTCCTCCGCTCCTCTCTCCTCCTGCTCTCTCTCTCTCTGCTCTCTCTCTCTCTCTCTCTCTCTCTCTCTCTCTCTCTCTCTCTCTCTCTCTCTCTCTCTCTCTCTCTCTCTCTCTCTCTCTCTCTCTCTCTCTCTCTCTCTCTCTCTCTCTCTCTCTCTCTCTCTCTCTCTCTCTCTCTCCTTTTCCCACTGTGTGCCTGTGAGTGCAGGAGTGCAACCTGTACCATCTGATGAAGGACAGGGAGACCTACTTCCAAGAGTCCACCATTCGAAACTGGATGTACCAGGTAAGCCGGCCTTTTGAGTCGACTCAAAAGCATGTACCAGGTAAGCCTGCCAGGATCGTTGAATTCTGAGTTGACTTAAAAGTCAACTGGGCTATCCTTCTACAACACAAGCACTAGTGGGTTGACTTCAAACAGATTGATGTGCTCGTTCACATTCTGCCCCTTCCTTCTCCCTCTCCCCCCTCTCAGGTGCTGCTGGGCCTGGCGCACATGCACAAGCACGGCTACTTCCACCGCGACCTCAAGCCAGGTGGGGGGTTGAGAGGGGTTGGAGGGGATTGATTGAGGCAAGTTGGGGGGAATGGACTCAGGTGGGTGGAGTGGAGTGGAGGTAGGTGGGGGAGGGTGCATCTCCCCCTCTTCCAGGTGCTACTAGGCCTGGCGCACATGCACAAGCACGGCTACTTCCACCGCGACCTCAAGCCAGGTGGGGGGTTGAGGCTGGTTGGAGGGGAAATGCAGGTGGGTGGGGGCAGGTGGGTGGAGGCAGGTGGGTGAGGGTGCACCTTTCCCCACCTCCTCAGGTGCTGCTGGGCTTGGCGCACATGCACAAGCACGGCTACTTCCACCGCGACCTCAAGCCAGGTGAGAGGACTAGCTAACTGGGGGGCCGGGGGTTGCAACGCAGTGCGGGAGTAGATGGGGGAGTCAAGGCAGGTGGCGGGTCAAGCCAGTTGGCAGAATTTGGCCTGGCAATGGGGATTAATATCTGCCTGCCATGTGTGTTCGGCCTTTCTGTTCCATCCCATGTGTGCCTGCCTGTCTCCCTCCCCTCCGTCCTGTGTGTGCGTGTGTGGGTGCGTGTGTGAGTGCATGTGTGTGCGTGCGTGTGTGTGTGTGTGTGTGTGTGTGTGCGCGCGCGCGTGTGTGTGTGTGTGTGTGTGGCTGCCGCCCTTCCACTCCACCAATCAATGTGCATCCAGAGAATCTACTAGTGACCAAGGACCTGATTAAAGTGGCGGATTTCGGCCTCGCAAGGGAGATCAAGTCGCGGCCTCCCTTCCCATGTGTGCTATGCCTGACTCCCTCACCTCTATCCGTGTGCATACCTCTCACCTTTCCATCACCGTGCATCCAGAGAACCTGCTAGTGACCAAGGACCTGATTAAAGTGGCGGATTTCGGCCTGGCAAGGGAGATCAAGTCGCGGCCTCCCTTCACAGACTATGTCTCCACCCGATGGTGGGTTGGTGTGAGGATGGGTGATGTGGGGTCGGGTGGTGTGAGGGCCTGGGGTTCCGGGGATCAATGGTGTGGGGTTGGGTGAGTGGGTGGGTGAGTGGTGTGAGGGGGGGTGGTGTGAGGGGGGGTGGTGTGAGGGGGGGTGGTGTGAGGGGGGGTGGGCGCATGGGTCTCATCACCTTTGTATCTTTTAGTGTCCTTCCTTCCCTCTACCTCCTTCCCCCTCCCTTCTTCCCTCTCTCCCCCCCGCCCCCCCTCCTGCCCCCCTCCCCATCCCCCCCCTACTTCTCTTTCCCCCCTCCCCTTCCCTCTGTTTTTCTGCTTCTTCTGCCTGTGTTTTATTTTCCTTCCTTCCACCCGTTTCCTCTCATTCCCCTCTCATTCCCCTCTCGTCCTGCTCTCATCCTCATTCCGTCCTCTAATTCTCCCTCATTTCCTTCCGTCCGCCCGCTCCCTCTCATGCCCCCTCCCATGCTCCCTCCCATGCTCTCTTTCATCCTCGTTCTAATTTTCTCTCTCAGCCCCCCTCTTGTATTCCCTCATGTTCTCCATGTCATCTCACCTCAGGTATCGAGCACCGGAGGTGTTACTTCAGTCAACAGTTTACAATGCCCCAATAGGTGCGGTTTGGTTGTGCTTCAATTGCTTGCATTGCCAAGGGTTCGGGGTTCAGGTTGCAGGGTTTACCACACAGGCCCCAATAGGCATGTGTGCACGTGCGCACATCTGCTGCCTGAATCCGTGCCTGCACTCTCATCATACCACCCTATAATCTGTTATGTTGAATTTCCCTTGCCCCTCCCTTCCCTCTTCCCTTCCCTCCCCTCCCCTCTCTTCCCCGCCCCTCCCCCATTCCTCGCCCCCTCCCTCTCCCCTCCCCTGTCCCCATGCAGACATGTGGGCGATAGGAGCAATCATGGCAGAGCTATTCACACTCGAGCCGCTCTTTCCAGGAGCAAGGTACTGCCTCTTCCCTTCCCCCTTCTCTCCCCTTCCCGTCTCCAACTCTCCTCCCCTCCCCCCTCGCCCGTCCCGCTCCTCCTCCCCCAGTCTCCCACCTCCTGCCAAGTCCGCCTCCTTTTGGAACCTACTCAGATAAACTACCAGCAATCTCCTCCGTCTTCCTTCCCCCGCTCCCCTTCCTTCCCCCCTCCCTTTTCCTCCTCCCCTTCCTCTCAGAATCCAAATTTCCACTTCACTTCTCCCCATGGGTTTTCCTCTCCCTTCCCTTCCCCACGCCAGTGAGATCGACGAGATTCTCAAGATCTGCGCTGTCATCAGCACGCCAACTCCACTCCGCTTCCCCTCATGCATTTTCCTCCTCCTTGTTCCTCTTCCTTACCTTCCACTCCCTTGTCTTCCATACCCTTCCCTTCCTTTCCCCTCGCCAGTGAGATAGACGAGATTCTCAAGATCTGCGCTGTGATTGGCACGCCCACTCCCAGGACATGGCCGCAGGGCCTCCGCCTCGCAGCTTCCATGAACTTTCGCTTCCCTGAGGTGTGCTTGCACGCCATGCCACGCCATTTGTGCTGTTCTGTGCCGTGTCGCAACATGCTGAGCCATGCCATGTCATGCCATGCCATGCCATACTAGTTAGTTCCTCTCTCAAAACACAGCAGCTGGATGCTCACTGCTCTTTGCTCCTAGGACCCGGCCCAACGCCCCACAGCACTCATTCCCATCCCATCTCTTCTTTTCTCATCCCTTCTCCTTCGCCTCTCTTCGTCCTGCTCCACTCCCACTGGCCCATCTCCCTCCCCATTTCCTCCCCCCGCAGTATTCGCCCATCCCGCTCTCTCAAATCATGCCCATGGCATCGGACGAGGCAGTCGACTTGGTCACTGCTCTCTGCTCCTGGGACCCTGCCAGGCGCCCCACCGCCGCACAGGCACTGCAACACCCCTTCTTCCTGGTGAGAGCCCGTTGCAGTTCGTGTGTGTGGCTGTGGGTTCAACGGGGATTCACAAGGGGGGATGTAGTGTGATAGAGAGGAGCAGTCGACCTGGTGCCTGCTCTCTGCTCTTGGGACCCTGCCAGACGCCCCACCGCCGCACAGGCGCTGCAGCACCCCTTCTTCCTGCTGAGAGGCCGTGGCAGGGAGTGGGATGAGTGGGGATTTACCAGGGAAGAGGGGGGGTGAAGGGGGAGGTAGTGTGATGGCGAGGAGCAGTCGACCTAGTGATGCCTCTCTGCTCCTGGGACCCTGCCAGACGCCCCACCGCTGCCCAGGCGCTGCAGCACCCCTTCTTCCTGGTGCGAGGAAATAGCAGGCAGTGGGTGTGTGGGGCAAGTGGGATTCACATGGGTGAGGAAAATGGGTAAGGAGGGGTGCGGGAAGGTTGATGTAGACACGCAGTCAATCGTGTGACTGCCCATTGCCGGCCACTGATGCCCTTTGTTCTCTCCCCCCTCTTCTCTTTCCTCCTGCCCCTTCACTTCCCTCCCTCCCCCTCCCGAGCAGAAGGGAGTGACCCTCCCTTACACACCCAAGAAGCCCAAATCCTCCTCCTCCTCCTCCGCCACCACTGGTCCCGTCGTCCCCATCACCACGCCGTCCCAACTCGCCGCCGCCTCCCACGCTGCTCTTACCGGCTCTCTCGGTGTCTCCAACCCAGGGCAGTCCCTCCTGCAGCCTGTGCCGCGTGCTGTTGCCTCTCCCCTGCATGGAGGAGGCCCAGGCGCGGGACTGGGGCATGGGCAGGGGCAGGGACAGGGGTATGGGAGTTCAGAGCAGCAGCAGCAGCAGCAGCAGCTGGAGCAGCAGCAGCAGCAGGTTCCGGTTCCGAAGCTGTACCAGGCACAGCAGCAGCAACAGCAGCAGCAGCAACAACAACAGCAGCAGCAGCAGTACCAGCAGCAGCAACCCCAGCTCCCCCAGCAGCAGCAGCAGCAGCAGCAGCAGCAGCATTTGTTGAGTCCCACCACCCAGCTGAGTCCGAGAATACAGCAGAGCCCACTACAGGACGGCGAACCGCTAAGCCCTCACATGCTCCCCAGCCCCCTACACGCCCCTCTCTCGCAGGCGCAGGCGCAGGCGCAGGGAATGGGGTTAGGGCAGGGAGGAGGGCAGGCGGGAGGGCAGGGGCAAAGGCAGGGCGGGCAGGTGCGGAAATGGCACCAGCAGGGGCAGAAAACGGGGGGGCAATTGCAGCAGCCGGTGCAGCAGCCAGTGCAGCAGATGGGGGGACCGATGGGGGGCGGGCAGGGTCAGGGGCAGGGGCAGGGGCCTTTGGTGCAGGGCGGAGGATCAGCAATTGGGGGGTATGGTTCTGGGGTGCAAGGAGGGGGGGCATATCAGCAAGGCTCCTTGTCTCCCCTCCACCTACAGTCACAATCATCGCAATCACAGTCGCAATTACAGTCTCAAATGCAGGCACAGGCACAGGCGCAGCTGCAAGCGCAGCTACAGGCACAGCTGCAGTTACAGTCGCGCCTGCCCCAGATGCAACCTCCCCCACGCTCCCCCCAACGCTCAACCTCCCAGAACCCACCCCGATCGCCTCTGCGCTCGCCCCTCCACTCCCCCATGCACTCTCCAGTGCACCCTTCCTTAGAAGGATCCTCTGTGAGGGCCTTACAAGCCCCTCAGGCTACCCAGCAGTCCCAGCAGGGACATTACCAGGGGCAACAGTATCAAGGGCAGCAATATCAGGGGCAACAGCAATATCAGGGGCAGTACCCCCCCCAACAGCAGTACCAGCAGCAGCAGCAGCAGCAGCAGCAGCAGTACCAGCAGCAGTACCAGCAGCAAGAGCAGGGGTATACGGAGCGGGGAGATGAGGGAGGGGCAGCGGGGGGGTATGCAGACGGAGGGGCAGACGGAGCAGGGGGAGGGGGAGGGGGAGGAAAGTCGGAGAAGCGAGGATTTTTCTCAAGGAAACTGGGCGGGTCGAAGAGTATGGGCAGGAATAATGCGCCTGGTGATGCAAAGGGAGGGGGAGGAGGGGAGGGGGAGGGGGAGGTGGGGGAGGTGGTGGGGGTAGCAAGCTTGCGTCATTGCAACGATATGGAAGCCAATTACTAGGTGGGCTACATTCCCGAGTTGACTTTTGAGTCAACTCAAAAGTCAACTAGGTGGGGGAGGAGGAGGGGGTTAGCAAGCTTGCTTTATTGCAGCGATATGGAAGCCAGTTACTAGGTGCGCTGTCTATTCTCCACTCCCTGTTTCAGTTGCCTTGAAAGCAATTACTCGGTGATGCGTCTTTAGACGCCTTGACCCATGTCGGGGCCATCCCGTCCAATCCAATCCATTTCATGCCATGCCATGTGCTCCCATGGCCTTCTCTAACTCTCCTTGTGCTCTCTCCTCTCCCTCTCCTCTCCCTCTCATCTCCCTCTCCTCTCCCTCTCCTCTCCCTCTTAACTCCCCTCATGTCACTCCCTCCCTATGCCCTTGTGCCCTTCCCTCCACATGCTCTCTGTGTCCCATGTATCCCAGGCATGGCCCGCCATTCAGCGTCTGCCTCTGTCAACTCATCGAATGCGATCGGCTCCATATCCAGTCGATCCGTAAGAGCACCATGCGTCCATCCGCACCGCTGCGCATCCATCCACACCGTTGTCCATCCATCGGCACCTCTGTGCATGCATTCACCAAGCATTTATTTGCTAAGAGAATTCATGCTATCTCTTGCCTCACTCTCCCCAACCCCCTTCCCCTCTCCATATTAACACTCTCTCTTTCCCATCCTCCCTGAACTTGTACATCGTTCAGCCCCTCACAATCCCTCACAACCCCTCCAATCCCCTCTTTACCCCTCCCAACCCCCTCTTTCCCTCCCCCGTGCCTTTTCGTCCAGGACAAGTCAGTCTCAGCCAGCCAAAGCAACTCTGCAGGAGCAGGTGAGGCGTTAAGCCTAGGAGCGCAATGTGAAGTGCCCACTTACCCTCCCCCCCCACTGTCCGACCCACCTTATTTCCGCTTTTCACTCATTTATCACTTCACCTGCCCCTTCTGCCCGCTCCCCCTTCCCCGCTCAAAGTCCCTCTCCGTCTCCCCTTCCCTCCACCTTTTTTTTCCGATATTCCTTTCCCGTTCCCCCCTCTCCCACCCTCCACCTGGTTTTTCTGTCTCTTTCCCCTCCCCCCCAAATCTCCAGTGCTCTCTCGCTCAGGCTCTGTGGTCGAGTCTGCCTCTCCACCCGCTTCGCCTCACCAGCTCGCAGATATTGGCAGGTACATGCATGCGTTACGGGTGTTGCTTGTGCGTTTCGTGTGTAACATAATTGCTATGCGTGTGGGATGTGTGCCATGCGTGCGGAAATTGTGTTTTCCAGTTCTATCTATTCACCCCTCACTCCTCATTGCTCCTCTTCCCTGTCCCCATTCACCCTCCACCCCCGTCGTTTCCCCCCACCACCCCTTTCCCGCCCTGCACCTGCACTGAAGAGGCACATACCGGTATCCAGCCGCCCACAGTCATACCCCCAACGGTGCTGCTGCTGCTGCTTTTGGCTGCTGTGCTTGATGTTATTGCGTCTGCCCTTCCTTCCTCTCCCCATTCACTTTCCAATCCCCCATTTTTGGCCCCACCACCCCTCCCAACCCAACGCAGAAGAGGCACATACCCAGCCGCTCACACTCATACCCCCAACGGTGCCGCCGCCGCCGCTCCTGGTAGCGGCAGGTACTATGAGGACTATGGGGACAGTGGTCGAGGGATGGGGGGAGACGCTCGGGGAGGAGGTGGTGGTGCTGCTGCTGGTGGTGGGATGCGGGGTGGGATGATGGGTGGAAGTGGGCAATATGCTGTGGAGCCTCCAGGGTTCAGGGTTTACTAACATGGGAAGAGGCGGTTTGAGGAACCGCGGTGGGTTTATTCCATAGCTGGGGAAATAAATCTGGAGTGGTACTGGCATTACTGCTCTTCATTGTTTTATTTCCTTCGCTCAGGGCGCCTCAGTTCTGAGGTGGTATTTTTTGGCTGCGAGGGTCCCTGACAGCCCAGCAGCTTAGGCACTAATCCCTTGGTAGATGGTGTTTGATTGACATGGTGCAGTGTAGCACCCGCACAAGATGAGCGTTCGTTATGTATTTTGTAACTCAGACTTGAAAGCAATGAATGGTTGCCTTAGTGTACATCTTCGTTACCTGAAACCCTTTTGTTTTGTTCGCAAGCACGCGGGGGGACCAAACGGTTCACAACAGACAGATGGCACCACCTACCAACCAACACAGGTGTACTGTTCTGTACTTTTTGACGCAAATCCGCATCGCATCACTTCTCCCCACCGCCACAATTCACCCAGCGGAAGAGGAAACTGGGGTTGGTCGCGCCACTGGCGGAAGAGCTCCGTTCCCCCGCTGCGCTCGTGTGTGTCGTACGGCTATCATTTGTCAGAGACACTTGTTGCTGGTTGGTCCACCCAAGTGACATGGCAATCACCAAGTTTTTCAGAATGGTTCAGAGGTTCTATATACGTTCCAAAGCTGAAACCCTTCGGTTTAGATGTATCAATGTCCACACGTTATCCAACCTTACTTCCAAACCGAACCTTGGGATGCTCGCACTGTTTTCAACCAAGGCACGAGCTGCTGGGTCAACTTGATAGATACGAGGTGAAATGGAATTCCCGAGAGTTCAGGAATCGGAAATCAGCGCTTTAGTTCTGTTCCCGAACGCAGCATCGTAGGGAATTTAAAATAGGCATGTACGCTAGTTGTTGAAGTACAGCGACTTTAATATTCAGGTCGAGGTTCGAGGGGCTCAGGCACTAGAAAATGTTCCGCATTGTTCGCTCTTCTGCGATGCGTTCAACGAAATTTCAGCATTCGGCGACAGTGGAAGGTTAGTAGCCGATTCTCGGGAATTACATTATCTATTTTTCATGAGTTGGCCTGTTACTTGACGGCGCATCGTAGTACATAGAGATATACCAAATTTGTATTCTTATCGCTTCAATAGCAAGTCTATTGATAACGGTAAGCATTTGTTCAGTGCTTGAATCAGGTCTCAATTCGTGCCTTTCGTAGTTCTCGAAAATGCAGCGACAAGGACATCCAGCTTATTCCAACGTTTCGTCCCCACCCTTCCCGTTCTTCCGCAGAGATTCGTTAGGCGCTTTACTAAGCACATCACTCCTGCCAGCCGAATTACTCTGTCTTGGTACACTCCACGACTGCGGAGGTCTTTTGCTGATGCTATCTGCTGCTTAAACGACCGCACCTAGTGCTGCAAATTGTCAGGAGTGGAAATAGTAAGAAAGGAGGTACTTTTAAGCAGCTATGATCAGAGATCGAGGAGCAAACGGCGAACTAAAGCGGCTATAGAAACGCGATTAGAGAGTGGATGAATGGAAGATCGGGGAAAGGGTACAATTGGAGAGTGAAGGAAGGGATATTCCATAACTTATGACCCCCGGAGCAGCTATCATGATAGATTGACGTGCTATTATCTAAATTCGTCTACTCGTCTGTTCGAGCTTTGGGTATGATCAGAGACGGGAGGCTAGCTGCAGCTGTGGCTGCGGCTAAGGCTGCGGCAGCTGAGAAGGAAGCAGCGGCAGAGAGAGCAGCGGCGGCAGAGAGGACAGCATTGGGAGAGGAAGCGAGAGCAGTTATAGCAAGCGAAACGACAGCACAGGTCCCCACAGGCGCCGCCGCTGCTGCGGATTTCAATGCCTCTGCAGAAGCAGCAGGTGTGTCTCGCGATGGACGGTTGGCGGCAGCTGTGGCGGCTTCAAAGCCCGCAGCCGCAGCAGCAGCAGCAGCAGCGGCAGAGGGAGCAGAAGCAGAAAGATTAACAGCAAAAGGAGCAGCAAGCGATTTGGTGCAGGGGGGCCTAGGTGCCACCTCCTCTGCTGCAGATTCCTTGGCTTCTGGTGGAGCAGGAGGTGTGATAAGAGATGGACGGCTGGTGATGGATGTGCCTTCAGATGGACGGCTGGCAGCAGCCGTGGCGTCTGCAAGAGCAGCCGCAGAAATGGAGAGAGCAGTGAAAGTAGCAGCAGAGCGAATCGGATACCCCAGTCCTGCTGCTGCTGCGAGTACCACTGCTTCCGGTGGTGCGTTGACCACGTTGACCGGTCGGGAGGCTGAAAGCAGAGCGAGCATTGGGCAAGGGAGGGCAGTGGGAGGGGAGGGGAGGTCGGCGTCGCTTCAGAGGCTAGAGGCGAAAAGGTTCAGCGGTAGGGAGGGTGAACGAGGGGTGGAGCGCGGTGGAGAGGGGCGGAGGCGGACACGGAGCAACGTCTCTCTGATGGACACAGGGGTAAGGGAATCATGAGGCATCTCAAAATCTTTCGCTGAGATCCGCTGTCGATATGCCCATCTTGCAGGTTTCACATCTGGAGGAAGGAATGGGGAGAGAAAGCTTGTCTCTTGAGATGCCTAAATTAGGAAATTTTCTTTTCATAGTCCCTCGTTTGAGACGTCTAAACTCTGTGTGCCTGCCATGCAGGTGCTACGGCTGGAGGAGGAGGTAGAGAGGGAGCTGGCGAGGCAGGAGCCTACATGAATGGTCTTCCCATGCTCTTCCCACGGCCCAATGGTCCCTCTGTCTCACCGCCTTGCAGGTGTTACGGCTGGAGGAGGAGGTACAGAGGGAGCTGGCGAGGCAGGAGAAACTGGTTGATCACTGTTGCACAAACAAACCCCTCCTCTCCCCCCCCCCCCCTTCCCTCATTGCAGGTGCTGCGGCTGGAGGAGGAGGTAGAGAGGGAGCTGGCGAGGCAGGAGAAGCTGGTGGAGCTGATTGCTGTGGCAGGGGCTGACATGCCCACACTGCCCGTGCAGGTGAGAGTTAAAGGAAAGCTGGGGCAGGGAAGAACCAGAGAAGGTGCAAACTGAGGCAGGAGAAACTGGTGGAGCTGACTGCCGTGGCAGGCGCTGACATGCCCACACTGCCCGCGCAGGTGAGAACCAAGTTAAGGGAAGGCTGGATCAGGTGCAAACCGAGGCAGGAGAAACTGGTGGAGCTGATTGCCGTGGCAGGGGCTGACATGCCCACACTACCCGCGCAGGTGAGGGCTGGAGCAGGGGAAAGATTGGTCAGGTTGAAACTACGGCAGGTGGAAGTTTGGGAACGCCAACACCAGGGCCAGTGAAAACGGAGGCAGGTGGGAACTGGGACAGGTAAGAATCGGGACAGGTGAGAAGAACTAGGAAAGGTGAGAACTGGGACAGGTGAGAACTGGGACAGGTGAGACCCGGGACAGGTGAGAACCGTGGCGGGAGAAGCACCCCTTGACACCTACCCAACCATTCCTCTCAAAACCCACCACACCCCCATTCCCCCCTTTCCCCCACCCCTCCACCCCTCCATTCTGCCTTGCCCAAGAGGAGGAGCAGGACCGGGCAGAGAGGCAGCTGCACAGGGACATGCACCACTGGCACAAACGGTGCAATCTGCTGCTGGATTCTTGCTCTAGAGTCACCACTTTCCTTACCCCATCCTCCTCCCAGAACTCACTGTTTCCTCATGCACCTACCGACAGGAGGAGCAGGACCGGGCAGAGCGGCAGCTGCACAGGGAGGTGCACCACTAGGGGGACGAGGTGGCACAGGCACGCGCAGCAGCTGCTGCTGCTGGAGCTGACAGTAGAGAGGGTCAACCTTTCCGTCTCTTCCTACGCCAACCATCATGCATGTTAACAGGAGGAGGCACGACTGGGGGCACGAGGTGGCACACACACGCACGCACGCTGCTGCTGGAGCCTCGTTCCAATCTTCCATCCATTCCCCCCACACTTAAACCTACAGGAGGAGCAGGACCGGGCAGAGAGGCAGCTGCATAGAGAAGTGCACCACTGGGGGGACGAGGTGGCCCAAACACGCAAGCTGCTGCTGGAGCTGACCGTTGAAAGGGTGAACTTGGAGAGAGCACTGGAGCAGGTTCACTGGGCTGTTGGTTCTCCCGGTGCCGTGCGCGCCGTGCATACTGCTCAGATGCAACTGTGAGTATAAAGGAAGGGGGGTGGGAAGGGGAGTGAAGGTAGCGGTGGGGAAAGGGGGGGGGGAGGATAGAGGGTGAACCTGGAGAGAGCATTGGAGCAGGTGCACTGGGCTGTTGTTTCTCCCGGTGCTGTGCGCGCCATTCACACTGCACAAATGCAACTGTAAGTTTGCCTTGGAAGTGTGCGGGTATGCGGGTAGCTGGCCCAGACACGCAAGCTGCTGCTGGAGCTGACGGTAGAGAGGGTGAACTTGGAGAGAGCATTGGAGCAGGTGCACTGGGCCGTGGGGTCGCCTGGGGCTGTGCGCGGTTCACACCACGCAGTTGCAGCTGTGAGTCTGATGGATAGGGGGGTGGGGAGGAGGAGGGGAAGAGGTGGGGCGGACGGGGTGACGAGAGGATCAACCTGGTGCAGTCCATGCAGACCGCACAGAAGAGGACCAACCTGGTCCATGCAGGGCGTTCAGACCGCACAGATGCCGCTGTGAGTTTGATTTAGGGGTGGTTCAACGGTGTGGATATGGATGTGTGTGTGCGTGAGCGTGCTAGAGAGCCCTTTCTCGTGCCTGTGTCTCTATTTCCTGTGTGCCGGCCTGGCATGTAAGCGCACAGGCTGCGCCTGTGCGTTGAGTCAACTCAAGCTACACCCTTTGTCTGTTTTCATGTCTTGCTTTATTTCTGGACTGTTCCCTCATGTGAGCACACAGGTTGCAGCTGACAGCGCAGAGGGAGGTTCTGAAGGAGCTCATTCACAACGAGAAGAAGGAAAATGAAAAGGTGCGTGCGTGCCTGATAATCATTCAGAAGAACAGCTTGAAAGCCCTGCTTGTGAGCGCACAGGTTGCAGCTGACAGCACAGAGGGAGGTGCACAAGGGGCTAATTCAGAACAGAGGAAGGAGTAACGAAAAGGCGAGTCATCTGGTGGTTTAGAAAGCACCTCAAAAGCCGAGCATGTGAGCACACAGTTTCAGCTGACAGCACGGCGGGAGGTGCACAAGGGGCTAATTCAGAACAGAGGAAGGAGAACGAGAAGGTGAGCTGTCTGGTGGATTAGGAAGCACTCAAGAAGCCAGGCATTTGAACACACAGGCTGCAGCTGACAGCACAGAGGGAGGTTCTCAAGGCGAGTCATCTGGTGGTTCAGAATAGAGGAAGGAGAATGAGAAGATTCGTTTCTTGGGAAAACTGAAAAGGTGTACGGGACAAGGGAGAAACAGGCCGAATGCAAGGCCAAATGGGGGAAAAAGGGTGAGGGAAAGGCAAAAAAAAGAAAACGCGCGCGCAAGTGTATTTGCACGTGCGTGCGTGCGTGTCTGTCTGTCACAGTTCAATAATTCGCGACCTTCTTCCCCCCACTTTCCCTTCACTTCTTCCTCCCTTCCTCTTCCTCACAGGTAGAGGAGTTTCTGGACCAGATTCTGAGCGACCCTGCAGTAGATACCACCTCCCCCGGGTTCGCCTCCCTCATAAAGGACCTCATCCACACGCTCACCACCAGCCCGCCTGTCCTCCCAGCTGCCACTGCTGCCATCGGCGCCGCCTCTGCTGCTGCTTTTGCTGCTTATGCCGCTGCTTCAGCTGCTGCAGGGAGTGCAGGCGGAGGGGGAATGGGAGGGGTAGGGAGAGGAGGAGGAGGCGGAGGAGGAGGAGGAGGGGGTGATTTCCACTTGGCTTCTGTTGGTTTCTCTGGTGGTAGTGGTGGTGGTGGTTCTCGGGGGTCTATTCTGGGGCATAGTTATTCTACCCTGAGTGCTAATACGCAAGTGCATCGGCTGAAGGACCTTATAAAGGATGTGACTGATTTGAAGGGGGCGAGAGAGGGGGGGCGGCGGAGGAGAGGGGGGAGTGGGTCGTGGGAGGAGATTGGGAAGAGGCTAGAGGCGGAAGGAGGGGGAGGGGGAGGGGGAGGGGACAGCATGGGGAATGTGGACTGGCAGGGGCGAACGGGGTTAGAAGAGGGGAGCGAGGGTCATACAGTGGCGGGAGGAGGCAAGGGAGGAGGAGCGAGTGGAAGTACAGGGGGGAAGTCCCGTCTGAAAGTGCTTCAGAAACTGAAGAAAAAGGTGAGCAGCGCAGGAGTGGGGCCGTGGGGAGGGGAGGGGGGAGCTGGGGGCGCAGGGGGGGGCGGAGGGGGAGAGGAGGCGGGAGATGGGGAGGAGATGCATGGGTATCTCCCTGGTGGGGGGGTGGTGTCGCCAAGAGGGGGAGAGGGAGGGGGGGCAGCTTGGGGTGGGAAAACAGGCGCACATCTTAGGACAGGCAGCGGTGGTGATCCTGGTGCTGTGAGTGGTATTGGGTATGGTGCCGGTGCCGGTGCTGTTGGTGGTGGTGGTGGAGGTGGTGCTGCTGCTGGTGGGGCTGGTAACAGCAGTGGTCTCTCAGGCGCAGGTAACCAGGTTACCAGCAGCGCAAAGCCTTTGAGTAGGGGCATGTCCCCGTTTAGAAACCTGGGTCGGTATTTATCATCCACTGAAGCAGACCTTAAAGCCCTGGCTGATGGTGCGGTTGGGAAAACCGGGGTTAGGATGGTGCGTGGGCGGCGTGTCTCGGATGTACCCTTGCAGCCGGACCGAGATAACAGTAGCAGCAGCAGCAGCACTCACAGCAGGAAGAAGGTTCCGAGCTACCCTGGTAGGGGAGAGGCGGAGGAGAATAAGGAGGGGGGAGTGAGAGGAGAGGGGGGTGTGAGAAGAGGAGAGGGAAGAGAACGGAGTGTGGGAGGGGTGGGAGAGATGGATGAGGAAGAGGATGACTCCCTACCACCTCAAGCTGTCAGGTCTGCCACTCAACCCATCCTCAAGCGCTCCTTGGCGCGCCGAGCATCCGACAATAGGCAGGACCTCAATAACCTGGATTTTCCCCTGCCAGGCCCTTCCGACCCGCCTCGCTTTGCTGCTGCTGAGCTTGCTGAGCCTTCCAGTGGTGGGAGTGGGAGTGAGTCTCTTGCGCAAGCCCATACAGGAAAGGATTCAGGAGTAGATTTGAGGCGAGGAGCAGTTGGGGGGAAGGGAGGGGAGGGAGGGAAAGGAACAAAGGGAGGGGAAGGTAGGGAGGGGAAGGTAAAGGAGCGAGGGGAAGGAAGCCTAGAGAGAAGGACAGGAAGGCGAGGGGGAGAGGATGCCGTTTTACGAGAAGAGAAGGGAGAGAAGCGAGAGGAGGAGGAGGGAGATGAAGGGGAGGAGGGGGCAGAGGGCGAGGAGGGCGAAGAGGAGAGGAAGGAAGGGGAAGAGGGTGAGGGGGAGGAGGAGGAGGAAGAGATGGATGAGATGGCACAGGGAATGTGGTCACCCACATGCTCCCCAGCAGTCTTCTCTCGCTTCAATCGTAGTTCCTCTGCTGTTCACCGCACTGCTGCTGCTGCCGCTGCTAACACTCACATTCCATCACACGCTGAACATGGTCATGGGCATGGGCATGGGCATGGGCACGGGCATGGGCATGGGCATGGGCATGTGGGAGCACATGGGCGTGAAGTGAATCTGAAGGAAGGCACTGACGGGGTTACTCCGAGGCAAAGGAGTGACGGTGATGCAGCAGCAGCTGCTGCTGCAGCTCTCAGGTCTCGTTCTCTCCGAGAGGGCTCAAAGGGCTTTGAGGGTTTTGATCGGCCAGGGGAATCAAAGTTCCACGACGGGTCAATGGATCCTCCTGACCCGGTTCAGGGTATCACGCTTGCTCCGACGTCCCTCGTGCCTTCCATGTTGCTTGCGAGTAACAAGAGCCCTGAGCGCATGCGTCCCTCTCTCTCCTTCCGCCGGGCTAAAACCCCCGAGAGACACCATTCGTACAGTCCCACTACCTCTCACTCCTTCTCCCCATCCTCCTCCTCGTCCTCCTCCCGCCCTCGCTCCCCTCTGGGTAAGATGCTGTCGTTTGCAGTCAGGCATACCCCAGGCATACACGCTGCCTATGCTCGGAACAATTCCGAGCCTGGTGGTGTTGCTGCTGGGTTCGTTCGGACTAGTTCCGAACCTGGTGATGAGGCTCGGGATGGCTTGTTCAGTGACCGAGCCAGGTCCGGCCTGTCTGATGGTTCGGAGAATGTCTTTGGCTGGGGAAGGCAGGGAGGTTCATTGAGTTTTAGAATGGAGGATGCAGAAGCGAGGGATGGGGAGCAAGGAGGGCCGCCTTTTGCTGAAAGCAATGAAAGCAAGGACGGTGCAACTGGCTTTGGTCCTGGTGCTTCTGATTCAGCTGCTTCTGCTGGCTTTGGCTCGACTGGATTCGCCTCCCAGGAACAGGAAGCCAGCTGCAGGGCGGAACAGCCTAATGTGCTTGTATTGGACGATGACTATACAGGGGGTGAAGGAGGCACGAGTCCCACTGATGAAAACGCAGCAGATCTTGCCGGAGATTCTCAGTCTGCCGCTGCCCATCGGAAGTTCCTGGCCGTTGGATCGTTCTCCGAGATGGTCCTGGGGGGGCTGGAAGGGAGGGTAGGGGAGGGAGCGGCGAGGGATGGGAGGCAGGGTGATGGAGAGGGCGAATGGGCAAAGGCAAGGGGTGCAAATCAGCAGGAGATTCGGGAGGAGGATGGGGAATGCGGCGAAGGGGACGAGGGGAGTGTGCACTTACGGGGGCAGGAGGGGGGTATCTTTGGGTCGACTCAAGACGAGATGGCGTGTGAGGGGAAAGAGGAGGGGAAAGGAGAGGGGGACGGGGACGGGGAGGTGGATATAGAAGCTTTTGTCAAAGGAGAGAGTGAGGGCAGGGTATGGTGGGAAGTGGTTGATCGTGGTGGAGAGGTAGTCGAGGAGGTGGAATTTCCTAGTAAGAGCACTCTGCAGCAGCAACAGCAGTATCTATCAACTATGCTTGAATCCCTGATCGCTGCAACAGAAGCAGAGCTTGGGGGCAAAGGAAAGAAGGAGCAGGGGAAGAAGGGCAGGGAAGGGAAGGAGAAGAAGAGCCGAGGATTTTCCAAAAGAGGCGGTAAGGAAGGGAAGGCTAGTAGCAGCGGCGGCGGCAGCAGCGGCAGCGGCAGCGGTGGTGGTGGTGGTGGTGGTGGTTCTGGATTCGATTTCAACCTGCTTGGAGGATCTGTAGTGGGTGGGTCTTCTGGGAGTGGGATGGCAGGAAGTGACGGTGTGTGTAGCACTGGGATTGCCACAGCAGGTGCTGCTGCATCAGCAGCAGTTTCAGCTCCGTCGCGCTCGCAGCAACACCCCAAGCCTCCGCTGGGTTCGGCGCCAGGCTCGGGAGCAGCCTCGGCAGCGGCCGAACCTGCCAGCCGTGCACCGGCGTCCAGCGGCAATGTGTTTGCGAAGATCGACTCACCAGAGCAGTGGACGGCTGCTGACGTGGCAGGCTTGCGTTCGTCGTCAGGCATTGATTTGCCAAGCCTTTCCGGACCTGCTGCCGAACCTATTTCCGGGCCCGAGCTGGAAAGCCCGAGGAGGACGAAGAGTGTAGGCTCGGTAAAGGAGAAGGTGGTGGGCTTAGCTTCGGAGTTGGATGTGGGGTCTGCTTCGGGATTGATTGCCCCCATTGGCATGAAAACAACCTGTTTACGGGCAGATGAAGGGGCAGATCGGGCAGTTGAGGAAAACAACGAAGGCGTTGCATCTGCTCCCCTTTCAACCGCACCTGTACCCCTTCAATCTGCACCTGGTGTGCACGAGCCTGTTATGCCTGGGGTTGGTGTTTCACCTGAGACAGCACTTGAAGTATCTCCTGAGACGTCACCTGAGCCCAGGCCACGCATCCCGCGTGTCTCCACTGCTGAAGCCCCTGCAACGGAACTGGTTACCAGAAGCGGCGAAAAGGTATGCACAAGCAGCACCATCAACACCAGCGGCACCATCAACACCGGCAGCAGCAGCGCGAGTGCCTACACGGCCACTGCTCCTGCACCTTCATCCACGGCCCCATCCTCCTCCTCCTCCGCCTCCTCCCACGCAGCAGAATCCTCCTCGCGCAAATCCTTCCGGAAATCCCTCGCCAAGTCCATAAACCACCTCCAAAAGACCATCAAAAACACCTCCTCATCCTCTCGCCTCTCCTCCCTCCCCGCCACAGACTCAGCCCCTCTCTCTCTCGAGCTAGACGACTACCGCTCCCGCCCGTGTGCGCTTTCAGAGGAGATGCTAAAATCCATTGCTACAATCTACCTGCACCATGCGCACCCTGCTGTGTGGGGGCTGGGAGAGGGGCAGAAACGCGCTGCTGCTTTGCTGCTCGCGTCAGACCAGGCTCGGGCTGCGTCGGGTGCAGCCGGTGCCACGTCAGACGAGGCCCACGGTGTGTCGGAGCAGGAGCAGGTGGGAGGGGAGGAGGACGTGGCAAGTGGGAAAGGAGGGTTGAGTAAGGCGAAGGAGGGAGCAGAGGGGGGAGAGAGAGGAGGTAGAAGCGAGAGATCTGATGATGGTGATGATAGTAGTGCCGGCACTGATACTTTAAGCTCCCTAAAAGCCCACGATGATCCGGAATTCAGCGGCACGGTTGCACTTCCTCCCGTCACTCCCTCCTTCGCGCCTCTCACTCCCTCCTTCCCCCCTGTCACACCCTCCCTCACTCCCTCCCTCACTCCCTCTCTCTCCAAAAAGCACTCTCTTTTCGCATCAGACGCGGGCTCTAAGTCCCGGAGGGGCCTAGCTCTAGCCTCTGCTACAGCCAAAGCGCCCCAGTGGCTGCGGTCGGCGTTTCCTGGAGGCAAGCAAGGGGGAGGAGGGGCAGCGGACGAGAGGGGGTGGGAGGGGACAGAAGAGGGGCTTGCACCGGGTGTGCCTGGGGCGGGTTTATCTGGGGCGGGTTTACCTGGCGCTGCTGCAGCGGCAGAAGACACGGGACTGACAGGAGCAGCAGCAGCAGCTGCTGGTGCAAACATTCCGGAGGCATGGCTTGCGGGGGATGGACCACCAGAGGGGGGCTTCGAGGCTAACCAGAGGAGGCCGGAGGGGTTTGTGGATCCGTACGGCGTGTTGGAGGGGCATCCCTCCCTCCCGGTGGTGGCAGCATACAGCAGCGCCATGGAGGTCACTGCCGTGCCTCCTCCGGAGTCTTTCACCAGTGCTGATGTGTTCCTGCTCTGCAGATACAGGTGAGTGACCCCTGAACCAGGTACCTATGGTGAGGGGATGTTGAGTGGGGCTGTGCTGTTGGAGGGGCATGGAGGGGCCTGCCTGCCAGCCAGTGTTGGAGGGGCATGGAGGGGCCTGCCTGCCAGCCAGTGTTGGAGAGGCATCCCTCCCAGCTGGTGGGGGGGGCATACAGCAGCGCCATGGAGGTCACTGCTGTGCCTCCTCCAAAGTCTTTCACCAGTGCGGACGTGTTCCTGCTCTGCAGATACAGGTGAGTGTGCCGGGCTGCCGTTCGTATGCAGGAAGGTACACCTCTTTGGCATCCCTGCTCTATCCCACGGCAACAGAATGCTGGCGCAGCAGCTGGACGATATGAGCCCGGCCCTGCTATCGTGGTACCACTGGAATTCACATGCTCCACTTGAACGTTAAGCCCCCTCTCTCTCCCTGCTTTCTATGCTTCCCTCCCACAACAGAATGCTAGCAGAGCAGCTGGATGATGTGAGTCCGGCGCTGCTCTCAGAGGACGAGCGTCTGGCCTTTTGGCTCGACCTGTACAACGCGCTGCTGCTGCACGTGAGCTCAGCTTTTGCCCTGCATGCATGTGAAGGCGGTGTGAGCGAGGTGTAGTGCATTGGCAGTGGTCTGATTGGTCTCAGAGGACGAGCGTCTGGCCTTCTCGATCGACCTGTACAGCGCACTGCTGCTGCACATGAGTCGGCTGCTGCTGCAAGTGAGGCTACCCATGATAGTACCGTAAGCTAGTTGCGAATGGCTACAGCATGCATCACCTTTCTACGTTCCGTCTCCCCCCCTTCCTTTCCACGCCCCTGTCTCTCATAACCCCCTTCTCCTTCCAACCCCTTTCCAGACATTCCTGGTGGATGGATAACCCACAACACATGCAAAGCGCATTGCAGTGTCTATTCAGCCACCCAATGCACACGTCAAAGACCAAGCGCTTTGCATGTGTTGTGTGCCACCCACCTTCTCCTTCTGCCCCCCTCCTTCCACTGCCCACGTCAACCTCTCTCTCCCCCTCTCATTCTCCACCTTTCTCCCGTTTCAGACTTTCCTGGTGGATGGATACCCCACAACGCATGCCAAGCACATTGAACTGCTAAATCAAGCCTGCCACTGTGTCCCTTGGCTTGGTCCCCTTCCTTCCAATGCCCATTTCTACCCCTCTCTCTCCCTCCCCCCTTCTCCCATTTCAGACTTTCCTAGTGGATGGATACCCCACAGCACATGCCAAGCGCATTGCACTTCTAAAACAGGTTTGCAACCTTTCTTGCTAAGAGCCACAGTTCTCACTCAGCATCACCATTCAAGTGCGCAATGCATTGCTCAATCAGGTTGGCCACCTTAATCACTTTCTAAGTGCCACAGTTCCCACTCAGTATCACCATTCCCTCCAAGCGCCACTCTTCCCATTAAGTGCTCTGTCCGTGGCTCTTGTTTGGATTCTTAAAAGCTGCATTCACATCCGGAGAATGATAATGGTTTTTTTCTGGCCACTCACAACCACTCCTCACGCCCTTTCACTCTTTCCTCTCTCCCTTCTCTCCCCCCTCCTGTCATCTTCTCCTCAAACCGTTCTCACTCCAGGCCACATACACCATTCGGGGCACGGCAATCAACGCTTGTGAAATCCCTTCACCCTCGCTCCCTCCTCCTCCTTTCTCCATCCTCCTCGCTCCCTCTCTCCCCTTTCTCTCCCTCCTCGTGTCATCCTCCCCTCAACCCCTTCACCCCTCTCCCACCCCCTCCCACCGCAGGCCACATACACCATTCGGGGCACAGCAATCAACGCATTTGAAATCGAGTTCTCCATCCTCCGAGCGCATTCTTTCCGCTCCTCTCTGGTATTTCCTCCCTGACTTACTGCGTGAGTGGTCAGGATATAGGTCTATTCACAGGTTTTTACACTATTGATCCTGTTGCTCAAGTGCCTCGTTCATACATTTCCTGCCCTTTTACTCCCAACAAAGATCCTCTCTGTTGCCTCTCTTCTTTTGAAGCGCATCAAAATTTTCCGCTCTTCTCTCTGCTCCTTTCTTCTCTTTTTGGCGTCCCTCCATCTTCTTTGGAGGATTCGGTCTAGTAGGTTCCGCATATTCCTGCCCGGAAGATGCACTGTTGAGTGTATTCCCTTCACTCTTTCTCTTGTTCTTCCCCATTCTCTCTCCCCATTCCCCCTGCCATCCCATCAGGCCACAGCACTAAAGGTCCGCTTCCCTTCAAGCGACCGCCATTCCTCCTGGACCCTGCAGTCTTCCCAGCCCAAAGTCTCCTTTGTATGCTCTCTGCATTCCCGCGTGTAATGAGTCGATTTTTAAGTCGACTTAAAAATCGGCTCTCTGCATTCCCTTCCCTCCTTGTTCTCTCTTCCCCCTTTCTTCCATTTCCCCCCCTCCCACCCCATCAGGCCACGGCACTAAAGGTCCGCCCCTTCCCTCCCACCGACCGCCGCTCCTCCTGGGCCCTGCACTCCCCCCACCCCAACGTCTCCTTTGCCCTCTGCGTTGGCAACTTTTCTTCGCCCCTGGTAAGGATTTCTGAGACGACTCAAAGTCGTCTTCTGGACCCTGCAGTCGCCCCATCCCAACGTCTCCTTTGCTCTCTGCACAGGCTCCTTCTCTGCTCCCCTGGTGAGTGATTCAAAACCACTTCGTCCCTTCCCTCCCACCGACCATCGTTCCTCCTGGGCCCTGCAGTCGCCCCACCCCACCATCTCCTTTGCCCTCTGCACTGGCACCTTCTCTTCGCCCCTGGTGAGTCCTCCCTATCTTCCCTGCTGTGTAATCAATCTTTCGTTCCTCATGCGCCCTGCACTCCCCGCACCCCAATGTCTTTTTTGCTCTCTGCAGCGGCACGTTCTCGTCTCCCCTGGTGAGTCCTCCTCTCTTTTTGTTCCTTGAATCCACCTTGAATCCAAAACTCTTGCTAAGCAATAACTCGCTCTCTGCACCGGCACGTAAGGGAGAGCAGAGCTGGAGGGCGCAAGGGAGGGCTTCCTCGAGCTGGCAGTTGGGCTCAGTTTGGATGACCGCCTTGTTTCCCTTCCCCTTCGCCTTTCTCCACGCCCCTCCCTTCCCCCTTCCCCAGCTGCAAGTCTACTCACCGCGCACAGTGAGAACGGGGTTGGAGGGCGCAAGGGAGGGCTTCCTCAAGCTGGCTGTTGGGCTCAGTCGTGACAACCGCATTGTTCCCCTTCCCCTTCCCCTTTCCCCTCCCCTTCCCCTCCCCTCTTCCCCAGCTGCGAGTCTACTCACCACGGACGGTGAGAGCAGAGCTGGAGGATGCAAGGGAGGGCTTCCTTGAGCTGGCAGTAGGGCTCAGTCAGGACAACCGCCTTGTTCTCCCCAAAATCCTTGACTGGTGCGTGAACCAAAAAAGAAAGAAAAAACTCTGTGATGTAAGCCCTTGTGTGTTGCTCTTCTCGGGGCTTGTATCAAAGCATTTGCCAGAATTCTTTGCTGCCTTGTGATTGGCACACCATGTTCCTTTCACACCCCTTCTACCGTTCACCATGTTTGTTTTTTATTTCTTTCTTTCTTCTTTCCCTGCCCCTGATTATCTTCTGCAGGTATTGCGCTGACTTTGCTGATTCCTTTCCATCGTTGCTTGAGTGGGTGTTACACCAGCTCTCCCCTGCACCACGGTTGGCACTGGCAAAACGGATTGCTCAAGCCAATCCCACATTAGCACAATGTGTCGAGGTGGCGCCATTCGATTGGTCGGTTCGGTACCTTATCGACCCAAAAGCGCTCACTTTGAACACAGATGGCTTGTAATCCATACATACGGTAAGAGTTGTGATGTGACGGAGATAAGATTCTGAGAGATAAGAGCATATTGTGGACGAACAAAGGTACCAAATCGTTAATTCGTGCTGTGTTTTTGTGTAGTGCCTGAAGCCCCATATGATAAAAGTTCCAGTGTTCTCATTGGACTTGTCTTCATTCCATTACAGGGTAGGGTAACATTGATTACAACATCATATAGCATACATCAGGGAGATATATCTAGTGCTTACTGTCCCTGGTTTTACGAGATCGTCAGTGTACTGCAATGGAGAATGACAATTCCAACGTTCACAAATAGCTTTCGGAGGAAATTTTGCGATATCGAGTTGGCGAAACCGAGCTGTAACATGGCACGCCTTATCTATCAGAGCCATGACATACAAAACCACCTTTCTTCCCCCAGTGTCATTTCTCCAGCTTCCTGTCTTCATAAATTAGGTATTGCGTGGTGCTGCTTGCGTGTTCTGGTCTCCCTGGCAAATCAGCCATGGATGACCTAATTTAGGAAGCTTACCGTCGTGTTTAGCTTCATCTTAGTGTTGTCTGCCTCGTCTAGGTTTTAGGCAGACTGCACTCTTTAGTTTTCTTCTCTTTTCGTTTATTTCGGATCGGGATCTGGTTTTCCCCGAGTTTCTTGTTCTAGGTCAGGGAAACATTAGCGCGTGAGTTAGTCAGGGATTGCTTGTTTTAACGGTTGAGATTTCTCAGCTCCCTGTTACTTAACTTTCGCAACTCTGGATAGTCGCTTAGAGCAATAGCATGGGCGGAGAGGAAGGCGCAGCCGGCGCTGGCGCCGCAGCCGCAGCACCGTCCGGTGCTGGCGGAGGGGGAGGCGGAGGAGGTGGAGGAGCTCCCCCAGGTGCGGGGAGCGCAAGCGGTGGCGCACCAGCGGCTCCCGCGGGAGGAGGAGGCGGAGGCGGAGGAGGAGGGGGAGCTGATTCGTACATCGGGTGTTTAATCAGTCTGACGTCTAAGAGCGAGATCCGATACGAGGGTGTGCTGTACACCGTCGATACGCAACAAGCCAACATCGCCTTGCAAAACGGTAGCTTTTCAATATTCGCTCTCTGAGTTGATTTGTTCCCACTCGTATTTCGTTCTTCGTGTTTTCCTTCTTCCTAGTTCCTTCACGCTTCGTCGTCATGTCCCGTGTTTGTCGAGATGTCAGAATTGACCGGTTAAATGGTTCTTTCCTGTTTATGTTTTTGTTTAATTCGCGTCGCTTTTTTTTTTTTTTTTTTTTTTTTTTTTTTTTTTTTTGGCGGTCCCGGCGTATCTCGCGTCGCATTCCTTGATTAGCATCTTGTGACGCTTCCAAGTTTGCGGTTCTTATCTTTGAGAATCTTAATCATTCTTATGCCATCGGCCGTTTCCGAGTTGATTCATCGAACTATCTTTTCTTTCTTCTCCGATTCTGACTTATAAGCACCCGGCAGATCTTGAATGCCTATCGTATCCGAGTCCTTTAGACTATTGGTTGGAGATCTATCTTCCATCGTTCTAATGTCCAGTGTGCTCCTTTCAAACGCGATTATTTTAATCCTGTTTTTCGTCGTTTTCCCATCGTCCAATGTCCAGTGCGCTCCTTCGGAACGGAGGGGCGAAAGAAGGACGGCCCGCAGATTCCCCCCAGCGACAAGGTTTACGACTTCATCATCTTTCGCGGAACTGATATAAAGGTGCGTCTGGTTACCGGGTTACGGCTACACCATGTTTCCAGAACCGACTTCATTTCGCTTTTTAGTTCGTTCTGCGACGATTTCGCCCGTTTTGAGTGACGTGAGCGCGACCATTCGGATCTGTCGAACTGGTGCCCGCTGAACCCTGTTTGCGTGACCGCGGCGACTTCAGAGTTGCTTTGGCTTCATGGAACGTACAAGTAATAAATGCCAATTCGAGGTGACTTTTATGTCGACTCAAAAGTCACCTCATGGAACGTACAAGTAATAAATGCCAATTCGAGGTGACTTTTGAGTCGACTCAAAAGTCACCTCATGGAACGTACAAGTAATAAATGCCAATTCGAGGTGACTTTTGAGTCGACTCAAAAGTCACCTCATGGAACGTACAAGTAATAAATGCCAATTCGAGGTGACTTTTGAGTCGACTCAAAAGTCACCTCATGGAACGTAGAAGTAATAAATGCCAATTCGAGGTGACTTTTGAGTCGACTCAAAAGTCACCTCATGGAACGTACAAGTAATAAATGCCAATTCGAGGTGACTTTTGAGTCGACTCAAAAGTCACCTCATGGAACGTACAAGTAGTAAATGCCAATTCGAGGTGACTTTTGAGTCGACTCAAAAGTCACCTCATGGAACGTACAAGTAATAAATGCCAATTCGAGGTGACTTTTGAGTCGACTCAAAAGTCACCTCATGGAACGTACAAGTAATAAATGCCAATTCGAGGTGACTTTTGAGTCGACTCAAAAGTCACCTCATGGAACGTACAAGTAATAAATGCCAATTCGAGGTGACTTTTGAGTCGACTCAAAAGTCACCTCATGGAACGTACAAGTAATAAATGCCAATTCGAGGTGACTTTTGAGTCGACTCAAAAGTCACCTCATGGAACGTACAAGTAATAAATGCCAATTCGAGGTGACTTTTGAGTCGACTCAAAAGTCACCTCATGGAACGTACAAGTAATAAATGCCAATTCGCGAATTATTCTCTGCACTTGTTAATTCAGAGCATCGTCTCCGTCCGTCCGTGCTGTCGCAACTTAGCGTTTAGCTAAGCGTTTACAAATGTCCCAACGTCGTAGGTCCTAGTGCTAGACACACTTTGATTAATGGCTTTCCATTCAAAAGTTAGATTTCATATTTCCGCCTGTTCGTTCATTGGCCGATTTTATCCTTTTCTTCTCTTGCCGCTTTTTGCGTTTTTTTTTGTTCCCGTGCTCCTGCCACCTGTTTTAGGACCTTCAAGTTAAGTCCTTGCCTCGTCAGCAACAGGTAAATTCGCTGCACCGCTTCTTAATCCATGTGTTGTTACTGCACCCCCTCTCCCCCCCCCCCCCCCCGCTCCCCATCCCCCCCCGCTCTTCCCCTCTCCTCCTCCTCCATCTTTCTAACTAATTTGTCGCAATTTGATTTTTCTTCCTGCTCGCCCTCTCGTTCCACCCACAAACTATTTGCAGTTTTCTTTCCTCCCAAAATTCTCCCCACCTCTCCTCTCGCTCCGCCCCACAAACCTTTTTGCACACTACTCCCACCCTTCCCCCCATCCTCCCTCCCCACTACCCTCCCCTCCCTCCCCTCTCTCTCCCGTCTTGTTTTTAGTGAGATTATAACATCCATCTTGTTTATATCCGCCTTATGGAATTCTGGTTTGCTCAGTTTAGCCATTGTAATGTTGGTGCGATTTCCATCTGTGTCCTTTTTTTTTGTTGAAGTTACACTTTGGTACTCGAGCTCAAAATCTTATCCCCGTTATAACCTGTGATCCCGCAATCTCGCCACTTCCGTCTCCTACGCCTCCCCACTTCATCCCCCTTACTCGCCCCCCGCCGCAGGCACCCCCTGCGCAACCCCCACCGCCAGCGCCGCCCCAGGTCTCCCCCCCGCCCCAACCGCAGCAGCCTCCGCCGCCCCAATACCAGCAACCCCCCCCTTACCCGGGACCTCCCCCCCCAAGCGCCTATGGCCCAGGAGGTCCGCAGCACCCGCATTACCCCCCTCCGCCCCCCTCGGGCATGTGGGGGGCTCCGCCTCCCCCGCAGGGGGGGATGATGGGGGGTCCTCCGCCACCCCACGGCGGAGGGGGATATGGTCCCCCGCCCGGCCCCCCTCCCCCGAACTATTACCCCCCGCATTGGCAGGGGTACTATCCGCCAGGCGCGCAAGGGCCCATGGGCGGGCCTCCGCCTCCCCCTGGGGGGCCTCCGCAGGGTTATCCCCCCCACATGCAGCAGCAGCAGCCGCCGCAGCCGCCGCAGCAGCATCCGGGGATGCCCCCGCAGCAGCAGTACGCGCCCATGGGCGCGCCCCCTTCCGCGGGGGCGCCTGCGCCTGCGCCCAGCGCGCCCCCTGCGCCTGGTCCCGCGCCAGGCGCAGGTCCTTCCGCCCCACCCGCGCCTGCTTCCGCCTCTGAAGCGCCTGGCCCCGCGCAGGCGCAGGGTGCTGCACCCTCCCCTCCTGGTGCCGTAGATGATTCTGCTGCGCTGAAACAAGCAGCCGCTGCTGCCCCTGCTGCCCCTGCTGCCCCTGCTGCTGCTGCTGCCCCTGCTGCTGCTGCTGCTGCTGCCCCTGCTGCTGCCCCTGCTGCTGCTGCTGCTGCTCCTCCTCCTGCTGCTGCTGCTGGTGGTGCGGCCACCAAGCCAGCGCTTCTATCCCCTGCCGACCTTGCTAAGGCAACCGCACCACCCACCACCGCCCCAGCTCCTGCTGCTGCTGCCGCCGCTGCTGCGGCAGCTCCTGTTGCTGGAGTAAAGCCTGCTGCTCCTGCAACCGCTGCCCCCCCTGCCGTTGCCCCTGCCCCTGCTACTGTAGTTGTCACCCCTCCTGCTGCTCCTGCTGCCGCGGCTTCCGTTGCTCCCGCTACTGTTCCTGTTGCTGCTGCTCCTGCTCCTCCTGTTGCTGCTGCTACTCCTGCTGTGTCTTCAGCCGCAGCAGCAGCGGTTGCGGCTGCGTTGGCAGGGGTGGGTGCTGCAGGAGTGGCGAAACCTGCTGCTGCGCCTATTGTTGCACCGCAACCTACTGGCTGGGGTAAGTCAAGGTCCTACTCTCTCGCCTGCTCCTGCTCCCGCTTGTGCTACTTCTGCCACCGCTGCTGCTGCTGCTGCTGCTTCTCCTCCTGCTCCTACTGCCGTTTCTGCTGCCAACCAATCCCACGTCCTCCCTTCCGCTCCCCTCCTGTCCCCTCTCTTTCCCATGTATTTCTTTTTTCTCTTTCTTTCCCCGGTCTCATCCTCTCCCCCTTGTTGTTGTTCTTGTTTATTTCTGTACTCTCCTTCGGTATTTCATTTCTGCTATGCCACCCCAGTCCCCCCACCCCATTCCCCCCCCACCAACCCACCCGCCCACCCACCCTCACCTGTTTCTCGCATTATAGTTCTTTGAAAATTTCTATCCCTCAACCCCTTTGTACCACTGGTCGGCTCATTTCATTCCCGGTTGACCTTTTGCCGTTCCCTCCAGCTCCCTTTCCCCCTTCCCTCCCATTTCTGCTTTCCCGAACCTTTCATCTTTCTTTCTCAACCCTCTTGTGCCATTGGTTGCCTCATTCAAGTCTCTGTTGACCTTCTCCCCCTCCCTCTCTCCCTCTCTCCCTCTCTCCCTCTCTCCCTCTCTCCCTCTCCCTCCCCCTCTCTTTCCGTCTCTCCGTCTCTCTCTCTCTCTCTCGCTCGCTCTGCCCTTTCTCTCCCTCCCCTCCGTCTCTCCATCTCTTTCGCTCGCCCTGCTCGTTCTATCTGCCAGATACATCGAGCCAGCCGCTGCTGCCGCTGCCTCCACAACAGGCCGCTCAGGTATGTAGCTGCTGCTGCAGGGGGGGGGGGGGGAGAGGGTGTGGGGGGAAGCGGGGGGAGTGTGTTGGGGGGTGGGGGGGGGAAGGGGGGGGGAAGGAAGGGAGTGTGTTGGGGGGTGGGGGGGAAGGGGGGGGGAGGAAGGGAGTGTGGGGGGTGTTGGGGGGTGGGGGGGAAGGGGGGGGGAAGGAAGGGAGTGTGTTGGGGGGTGGGGGGGAAGGGGGGGGGAAGGAAGGGAGTGTGTGGGGGGGTGGGGGGAAGGGGGGGGGAAGGAAGGGAGTGTGTTGGGGGGTGGGGGGGAAGGGGGGGGGAAGGAAAGGGAGTGTGTTGGGGGGTGGGGGGGGGGGGGGGGGAAGGAAGGGAGTGTGTTGGGGGGTGGGGGGGAAGGGGGGGGGAAGGAAGGGAGTGTGTTGGGGGTGGGGGGGAAGGGGGGGGGAAGGAAGGGAGTGTGTTGGGGGGGGGGGGGAAGGGGGGGGGAAGGAAGGGAGTGTGTTGGGGGGGGGGGGGAAGGGGGGGGGAAGGAAGGGAGTGTGTTGGGGGGTGGGGGGGAAGGGGGGGGGAAGGAAGGGAGTGTGTTGGGGGTGGGGGGGAAGGGGGGGGGAAGGAAGGAAGGAGTGTGTTGGGGGGTGGGGGGAAGGGGGGGGGAAGGAAGGGAGTGTGTTGGGGGGTGGGGGGGAAGGGGGGGGGAAGGAAGGGAGTGTGTTGGGGGGTGGGGGGGAAGGGGGGGGGAAGGAAGGGAGGTGTTGGGGGTGGGGGGGAAGGGGGGGGGAAGGAAGGGAGTGTGTTGGGGGGTGGGGGGGAAGGGGGGGGGAAGGAAGGGAGTGTGTTGGGGGGGGGGGGGAAGGGGGGGGGAAGGAAGGGAGTGTGTTGGGGGGTGGGGGGGAAGGGGGGGGGAAGGAAGGGAGTGTGTTGGGGGGTGGGGGGGAAGGGGGGGGGAAGGAAGGGAGTGTGTTGGGGGGTGGGGGGGAAGGGGGGGGGAAGGAAGGGAGTGTGTTGGGGGTGGGGGGAAGGGGGGGGGAAGGAAGGGAGTGTGTTGGGGGGTGGGGGGGAAGGGGGGGGAAGGAAGGGAGTGTGTTGGGGGGGGGGGGGGGGGGGGGGGGAAGGAAGGGAGTGTGTTGGGGGGGGTGGGGGGGAAGGGGGGGGGAAGGAAGGGAGTGTGTTGGGGGGTGGGGGGGAAGGGGGGGGGAAGGAAGGGAGTGTGTTGGGGGGTGGGGGGGAAGGGGGGGGGAAGGAAGGGAGTGTGTTGGGGGGTGGGGGGGGGGGGGGAAGGGGGGGGAAGGAAGGGAGTGTGTTGGGGGGTGGGGGGGGGGGAAGGGGGGGGGGAAGGAAGGGAGTGTGTTGGGGGGGTGGGGGGGAAGGGGGGGGGAAGGAAGGGAGTGTGTTGGGGGGTGGGGGGGAAGGGGGGGGGAAGGAAGGGAGTGTGTTGGGGGTGGGGGGGGAAGGGGGGGGGAAGGAAGGGAGTGTGTTGGGGGGGTGGGGGGGAAGGGGGGGGAAGGAAGGGAGTGTGTTGGGGGGTGGGGGGGAAGGGGGGGGGAAGGAAGGGAGTGTGTTGGGGGTGGGGGGGAAGGGGGGGGGAAGGAAGGGAGTGTGTTGGGGGGTGGGGGGGAAGGGGGGGGGAAGGAAGGGAGTGTGTTGGGGGGTGGGGGGGAAGGGGGGGGAAGGAAGGGAGTGTGTTGGGGGGTGGGGGGGGGGAAGGGGGGGGGAAGGAAGGGAGTGTGTTGGGGGTGGGGGGGAAGGGGGGGGGAAGGAAGGGAGTGTGTTGGGGGGTGGGGGGGAAGGGGGGGGGAAGGAGGGAGTGTGTTGGGGGGTGGGGGGGAAGGGGGGGGGGGAAGGAAGGGAGTGTGTTGGGGGGTGGGGGGGAAGGGGGGGGGAAGGAAGGGAGTGTGTTGGGGGGTGGGGGGGAAGGGGGGGGAAGGAAGGGAGTGTGTTGGGGGGTGGGGGGGAAGGGGGGGGGAAGGAAGGGAGTGTGTTGGGGGTGGGGGGGGAAGGGGGGGGAAGGAAGGGAGTGTGTTGGGGGGTGGGGGGGAAGGGGGGGGGAAGGAAGGGAGTGTGTTGGGGGGTGGGGGGGAAGGGGGGGGGAAGGAAGGGAGTGTGTTGGGGGGGGGGGGAAGGGGGGGGGAAGGAAGGGAGTGTGTTGGGGGGTGGGGGGGAAGGGGGGGGGAAGGAAGGGGTGTGTTGGGGGGTGGGGGGGAAGGGGGGGGGAAGGAAGGGAGTGTGTTGGGGGGTGGGGGGGAAGGGGGGGGGAAGGAAGGGAGTGTGTTGGGGGGTGGGGGGGAAGGGGGGGGAAGGAAGGGAGTGTGTTGGGGGGTGGGGGGGAAGGGGGGGGAAGGAAGGGAGTGTGTTGGGGGGTGGGGGGGAAGGGGGGGGGAAGGAAGGGAGTGTGTTGGGGGGTGGGGGGGAAGGGGGGGGGAAGGAAGGGAGTGTGTTGGGGGGTGGGGGGGAAGGGGGGGGGAAGGAAGGGAGTGTGTTGGGGGGTGGGGGGAGGGGAGTGTGTTGGGGGAGTTTGTTGCCTCTGTTTTCTTCCTTCCCGCACAGCCCAATGGTGCGCTGCCATCTGGTCATGCGCAGAGGGGCGATGCAATCGGAGTCACCGAGCTCTTCAATCGCTAAATCATCATCATTCCTGCCTCTGTTTTCTCCCTCCCGCACAGCCCAATGGCGCTCTGCCATCTGGCCACGCGCGGAGGGACGAATTAACTCGATTTGTTACAAATTGCCCCTTGTTCTAAATGTCACCCCTCTTCCCTTCCCGCACAGCCCAACGGCGCGCTACCATCTGGCCACGCGCGGAGGGACGATCAACTAAGTGCTGTTCCTGTTCCCTCTCCCCCCCACCCCCTCCCCGGTCCCTCCCCGCCCCCTTCCCTACCTTCCCGCACAGCCCAACGGCGCGCTCCCATCTGGCCACGCGCGGAGGGGCGATCTAACCGATTGTTTTTTCCAAGTTCTTTTCGTCTTTAGAAATCTCAACCGTCATAACTGTTTTCTCTTTTTCTACCTTCCCGCACAGCCCAATGGCGCGCTGCCATCTGGCCACGCGCGGAGGGGTGGAGCGTCAGGAGGGAGAGGGCGAGGAGGAGGAGGTGGACGAGGGGGAGGGGGGACGTTTCACCAGCAGGTAGGTTTTTGAATGGAATCAAAAGGGAGGGAGGAATGAAGGGGGGTGGGAGGAAGGGAGGATGGAGAGATGAGCGGAGGGGGAAAGGAAGGGGGAGGGGTGGGGGTGGGGAAGGGGGAGCGGGGGGGGGGGGGGGGGGGAGGGGGCTATAACACCTCGAAGCTCGTTCTTTTTCTAAATTGCTTCTACACACACACCTCCGCCCCTTCCAGTTCCCTCCCGTCCTCCTCGCCCCCCAACACATCTCTGCCCCTTCCCGATCCCTCCCCTCCCTTTCCTCCCTGCACACATGGCCCAACCCAGCTCTCTGCCTGTCCCCCTCCCCCCACACAAATCTGCTCCATGCACCCCTCGTCCATCTGTAAAAACTGTTTCTTTTAGACGTCTAGAAAAGACTCCTTTTACTCGTTCCCTGCCTGTCCCCCTTCCCCCACACAAATCTGCTCCATGCACCCCTCGTCCATCCAACTCCTCCCCCATTACCTCTTTGAATGTTGGTCTTTCTTCAAAGCGTTGGCAGCGTATGCAGAGGAGTTTGATTTCAGTGCGATGAACGATGAACGTTTGATTTCAGGGGGTCAACAAGCCAGAGGTGTAGGGGGAGTTGGGGGGGGCATGCCTCACTCATGCCTTCCTTTTCCTTCCCCCCTTTTCCTCCTCCCTGCTGCCCTTCCTTCCTTGCCCCCTTCCCCACCCCCCTTCCCCCCCAATGCACTCCCTTGCATCCCATTGCATTTCTTTGCATCCCATTGCACCCCTCCGTTTCTTCAGAACGTTTCTGCCTACGCAGAGGAGTTTGACTTCAGTGCGATGAACGAGTAGTTCAACAAGGCAGAGGTGTGGGGCGAGCTGGGGGGGAAATTCCACGCTCATACCCACCTTCTTTCTTTTCTACCATTTTACACACATGCAACCGCAGAATGTAGCTGCATACGCAGAGGAGGAGTTTGATTTCAGTGCGATGAACAAGAAGTTGAACAAGGCAGAGGTGTGGGGCGAGCATGGGGGACATGACACACTCTTCCCTTTTTTCTCCCTCCCACCTTCCCCTCGCCCTGCTGCCCTTCCTTCCTTGCCCCATTCCCCTCCCTCCCCACCCCCTCTCCCTTGCCCCTTTTCCCCCCTTTTCTCCCCCCCCTCCTCCTCCACCCCAATGCTTCCCACTCCACTCCCGTGCACCCCCCTTCAGAACGTGGCAGCGTATGCAGAGGAGTTTGATTTCAGTGCAATGAACGAGAATTTCAAACAAGGCAGAGGTGTAGGGCGAGCTGGGGGGGGGGGGCGTGCCACACTCATGCCTCCCTTCTTCCCTTCCTTCCTCTCTCCCTCCCTGCTGCCCTTCCTTGCCGCCTTCCCCTCTCTCCTTACCCTCTCTCCCCACCCCTTTTCCCCCCTGCACTCTCCTCCTCTCCCCCCCCTTTCCCTCCCTCTCCTTCCCTCTCCTCTCATGTGCACCCCCCTCAGAACGTTGCTGCATATGCGGAGGAGTTTGATTTCAGTGCGATGAACGAGAAGTTTAACAAGGCAGAGGTGTGGGGCGAGCTGGGAGGGCATGCGGGAGCAGCAGCAGCAGCAGCAGCACCAGCAGCAGCAGCAGCAGCAGGAGGAGAGGGCAAGTGAGGAGCAGGAAGGAGGAGGAGAAGAGGGGAAGAAAGTAAGAAGTGTGAAGTGTGTGTGAAGAGAATTGGGTAACGAGAGAGGGAATGGGGGAAGCGTGAAAGAAGTTTGATGCTCCGGGGAAATGGGGATTGTTGTAGGTTTATGTGGTGTTGTGCTGTGAGGAGGAGGACAGGGGGAAAGGGTATCATGGAAGCAAGGAACTTGGAAAGTGTTGTAAAAGGAGCATGGTTTTTCGGGTATGGTTTTTCAGGCCTTTCAGATGATAAGAAGAATGTAGGGCGTCAGCAAAGGAATTTTTCCTCCACTCCCCCGTTCCCCTTCCTATCACCCCCCAAATAACCCCTACCAGGCGCCCACCAACTATGTAAAGGATGATTTCTTCGACTCGCTCTCATGCGATGCTCTCTCCCGGGCTGGAGGGGGCCGAGGTGGCGGCATGCGCGCGTCTGACATGCGACGGATGGACACTGAGGTGAGAGGAAGAGAGGGTGGGGGGAGGAGGAGGGAGGGAGTGAAGGGGGACAAAGGGGGGGTGAATGAAGGCTATCTAGGGCGGGAGGGGGGAGGGGTGGTGGCATGTGCACGTCTAACAGGGACACTGGGGTGGCGGCATGTGCGCTTCTGACATGCGACGGATGGACACTGAGGTGCGAAGGAGGAGAGGGAGTGGGGATGAGGGAAAAGGGGTGAAAGGGGGCACAAAGGGGGGTAAATGAAGGTCTTTTAGGGCCGGAGGGGGGTAAATGGAGGTCTTTTAGGGCCGGAGGGGGGTAAATGGAGGTCTTTTAGGGCCGGAGGGGGGTAAATGGAGGTCTTTTAGGGCCGGAGGGGGGTAAATGGAGGTCTTTTAGGGCCGGAGGGGGGTAAATGGAGGTCTTTTAGGGCCGGAGGGGGGTAAATGGAGGTCTTTTAGGGCCGGAGGGGGGTAAATGGAGGTCTTTTAGGGCCGGAGGGGGGTAAATGGAGGTCTTTTAGGGCCGGAGGGGGTTAAATGGAGGTCTTTTAGGGCCGGAGGGGGTTGGGTGGCGGCATGTGGCGTCGGATGGACACTGAGGTGAGGGTAGGAACGACAGGCTTGTGAAGAACAACTTGTACTTCACAAGCTTGTGCGCATCTGACGTGTGTGCGCATCTGACGTGTGTGCGCATCTGACGTGTGTGCGCATCTGACGTGTGTGCGCATCTGACGTGTGTGCGCATCTGACGTGTGTGCGCATCTGACGTGTGTGCGCATCTGACGTGAGGTGAGAGGAGGGAAGGAACATTGAGAGAGAGGTGAGGGGAGGTGCCTCAATGTTTGAGAACAAGAGCACGTGTGCCTCCTTCTTTTCCCTCACCCTTTTTTGCTCTGTTAGGTGAGGGGGGGCGCCTCAAGGTATCCCAGAAAGAATTTCTACTTCCATCCCCCCTTCCCCCCCTTCCCCCGCCCTCCCCCAACATTATTTTGCCTCCATTTTTCCCCTCACCTTTTTTGCTCTGTGCTTTTGCTCACCATTCGACCTACTTTTGTCAAAACTTTCCTTGTTTGTAACCAGACATTTGGCGATGTGGGTCACGGTGGTGGTTACGGCGGTTACGGTGGAAGAGGAGGGAGAGGAGGCCGTGGAGGTTACGGTTACTCTGGCGGTTACGGCGGGGGTTACGGCGGGCGAGGCGGTTACCAGGGCGGGGGTGGTTACGGTGGGAGGGGAGGCTACGGGGGTGGGGGCTATGGCTATGGTGGGAGAGGGGGAGGTGGATACGGAGGGGGTGGATATGGGGGAGGTGGATATGCCGCTGGGGGATATGGTGGTTATGGTGGTGGCGGCGGCGGCGGCGGCGGCGGCGGCGGCGGTGGTGGTGGTGGTGGGAGGGGTCGTGGTGGTGGTTACCGCGGTGGTGGTGCTGGTGGTGGTGGCCGTGCTGTTCCCATGCAATGACGCTGTGAAGTCACACGCATGCATTTGCAATAGAATTGTATTTGTTTGGTTTTTGTTTAATCATGTTTCGGTTGAATGAGATTTGGCGACTAGTTAAATCCTGGAGTGACCATCCATATCATGAGCAGGCATGGAGGGCAGAGTCTGTCTTGTCTACCTAAGGGTGATGTTATTCTACATTCTCCCCAACTACAGAAGCGGTTTATTCGCATTTACATTAATTCACATAAGCAGTTTTGGCAAGCACTCCGTGGATTATTCCGAATTGCAAAAACGAGGATGGAAAACATGCTTGCGGGATCCTCCTTTGCGTGTCACATGGGATTGCTGATCAGCCCACACGTGCCTCGTGCGATTGCTGCAGTAGTCGCAGCAAATAGCTGATGAGACATTCTAACGTGCCTTCCTCCTATTCCCCGTCGCTCTGTCACGCTTATCTCTTACCCATGCTCAACGAATGACGGAGCACGGGTCCTTCTAGTGCCAGCGCGGCAGTCATCGGCAGCTACAGTAATGCCGTGTTCGCCGACGAAGAACAGCCGCCCGCCGCCGAATCTGCCCTCCGCGCGATGCGAATTCAGGGGCTCATCCCACTGAATAAAAGTTGTTTCCGCAATATGCTGCTGACCTTGGTAAAAATGACAGTTTTAATCGCTAAAATACTATTTTCTATGCCCAGACATTTCGTCATATTCTTTGAATGACTGGCTTGAAACATCGCGCACTCTTGTGCGCTTCGAACAACTTTACGTCTCGCATTTTCATTGCGAAATGTTTTCTTCCCGCCTTCTTTTTCCCACCCACCCCTGTGGCCATCCTCGCTCCTTTTTTCGAGGGATATTCTCCACACTACCTGCGATGCGAGGTTGTTGTGTTCACCCTACCCCCAGCTGTCCTTCGGTGCTTGCCTAGGCTACACGAAACCAAAATGTTGCACCCACCGAAGAATGCGGCGCCGCCAAGTCCTCCCCTTCTCCCCATCAACTTCTACTGTACCTGCAGGGGGGGGACAAGAATGTCCATTTTATTATAATTGTTATCAGGCCTGTCTCAGGCATTCTTGCGCAGGAATCTGTATGTGAAACGTGTGGAGTTCAGGCGGCATCGGAGGAGCTGATAAGCGGTCAATCTTGTCATTCTCTTGTACAATAACTCGAGGCTCCGCTTCGTTGCCTCCTTCGTCGCACGTTTATACACACGGACCTAGTAACTCCTACGTGCAGTGAAGCCAGGTTCTAAAATGGGTCGTCTTCAAAGCATCGTTTTCTCTCTAATCGTCACGACGACGCTGCTTTTACCGCTTCTGTCGCCGTCATCCGCGGCGGATTACCCGCTCTGCCCCTTGACGCAAAAGCCGCCGCAAAAACCGACGATTGTCCCGTCGCGGTGCGTGGACGCGGCAGAAGCGAGCTGCTGCGAGAACTGCTTCGACGTCGGATTCGCGCTGTCGGGAGTGCTCGCGAATGAGACGACCATTTTAAGTCAATTTGCACCGTCTCTGGCGAGGCTACTAGGAGGAACGGAGATTCAGGTGCGTGGCTCGCTCGCGAAAAATATTGCAAGAAACGACGTGAAGAATGTCACGAGGAATCCCGAAGAGTCTTTGAGAACTTCTGCGAAGAATCATGTGAGAGAACTTGAGAGGAATCAACGATAGTTGGCGATCGTATTCTAACCTTGTGAAGAAACTTGCGAGGATTCTTGTGAAGAGACATCGGGTTGTCGCTGGTGCAGCTGCTTCGTGAATGCTCTTGGGGTACGCCAGGCTTCAGCATTGGAAGAGGAGGCTATTCTCTAGTTTTCAGACATCTCAAAGCCCGTCCGGAAACTCGAGCAGTAAAAGAGGAGCCTATTTTCGCCGTGGCTGGCTTAGCGGTTTTGAGTTTCCTTTTGCTCTCTCGTTTAGAATAATTCCAGTACTCATCATTCTGCTGTTTTCGGCTCAACCGAACGTCACCTGCTGTGTCTGTTTCTCGTCGCTATGTCCCCTTTGCATCCTGGTTCCTATCCAGTTGTGCTCCTTATTTGTGGGATTCCACGACTGCGCGAACGAGTTGGAGCAAGTCAACTGCGCCGTGAACTGCAACCCAGGCAAGTCGCCATTAACCTGCTGAGACTTGCCGAACGCAATTGCACCAAGTTTCAATTGTGTTCCCTACTTTTTAATGAAAATGCTTTGGTTTTATTCTTTTTCCCATTTATTTCATTCTTTCTGCACTCCAAGGGAAGCTCTCAAGATAGTAACATTATGCCGTGGAATGCTAGTTCATGTTACCGTTTCTCGCCAACATTTCGCCACATCTGCCTGCAGACTCGGGCAACTACGTGCGCAAGGGCGAAGGGGTGGGCGCAAATCCCATCTTCACGATGTGCGACGGTTATGCGAGCAAGATGTTCGAAGACTGCAAGGGACTGCCAGGTACAGTATAGAACAGTACAGTACAGTACACCGCTAATGGAAACTTGGAGCAGGTATGCATATCATATGATGGTACGATATCCTGATTTTAACCATACTTCCTTGTTGTCTGCATGGGTGTCCCCTTGCCAACTCCTATTCTAAAAAAACCATACACGCAACAATCTTGCATTCTTGCATCCTTCAAACTAGAAGCTTGACAAAGCTTGCATTGGCGTTTTTTCCGACTTCTCCATCATTTCTTTTGTATACCTTAAATGCGTTTTATACAATTCTAGTGTTTCTAAGCCCTCAGCCATCCCCTCTCTGCAAGCCACTGGCAGCCGGCCAAATTCCACCAGTTTCTGAACAGCAACCAGTGTTCTCTCTTGTTTTTCTCCACACTCGCCCCCATCCCACAAATCCCAAATTCAACCCTCACTCAACCTTCCCTCCATACAGTCCCTGGCACATCGGCCACGTTCGGTCAGTTTCTGGATTCCGAAGAGCGCATGCTGAACTTCCCCCGTCGCTTCCTTTTCCCATTTCCTTCCCTTCCACCCTGCCAATGATCGTCACTATACCTCAACGCCCCCTTCCCTACAGTCCCTGGCACCACGGCCACGTTCGGTCAGTTTCTGGATTCCAAAGAGCGCATGTTGAACAAGACGTTTGGTGCCATCTTCCCAGCCCTCGGATACACTAACACCACCCTCGAGATTGTACCTGTGAGTGGTGGGAGTCGCAAAAGTGGGGAGACGGGATGGGAGAAGAGCACCTCTTAACAAGACGTTTGGTGCCATCTTCCCAGCCCTAGGATACACTAACACCACCCTCGAGTTTGTGCCTGTAAGTAGTGGAAGAGTTTTTTGTGGCGCCTGGAAAATATACGTTTGGAGGTGTGAAGAATGAGACTGGGGGGGAAGAAGTGGGGGTGGGGGGAAGAGGTGGGGAGAGGGGTGGCAAAGCAACAGCTGAATAATCCTCGTAATGAAACCCTAATGAACTAACTGTGTGTTTGGCCATGTACAGGGGACGACTGGGTGTTATAATGGACCTGCCAAGATCAATCCTCGTGCGCTCTGCTGTGACCCGCTCGTCCCTCCTGCCAACTGCCCTGCTGGCACTGTAGACGATCCTCGTTTTAAGAAACTCATGAACCGCAAACTGGATGAGCACGACTGTGCTGTGTATGCTGGCGTACCGAACACTCCTATTGCAGTTCCGCCTGTTCCCAGCTCTGGCACTGGTGGTTCAACTACTAGCACTGGTGGGGGTGATGGAAGCAGCAGCAGTGGTAGCAGTGGGAATAGTGGCAGCAGCAGTGGAGCCAACAGTACTAGTGGCAGTGGCAGTGGCAATAGCGGCAAAGGGAGTGGGCGTTTCGCAGGATCAAGTTACGCTTTCTGGATGTTACTACTTTCCTCGGTCTTGTTGTTCCATTGAATCAAGTAGGGCATGTTTGCTGGATATATCAAGAACAGCTCTTTGTGCACATGGGTCAAGCTTTAGCATAAAGTTCATACGGTAGAGTGATGCGTGTATTTACAACGAGCTTCCATCATTCTTATCAATACTTTCTAATGCTGTTAGATGGCTGTTGAGGATTTTGCCACATGTCATATCCACACGCTAAGAGGCACCTAGTTGAAGCCGCGGGGAAGGAGAGAAGTCAATAGCTAGCTTACTTGCATTGTTTACTTACAGTCCCTATTTTATCCTGTGGCGAAGGTGGCGAGGTTGGTGAAAGCCTTATACTCGGCAGACTTTTTTTTTAGTCGAGAAGGTAGCTTATAACGCAATTCGAAGCAACCTTTTGGGTCCTAGACTAGGACGCCCAGCGGCCAAGCCACGCGTGCTGCAGTTGGGTGTCTGTACAGTACTTGTTGAAAGAAGCCCATTTGGTCAAAACGACGACCAGCATTTCCTTGTCCTCACTAGGTCCCATTGACATTTTGCACGGCATTCCGTTATTTCCGTTTCGCCGAGTGATGATTTCGCCGAGTGATCAAGACATTCTGCTGGCGACGTATAGTAGCGCAAAGTACTCAACGTAGGTGGAAACGCCACTTCCGTAGGATAGAAACCGCGGCGTCCACCAATAGGCATCAGGGGGACTTCCTTCCAGGGAAAAATGCCGCGTCATCGGGTCTGCACTGCACATTCGCCTTGCTGCCGTCCCCTCATACTTTCTCCCCCTCGACTTCTAGGGGGAAAGGAGGGGGAGGCGTTATCAGGCGTTCGTGGTCAGGCCCTCATGTATGAAATGCGCGGATAAATTGCCGCTGCATTCAAAGGACCCGAGAGGCGGCACAGTATGAGCACCCATCTGTTTCATTTGAGTAACACGAGGCTCTGCTTCGACGCCTAGTACCTCTCACCTAAGCATAACATTTGGTTATTCGGACCACGCACTACGCGAGTACGTTACACTAGGCCCACAATGGACCGTTTTCTAAGCGTCGTTCTCTCTCTCCTCGCGACGACGACACTGCTTCTACCGCATCTGCCGCCGACATCCGCGGAGGGTTACCCGCTCTGCCCCTTTACGCAAAAACCGCCGCAAAAACCGACAATTGTTCCGTCGCGGTGCGTGGACGCGATAGAAGCGAGCTGCTGCGAGAGCTGCTTCGACAGCGGAATGGCGCTGTCGGCGGTTCTCGCGAACGAGTCGACCATCGTTGATCAATTCGCACCGTCGCTGGCGCAGCTGCTAGGGGGGACAGAGGTTCAGGTGCGTGGCTCTGCGAGCAATGCTGCGAAAATTGGAGTGAAAGAATGTCGCGAGAAATCTCAGACGCCAGAAATGGATTAAAGGAAAGCTCGTTGGCGCTCCTTGGCGCAGCTGCTGTGTGAAAGGTTTCTTGGTGTGTGCTAGGGTTAGTAGCGTTAAGAAAGTCTCCCCCCCCCCCTAACGATCTGCCGTCGACGGGTCTGAGCCGTTTAATATGTGCTTTTTCGTTTTGAATAATCTCGGGAATTCATGTTGTTTTGAGACACAAGCGATCGTCACTTGGTGTGTGTGCGTGTGTTTCTCTCAAACGTATGTTTTGCCTCGACTGCATTCCGTCCCTCCCAGTTGTGCTCCTTATTCGTGGGATTCCACGACTGTTCGAACGATTTCGAGCAGGTGGGCTGCGCCATAAACTGTAACCCAGGTATGTGTTTAGTATCACCCCGCATTTGTCAATGCAGCGACTTTGCTTCAATTTTATTTCCATTTCTCAAACACTCTACGTTCTTCCAAGTTCTCTGCAATCCTCCTACAGTGCTCTGCACTCCTCCGATACCGCTCTTCACTCCTCCGACAGTGCTATGCACTTCTGAGCTCCCTTTCAATGACCAGCAGTTTACACTGGTTTGCTTGTTCATGTTACCATTTCTCTGTTCGCCAACATTTTCGACACATCTGTTTCCAGATTCGGCCAACTACGTGCGCCAGACTGAAGGGGTGGGCGCGAACCCCATTTTCTCGATGTGCGACAGTTTTGCAACCAAGATGTTTGACGACTGCAAGGGACTGCCAGGTACAGTACCCCGCTTATCAATAAGTCCGAACATGTAATAAGAATGGTCGGTTTCACATATGTATAATGCATAGATGCATATCATACTGTAGTATGGACAACATGGAGTGTTTAAAGAGTGTTCGCCCCTTGTTTCCCTCCACTCTGCTGCTGACGTCGTTACTATACTTCGACCCATAATTTCGTTTTTTGCTTACCACGAACCTGTTCCTCCCTCCACCAACACCCCCCCCCCCCCCTCCTTACCTCCTCGTCCTTCCCTCCACATGCCTCCCTACTTCCCGCTGCCGTCCCTCCAGTCCCCGGCACCGCAGCCACGTTTGGTCAGTTTCTCAACAGCAAGGAGCGCATGCTGAACATCCCTCCTTCGCTTTCCAACCACCTTGCTAAACACTATCATTACTTCCTTCCCTTTTCTCCGCTCCGCCTTGCCAGTCCCTGGCACTGCGGCCACGTTTGGTCAGTTTCTCAACAGCAAGGAGCGCATGCTGAACAAGTCGTTTGGTGCGATCTTTTCAGCTCTCGGATACCGAAGCACCTCTCTTGAGATTGTGCCTGTGAGTGGTGGGAGTGGCAGGAGCGGGGACAGGAAAAGTAAGCAGGGGAGGGCGCATGCTGAACAAGTGGTTTGGTGCTATCTCTTCAGCCCTTGGATACCGCAGCACATCTCTTGAGATTGTGCCTGTGAGTAGTGTGAGAGTGCTTGGCAGAAACAGGAGCAGGAAGGGGGGGGGGGGGGGGGAGTAGGGAGGATGGAGGGGTGTGGGCAAAACTTGAAGGTTTGCTACCCTCATAACAGCTGCCTGACTTGTGTATCTGCCCATATACAGGGAACAACGGGATGTTACAACGGCCCTTCCAGGATTCCTGCTCGTGTCATCTGCTGTGACCCACTCGTTCCTCCGGCCAACTGCCCTGCCGGCACTGTAGACAATCCAAGCTATAAGAAATTATTTAACCGTACACTGGACAAGAATGACTGTGCTGCGTACGCCAATGTATCAGATGCTGCTATTGTGGCTGGACCTGTTCCCACCAGCTCTGGCAGTGAAGGCTCATCAGCTAGTGGTGGGGATGATGCAAGCAGCAGCAGCGGTAGCGGTGACAGCAGTAACATTGGGAAGAGTGGAAGCAGCAGCGGCGGTGGTGCGTCTGGCAACAGTACTAGTGGTAATGGCAAAGGCAGTGGCCGTCTCTCTGGGTTTGGTTATGCTGTATGGGCGTTCTTATCTTCCTCTGTCTTTCTATTCGGCTAATTCAAGCACGGGATGATTGCCAATCTAACAAATGAAAGAAAACGGTTTATCTTTGTGAATTGTGATTGCAATACATGTTTTTTTTCTGTTTAACACCGCCTTCTGAAACTCTTTAACCGTACATTGGACAAAAACGACTTTGCTGCTTATGTTGGTGTAACGGACATTCCTGTTGTATTGCAGGCCACGCCCAGCAGTAGCCCAGGCAATAATGGATTGACAAGCAGCAATAATGGGGATGATGGAAGCAGCAGCAGTGGTACCGGCAGCACCGGTAAAAGCAGTGGCTCTAGTCCATCTGCCACCAGTACTGGTAGTAGTAGTGGCAGTAGCAGTGGCAAAGGGAGTGGCTGTTTTGCTGGGTTTGGTTATACTTTTTTGGTGTTGTTGCTACTTTCCTCCTCGTTCAGCTAATTGAAGCAATGGATAATGGTAGAATCTCGTAGTATTTGAATACATTAGGATGGATCATTGACTCCTAAATGGGTTAAGGTAATGGGAAGTTTACGAGGGGAGTGGAGTACTTGTTACTTTCATGTTTTTTTTTCACAACACTGTCAAATGTCAACACTGTCAAACGTGTTTCAGGTTGTTTAGAAACGAAGATAAATGTTAGGAAGTTACTAGGAAACTCCGGGAAGCTTCTAGAGTCGCCGGGTTACCCAGGTATTTCAACATTCAGGGCCTTTTCGCCAGCGTCGTGACATCGCAACCTGCTTCGCCCAATCGAATCTCTTCGCAGCAGGCTGTTGACTTGCCAGTTCGAGGTTTCGAGGCAGCTGCTGTTGAGTGCCCCTTGCGAACACCACTCTCCCAGCACCCAAATTCCTTATCGAAGGGGCGAAATCTTCCCATAAATCTGGGAGGCACATTCTAGCTTCCACAGCTGCCCATCCCATCCCATTTCAGTTTCCATTTCCGTCGGTGCCTATCACACAGCGTCCGCCACGCATCGGCGGCGTTTTCCAGGTGTATCGTTCGGAACGCGGCAGCAGCAGCAGCAGCAGCAGAGCGAGACCAGCTGTGCGAGCCGTCTCCGAGGCTGCGTTTTGGCCCAGTTTTCCAAGCGCGCTTAATTCTGCTTCCGTCTCGCGTGCGGCGTCCCTTTCAAGGCGTCTTTTCCAAGGTGCGTGGTGTCCAATCTTCGAAGCCGCGTTGTGGGCCGCGCGGTCTTTCCGAGGGAAATTCCAAACTATGGTAGCACTTGCTTCTTCTTTGTTTTGTTTTGTTTTGTTTTTTTTTATCGGTCCTTTTTGCGTTGTCGCTTCATGCATTCTCGGTGGCTTGATGTTATCCGCTCCTTTTACGTGTTTCCGCTGCAGTGTTTTATCATTGGAATAACCCGGTGGTTAGTACTGTTGTTGCGCGCCTTTCCAGTAGCACCATATCCTCGGCGTGTGCTCCTAGGATTTTCTATAAGCCTCGTGACGCGCACAGCAAGATGGCCAGCGGCGGCGCGACGGTGCAGTCTTCGCGGCTCGCCGTAACCTCGCGCGGCGCGCATGTTGCATCGGCCTCGTTGTTGTCACGCTCCTTAGTGATACTATCCTCGTCGCTGCCGTCCCGTTATCCTCACGGTTATCAGAGAGCGCGTTTCCACCGCTTTTTCCCGTTGACTGTGACGGCAGGCTTCTCGGCTTCAAGAAGAATCCGCGAGAGGTCAACACAGTCAACGCGGTCAACGCGACCTGCTCGCCCGTCAGCGCAGTCAGCTCACTTTGGGACGCTCGCCAATCCGGAGGCGGGCAACGAGCAAGCTCAGTTCGAAAAGGACAAAATCGCCATCATGAAGATCGCGGTGCTGGGCGGCACTGGCAACGTGGGGTCGAAGCTGGCTCAGAGGCTGTGCGCTGCAGGGCATGACGTCGTGCTGACGTCACGTCATCCGGGTGACGAGAAGGTGAGGTTTGTGGCATCCATTAGTGCGGTGGTGGCATAGTGGTAATGTGTGGTAAGATGCGGTAACATGTGGTGACACGTGGTGACTTGTGGTGATGTGTGCTTTTTAGACTGTCATGTTGCTAGCCTATATGAAGGAGGGTGGTGACGGCACCAAGTGCACCGCACTGAAACTATACCAACCCCTATGTGCCTTTCCCTTCTTGCCTTCCCCTCCTCTTGTTCAGACTGTCAAGGCGCTCGCATATGTGAAGGAGGGGGGCAAGGTTGCAGCAAGGGCACCACACTGAACCTATTCCAACCCCTCTGCGTTGCTGTGTCTCCCGCGCTGCTTCTCCTGCTTGTGTTCAGACTGTGAAGGAGGGAGGCAAGGGGACAGCAACAGCTGCACACTGAACCTATTTCAACCCCTTTGTACCCATCTCTTTTCATTCTTTTTATCCCTGCTTGTTTTCAGACCGTCAAGGCACTCGAATATGTGAAGGAGGGGGGCAAGGGGACAGCAACGGCGGCAGGAGTGGCAGAGGCGGTGGAAGGGGCTGATGCTGTGATCGTTGCCACACCTGGATACGCCACTGCAGAGGAGTGGAGCAAGGTATGTCAATCGGTTGAGAGGGTTTGAGAGTGGTTAAGGGTGGGATAAAGGAAGGAGGGGGGCAGGAGGGAAGTCAGAGCATTAGGGGGGGTGGCAGAAGCGGTGGAAGGGCCTGATGCTGTGATTGTTGCCACGCCGGGATATGCCACTGATGACGAGTGGAGCAAGGTGTGAAAAGCGGGGTTGAGAGGGGTTGAGAGCGGTCAAGGGTGGGAAGGGTGCAAGATGGAGCAAGGGGCTGATGCTGTGATTGTACGTCGGGATATGCCACTGCGGAGGAGTGGAGCAAGAGGGGATGAGATAAGTGGTGACCCGCCCCCATCCACCATATGTCGTGAAACAGTGTTTCATCACAACCATTCGAGCTCATCGAGCCCAGCATTAGCCGCTAAGGAAAGCTGCAGAAGGTTTTTCAGCAGCTATCTTGTCCTCACCTCCAACTGCATCAACGGCGAGAGTACACACTCATCTTCGTCGATGCACACTTGTGTTTTGTCTGGGTCGCCAACGTCACAACTCGCCTTGCTTGCCTTGCTTCGAGTTGTGACGTTTGCGACCCAGACAAACCGTGAGTGTGCATCGACGAAGGTGAGCGTGTACTCCTCGCCGTTGATGCCGGTGTGGGTGAGGGCAAGGAAGTCGTAAGCCTTCAGGCCGGCTTTGATAATCAACGTGGATCACAGAAGGCGGCTCACCAACCCTGTCTTGTCTCTCTTCCCTCCTCTTTCCTCCCTGCCATATCCCCCTCGCCCTGTCAGGTGGTGGCTCCCTTCGCCTCCTATGCAGGGGTAGTGCTGGATGCGTCTAACTCCTTGACTGCCTGGCCGGCTTTGGAGATCGGTGTGGATCACAGGAGCACCAGTGGTGGAGAGGAGCTGAAAAAGGTGAGGATGAGGAGGTGACACTGAGGCTGGGGAGGTGGTTGTTGAAGGGGGGTAAAATTAGTGATTGTAAAGCGAGGGGTTGAAATGATGACTGCAAAGGAGGTTGAAAATGTGACTGTACAGGGAGGCCGAGGAGGTGATTGAAGTGAGGAGCTGATTTGATCCACATGCATTACTAGATCCATACCCTCCAATCCTATACCACCCTATCCTCTCACCTTTTTTCAGAAGGCGTGCCCTCGTGCACAAGGCATGCAACCCGGTGGAAGCAGAGCTCATGTTGATTCTCGCTTTCTCCTTACCTGTATCCCTCCTTTCCTCCCCAGACTCTTCCTAACGCACACGTGTACAAGGCATTCAACGCAGTGGGGGCAGAGCTCATGGTGACACTCCCGTATTCCCTTCTCCATACACACCCCCCTCAGCCCCTCTCAACCCGTCTCAACCCCTCTCCAGGCCCTCCCCAACGCACACGTCTACAAGGCGTTCAACACCCTGGGGGCAGAGCTCATGGTGACACCCCCCTCCCTCAGACCCCGCACCCCTCTCTACTACTTTCAACCGCCCTGAACCCCCATCTAGGCCCTCCGGAATGCACACGTGTACAAGGCGTTCAACACTGTCGGGGCAGAGCTCATGGTGACTCGCCTGTATTCCCTTTTCCATTCACGCCCCTCTCAACCCCTCTCAACCCCTCTCACCCCCTCTTAACCCCTCTTCAGGCTCTCCCCAACGCGCACGTGTAAAAGGCGTTCAACACGGTGGGGGCAGAGCTCATGGTGACGCCCCTCTATCCCCTCCCTCAGACCCCGCACCCTTCTCAACCCCTGTCAACCCCTCTCAACCCCTCTTCAGGCGCTTCCCAACGCGCACGTGTTCAAGGCGTTCAACACCCTGGGAGCAGAGCTCATGGTGACACCCGTGCTGGGAGGCAAGCCCGTCGCCATGCTGTTTGCTGGCTCGGAGGACGCTGCTGCTAAGGAGACCGCCACTAAGGTGTGTGTTCTATGCGCCATGCATGCATGCTTGTACCAAGTGATGTGAAAGGTGTGCCCGTCGCCATGCTGTTTGCTGGCTCGGAGGACGCTGCTGCCAAGGAGACCGCCACTAAGGTGTGTGTTCTAGGGTGTGCTACGGTATGCGTGCTTGCATGCGTGCGCGCCTTTTGAGGCGCCTCTATTGTCGCTACGGTATCCATGCTTGCATGCGCGTGCGCCCAAGCTCATGGTGACTCCCACGCTGGGAGGCAAGCCCGTCGCCATGCTGTTTGCTGGCTCTGAAGACGCTACTGCCAAGGATATTGCTATCAAGGTGTGTAGAATGTGCTTTGTATGTGAGCATGCATCCGAGCATCCATGCATTCGTGCATGCACGCACAAGCTCATGGTGACTCCCACGCTGAAAGGCAAGCCCGTCGCGATGCTGTTTGCAAAGAAGATGCTGCTGGCTATGGGGATGCTGCCGCAAAGAAGACTGCCACTAAGGTGTGTACCATGTGCCATGCATGCATGCATGTATGCACGCGTGCGTACATTGTCCAGATGAATGCATGTGACGCTGAAGATGCCTTCTGAGGCTCCTCTCATCACCAGTCCAGACATCAACCCGTCAGTTTATCATGGATCCCTATTTCCTCCCCTATCCATCACCAGGTCATCTCAGCCGTCAGATTCCGCCCCGAGTACGCTGGTCCGCTACCCCTCAACTGCAACCCCTCACGCGCATGTGCATCTCCCCGTCATGCCCTCCCGTGCCCATCACCAGGTCATCTCAGCCGTTGGATTCCGTCCCGAAAGTGGCCGCTGCCCCTCAACTGCAACCCCGTCACGCGCATGTGCATTCCCCCATATTGCCATGTCGGTCTCTCCCCCCCCTGCCCATCATCAGGTCATCTCAGCCGTTGGATTCCGGCCCGGGTACGTGGTTCCGTTCCGTTACCCCTCAACCACAGCTTTCCACATGCAAATGCAACCCCCGTCATGCTATATCCGTGTTTCTCCCCTCTCTATCCATCATCAGGTCATCTCAGCCGTTGGATTTCGCCCTGAGTACGTGGGGCCGCTGCGCTACGCGCGCAATCTGGAGAGCTTCGCAGAGCTGTGGGTGCACCTGGCACTCAAGCAGGGGTGGCCACGTGGGGGGTTTTCATTTGACATCCAGAAGGCATAGAGGAGAGGGAGTGCATGGAGAGGCCGAGTGGGGTAGAGAGGTTTGTGGAGCTGTGGGTGCACCTGGCTCTCAAGCAGGGGTGGCCGCGCAACGGCTTTGCTTTGACATCCAGAAGGCATAGAGGAGAGGGAGTGTGTGGGGAGGGCAAGTGGGATAGAGAGCTTCGCAGAGCTGTGGGTGCACCTGGCACTCAAGCAGGGGTGGCCGCGCGACGGCTTTGCCTTCGATATCCAGAAGGCATAGGGTGGGGGAGGGGCGGAGTTTGGGGGGATGTAACCTGGCATAGCAGAGCTCTGGCTTCGGACTTGATTCGCCAGGCTGTTCAGCTGATGCTGGCACTGGGTTAGCTGTGTGTGTGTTTGTTTTTAGTGTTTTATTTGTGTATGTCTCAGTTGATTATGAATGGAACACCAATGCAGTCTAATGAGATGTAGGGTATTGCACCAGCATTTGTTTCACTTGTGGTACTTGAACTCGTGCAGATACCATACCGCGCGCCGGATTTGCGCAAGAAATAGAATTAATTACTAGTGTAACGGCACATATTCCCACCTGACTTTGTTTCCATGGCGCTTGATATGTAGAAGGCAAACATGTTACCATATGTTAGATTCAACACCGCAACAGACAAACCTGCCCTGCTACTAGGTCAACCAAGCAGAAAACAAACAAAAACGGCATCCACCAGACAAACAGCCCCTTGTACAGTGTTAATTCAAACAGATGTACCAGTGATCTCGTGCATCTATGTTGTACTACGGTAATTCTCCATTAGAATGCCACCATCCCAAAACAGCCCGCCTTACTCACACCACCAGCAATACGGTAGCTGCAACCACATCAGCAACAGCAGCAGCAGCGCCAGCAGCAGGGACAGCAGACGAGGGCACTACAAGGAGATCTCACAGCTGCTTCGGCTCCAAAGTGGCCAATTCCCATAAGCGCAAGAGAGATACTGGTAGAAGTGAAGAGACATCTTGCAGCTTAACCGTAACGCGCCGCAGTAAGGTGCAAGTTTTGTCAAGGTGACGAAAGAGACCCACAAAGTCGGCACACAAAAACCAATTGCACTGGCTGGTTGATGCCTCAACGGCAAGTTTTGTCAAGGTATCTCAACACCCGTGCCTAACAGATACCTAGGAGGCTGTGACGCAGGAGGGAGGTGCGGTACCAGATGGCTTTTGAGGCGCCTCAAACAACGCCCGTGCCTAACAGATACCTAGGAGGCTGTGACGCAGGAGGGAGGTGCGGTACCAGATGGGTCTGTGATGGAGGGGGCAGGCTGATACACACACTACAAAAGCTGCGTACACGAGTGCATGAGTAGATGGGCGCATGAGTTGACAAGTGCATGAGGGTAGATGAGTGCATGGGTGCATGGGTGCACGAGCAGACTGAACCAGTTTTCCTCTAGGCCGGTGCGAGACCAGCATGAGGGGCGGAAGCAGGAGGAGGGGCAGGAGGAGCAGGAGTAGCAGACGGGCAGGAGGAGGAAGAGGGGAATGAGGGGGTAAACAAGCAGGTGACGAGCAGCTGGTTAGGAGGGGCCGCTGCTACACGAGAAGGTGGCCGTTCTGACGCCTTGTGTGCTCGGGCACAATCCGACGCACCAGCTCAATCGGCACCCCCTTGAATTCCTGGTGGAGAAGATGGTGTGGGGAGGGAGGGGGGAAAAGCAGGGATAGAGGAAAGCTGCATGGTTGACCCAATGAGGAACGCCTTGTGTGCTCGGGCACAATCCGACGCACCAGCTCAATCGGAACTCCCTTGAACTCCTGATCAGGGTGGGGACGGGGGGGAGGGGGGGGGGGGGGGGTGGGGGAGAAGATGGTGGGGGGAGGGAGGCGGAAAAAGCAGGATAGGGGAGGAGGGGAGAGGGTGGGGAAGCTGAATACACACACGAAACACACACATAGCAACAAATGGTGCATCACGGCAAGTCCAGGTCAATACATGCTCACCATTTTTTGAAACGCCTTGAATCCTTCTATCAATGCTCACCTCCTTCTTGAAGTTGAAGAGCGGAGGCAGCGGCTTGCCGTTGGGCAGCCGGGTGTTGGGGTCCTTGATCTCATCGAAGAAGGGATGCACCAGCGCCTCCGCCTGTAACAAGCAGCACGGACAGGAAACGCAAGGCAGCTTGAGAGGCGGCTCAAGGAGCACAGGTGGGAAGGGGCTTGCCGTTGGGCAGCCTGGTGTTGTGTTGGGGTCCTTGATCTCGTCAAAGAAGGGATGCACCAGTGCCTCCGCCTGTGAACCAGAGAGCACGGGCAGCACAGGCAGGAAAAGCAAGGCAGCTTGAGAGACGGCTCAAGGAGCACAGGGAAACGGGCTTGCTGTTGGGCAGCCTGGTGGATTTGGGGACCTTGATCTCGTCAAAGAGTGCGAGAGAGAGAACCAGGTTTTGAGGCGTTCCCCAAAAGGGACGGGGCCTCAAAGTGGTCCTTGCCTCCTTGCCCTCACTGCTGGCACTCACGTCCTCATCAAAGAGTGCGAGAGAGAGAACAACCAGGTTGGGGGAGTACTGCAGCAGTCGTGACACGTCGTGCCTTGTGAGTCAACTCTACACTCAATCCCAAGTCAACGTGGAAAACTGATCTGTGGCGTTGCATGCAGGGACTTACAGCAGTGCAGCGCAGGTTGGGGGAGTACTGCAGCAGCCGCGACACCAGGTCCACTGCTTCTGCCGGCACCCTCTTTGAGAAGACCTGGAGGCATTATTGGGAGGGAGAGACAGCAAGAGCAAGTAAGAAAATAATAGCTTGAGGCTAACGTCAAATCTCCTCCCACGAGGGTGAACTGTGCGGAAGAGCACACACATAACACACCACACGCACACAAAACGCATGCACACAGGATAGCACACACACACACACCTTGTGCCAGGGGTGTGCCTTGATCTGCGGGAACTTGAACTCCGTGTAGTTGGGGTTCATGAACACACATATACAGCACAACACACACACGCTTCACACATGCACACAGCACACGCGCACACAGTATACCTGTGCAACGAGCCGAGCACGAGTAATGCTCGACTCGTCCCTAGCCATGCTCGGCCGAGTACGAGCCCGAGTCGAGTAATACTCGGCCGAGCAATTTTCCCCCAAACAGATACTCGTTACTCGTCTTCTTTGGGAAAACTCGGGCGAGCAATTTGAAAAACTCGTCCGAGTACGAGTAATGCTCGGCCATGCCCCCTATAGGGGCATAGAACGACTTTGTACATAACGCCTAGTGAAGTCCATGGTACCACGTAGTATTTGGGTTTGCAGGGCCGCCCAGGTAAACCCAAGGTGGTCCATGCCATGGTGACCTAGGGAAGCCCAGGAAAGCCCTGGCCTGGGTTGCCCCTGGGCACCCTTGGGCTGCTTAGGTAAGCAAGCAAGCGAGTACTCGTCGAGCAAAAAAAACTCGGCGAGTAATACTCGGCTCGACTCGGCCGAGTAAAATTTTCAAGAAACGAAACTCGTTACTCGCCCCCAAACGAGTAACTCGGCCGAGTCCGAGCGAGTAACTCGTCTCGTTGCACAGGTATAGCACCCAGCACACACCCACCTTGTGCCAGGGGTGTGCCTTGATCTGCGGAAACTTGAACTCCGTGTAATTAGGGTTCATGCACTTGATCTCCTCCCGTGTGGGCGTTCCCAGCACCTTAATAATCTCCACCAGCTGATCCACCCCGCTCTCGCCCGGAAACAGAGGCTGATACACGCAGCGGGGGAGCAGAGGAAAGTGAGGAAGAGTAGATGATGAGAGTGTGAGAGAGTGGGTATACATCAGCGTTCCCAGCACCTTGATGATCTCCACCAGCTGATCCATGCCACTCTCGCCCAGAAACAGAGGCTGATACACACATAGCGGATGGGGGGTTGTGAGGGGAAGGAGGTCAGGAGGCGAGTGTGAGAGACAACAAGTGCATCAGTGTTCCCAGGACCCCAGCACCTTGATGCTTTCTACCAGCTGATCCATCCCCTCTCTCACCACCCAGCAACACAGGCTGCACCACGGGGTGGGGGAACGGACGGAATGCAGGGGGAGTGAGAGACAACAAGTGCATCAGTGTTCCCAGGACCCCAGCACCTTGACGGCTTTTACCAGCTGATCCACCCCGCTCGAGACTGGAGACCGAGGCTGATATGCAGAGGGAAAGAGTGAGGAGAGGGGACGCGTGAGCGAGTGCCTAGTAGGGTCTGACCCTACCAGCTGGTAGCACCTTGAGAATTTTTACCAGCTGATCCATCCCCGCTCTCACCCGGCAACAAAAGCTGATGGCGGAAAGATAGGAGAAGAACAGAGGCTGTGGCAGGGATGAGAGGTAGGAAGCAAAGAAGGAGGTGGGGAGGGGAGGTTGGGGGCAAAGGAGGAAGAAGGGAATGAGTGCGTGAGAGAGGGTGTAATCGGAGTTTCCAGCACATTAATGAACAGTACTCCACCAGCTGATCCACCCCACTCTCTCCTAATCGCAGACGCTGCACCAGCGAGGGGGATGTTGGGTTGGCAAGGTGGGGGGGAGGAAGGAAAAGTTGGAGCGAGGGAAAAGCAAACGCTGGTTCCAATAAAAGATTAAAAGGTAACTGGATTTAGTTGTCATGGCGGAGCTCCTGCAGGGGAAGGGATACAGAACCAAGGCTACAGCAGAACAACTAGCCTCACCTGCCCCAGCACGTGTTTTTTGAGAATTCTCAAAAAACACGCGCTACAGCAGAACAACTAGCCTCACCTGCCCCAGCACGTGTTTTTTGAGAATTCTCAAAAAACACGCGCTACAGCAGAACAACTAGCCTCACCTGCCCCAGCAGCAGCTCTGCCATGACACAGCCCGCAGACCAGATGTCGATGGCTGTGGTGTAGGCTCCAAAAATGAGAGTGAAGGCACGGGGAAAGGGGAAACGGGGCTTGCCGTGGAAAAAGAAGGGGGACCAGGGAGGAGGAGGGGGGGGGGGTCGGGGGGAAGAGAGTGGGGTGAAGAGAGGCCTCACCTGTCCCAGCAGCAGCTCCGCCATGACACAGCCCGCGGACCAGATGTCAATGGCCGTGGTGTACTCGGTGGCTCCAATGGTGAAAAGATAGAGAGGGAAGGTGTAGGGAAGGGAAGCCCAGGTGGGGGGGAGAGGGAGCAAGAAGGGGGGGCGGACGCTCCTCACCTGCCCCAGCAGCAGCTCCGCCATGACACAGCCAGCCGACCAGATGTCAATGGCCGTGGTGTACTCGGTCGCTCCAAAGATGAGCTCAGGCGCGCGGTAGTAGCGCGAGCAGATGTATGATATGTTGGGCTCGCCCTTCACCTGCAGTGGATACCAGCCAACATGCACGCAGGGATGGTGGCAGAGAGGAACACGCCTGGGCTTTTGAAGCACCTCAAGAACTCATCTCTGGCCCTCTGGTGCGCGGTAGTAGCGCGAGCAGATGTACGATATGTTGGGCTCGCCCTTCACCTGGAATGAGAGTGATTAACATGCATGCAGGGATGAGGTTGTTAAAACTTAGAGGAACACGTGGGCTGTTGAGGTGCCTCAGGGGATGAGCGCTGGCGCGCGGTAGTAGCGCGAGCAGATGTAGGAGATGTTGGGCTCGCCCTTCACCTGGAATGAGAGTGATTAGCGTAAAAAGGGTTTAAACACAGCGCATAATCGGCTGCAGCAGCATCAAATCACACAACAGGAGGTACATCAAGGGGGTGGAAGAAATATAGAACGCCCGTGATGGGCGAAAACACAGGAAAAGGAGGGGCACAAGATTGATACTTGACATATCTCAAAGGCAGGAAAAAACAAAATTGGCAAGAAGCTTGGCATACAGGCGAGTGTATAAACTGACCAGGACTTTTGCGCTTCCGAAATCGCACAGTTTGAGTTGATGCGTGTGCGGATTGACCTGCAAACGGAAAGAAGGAGAGAGGGTGTTGAGAAAGGGAGGGGGTTGGTGGAGAAGGGTAACATTGATGATAAGAATCATTGGGTGTCAAAAAAGGCAGGTAGTAGCAGGAGAAATGGCTGTACGATCAACTCATGAGACAGGTAATAGGAACCAGATAAACGTCAAAGAATAAAATAATCGGAATCTGCCTGGAGGTGTGGCAGGACAGAGGGACGGTTGCAACGGGCACAAAAAGGGGAAGGCGGGGGGGGGGGGGGGGGGGGGGGGGGGGAGGGGAAGAGGGGAAGGGAAGACAGGTGGGAAACGAGGGAGGTGGGAGAACGGCGAGAAGGGAATGGGGAAAAGGTGAGGGAAAGGGTAGAAAGAAGCGAGTGATGGTGGTTAGTTGTTTTGCTTCGGCTGTTCTTACAAGAAGGTTTTGCGGCTTGATGTCGCGATGACACACGCCAATGCCATTGTGAATGTACGCCAGAGCTCGACAGATCTGCACCAGGGGAAAGAAGAAGGAACGACCCAAACACACACCACAATTCCGCAATAAAACGACAATTCCGCAATAAAACGACACAAAACGGAGAACACGGGAATTAAGATTGCAAATAGCACATGAGAGGCAGACTCCACCTGTTGCAAGCAGATGAAAAGGGGAGTAAGAAGGGGGCCGGAACGTGAAGGAGTGGAGCAGGACCAGGAGAACATGCACGAAAAGTCGGGGCGGACGTGAGTCAATGGCAACGAGTGAATAGGTGGCGATGCATAGAATTGTTGGCGGAGGGAGGGAGGAACTGGGTGAACGGGAGGGGAGATGAGAAGATGCAATGGGGTGTGTGTGGATGGTAAATCGTGTAGGCAATTCTATTATGCTCGCCTCATCGGCCCACACCCATCAACACAAACACACACACAGTCGTGGATGCACCCTTCTCCCCCCTCTCCGTCAGGTTCACGTACACCTCGTCCTTGTCCGTCGTCTATAAGTAGTAGTCGTGTTTTGAGTCGACTCAAAACACGACTACTCGAGCACCAGGTTCAGGTACAGCTCGTCCTTGTCTGTTGTCGAGAAGAAGCAGTGCCGCACCGCAGCGCCACCCCCACGCTCCCATGCCGTGCGTGCGCCCACACTCCCACACGCACACGTGCATGGACGCTTGCACTCACACACACCCTCTTTCCCCACTCCCACCCCCCCCCCCACCGCGCCTTCTCCCTCTCTCCCTCTCTTCTCACGCTTTCTCACACCTACCCGCGTGCATGCACAGGGGAGCGATCGGACGCACCTGGTAGGTGTAGAGCTTGACGTAGAGCAGCGGCATGCGCTGGTTCATCTTGGTGTAGTGCTTGGTGATGCGGTAGACGGTCTCGGGCACGAACTCGAGCACCAGGTTCAGGTACAGCTCGTCCTTGTCCGTCGTCGAGAAGAAGCAGTGCCGCAGTGCCACCACGTTCGGGTGCTCCAGCAGCCGCATGATCTGCAGCTCGCGATTCTTGTAACGCTTGTCCTGTAACACCTTCTTTATCGCCACCGTTTCGCCCGTCTCCAGACAGGACGCCTGGGAGGGTGGGGGTGGGCGAAACGAAGCGAAAGCGTGTGCGATTGAGGGAGGGAAGGGAATGCTGTGAGGTGCGTGAAAGCATGACCTGCAGCTCGCGGTAACACCTTCTTTATCGCCACCGTTTCGCCGTCTCCAAACAGGACGCCTCGGGGGTGGAAGGGAGAGGGCGAAGCGAAGCGTGCGCGACTGAGGAAGGAAACGATTTGAGGCGCCAAAAAGCGTAACTTCACAGCTCGCAGCTCTCATAACGCTTGTCTTCGTAACACCAAATCTATCGCTCGCAACAGTTTCGCCCGTCTCCATCCGTCTCCATCTGCCGCGTCTCGTCGGAGCAGAGGCTGAGATAGCTCTAGAAAAGCACTGCCACATTTGCGCGCAAGGAAGCAACGTCGAAGGATCGATCTCGAAATACCTATGTCCACCAGACGGACATCAGGAAGCGGTTCGCCTGGTTCGCTCTATCGGTTAACTAATGTACTCGTGAATAGATACCGTCGCGGCTGAGAAAGAAGGACGCTCAAGGAACGTGAGCTGGGAATGACATACGGCGTTTTTTACCTGGAATACAACTCCAAACGAACCGTTCCCCACCACGCGCTCTGCCGAGTAGCTGATGGCCTGCAATTGAAAGCGGCAATGGAACAGCAACGCAAGAAAATAAGTTGAGACTTTCAGTTAATAAAATAGCAGCCAAACGAGAATCGAGGAAACCATGCAGAGAAAAGGAGAGCGATTAAGTATTGTACGGAGCGCATAGAGATTATCGATACTGAATACACAAGACGCGCCTGCCCCATGGAAACGGCGGGAAAAAACGGTCGGAGGCAAAAGTAGGTGGTGCCAACAAAAAAAGCGCGGCGACGGTAAGCCGTCAAAAGCGCGGGAACTAAAAAAAACGGCAGCGACGGGACTGAGAATGCGAAATGGCGCCATGTTCTGAAGCGTTGGAAAAAAGTTGAAAGGGGATCGGAGATGCTGGAACGGCAACAGTGTGACTCATTGATCAGAGACACTGCGCGCGTGACGCTGAAATGCCAGCGGTGATATGCCTACCCTTACATGCACATCAAGTGCCAGACGAAAAACGGCACGTCGTGAAAGTTATCAGACCTTTACAAGTAAAAGTCGACGGCAAAGTCTACGTCGTTTAATCGCAGAAACGGCATCGCCGAAACGCATGGGCCTTTTGGGAGGGATGAAACTAAGGTAGAGCAACAGTAAAAATATATAAAGCACGAACCTGTTTTGGCTGGCCATTCTTTCCTCCAATCGTGGTCGTGATTATGTGACCTGTCTCTGTTCCGCTTCCCTCCACGACGGCAGCATCCATGTCCTATAGATATCATGTAATAAGCCGCAACAAAAAGGTTTAAACACCGATAGCTGATGCGTTCCCTGATTTTTCTGGACTAATAAAACATCAGAGGGAAAAAAAACACACACCGTGCTTCGATAACATATGCGATCTTATATTTAAAAATGAACGCCGGAGACAGCGAAACCGGCAATGCGCAACACGTCGGTTCTCTCTCACCCGGTCGTCGTCTCGAATAGTCATGTCTTTCAATTCCCTCGGTAATTGCTCCGCTCCACCACCTCCCCCCCTCGTAGCCCTGCTCCCTGAAGCGGCGGCAGCTCCGGCACTGCTAGATGCGCCCAGAAACACACCACCGCTAGAAGATGCCATAACGCGGATAACGCGTATCGAACAAGACTACGAGCAGCTGGCTACGCCTTATTTTTTTCTACGTTTTGGAGAGTGAAGCTTAAGAATAACGGCGTAAAGTTAAGAGACGCTCCAAACGGGACGTCGATGCAAGCCGCTGTGTCCTGTCCTTCAAACTACTTCATGCCAGCTCCAATCTTAGCAGCTCCCTAGCCATGAGGCGAAACCCTAGCCTTCTCCATCTACGACCCACAGATCCAGTCCAGTCACGCTCTGGGAAGCAACAGCACGACTCCCGTGCGATGCGGAGAATGGCTACTACTGACAACAACAGACTAGGGTTTGCAAGGCGGGAAACTCCAGGAAGAGAGGAAGGAGGGAGCGGGAGAGAGAAACAGCAGCAGACCGAAATTGGGATCCAAACAAAGTTTCAAGCGAAGAAAAATGCTCCAATTGTAGGTTGTTCCAACTTCCAACTGCTTGAGCCAGCAGCCCCGGGTCAGAATCGAAACAAAACATTCCCATGGACTGACGGGCTGAACGGATAAAAGTTGGCGACTGGGAAGAAAGCTTGGCTGGAGACTGAACTGAAACCGTTCGAGATCATGGGGACAGAAATCGCTGCTCGGGACGGAAACCGCTGGTGGGGAGGACGGAAATCGCTGGTGTGGACGGAAATCGCTGGTGGAAGCGAAAGTCGTCAAATGAGGACCACAAAATGCCACGACCATGGGTATGCTACTTGTCGCCGAAGAGGATCTCAAGGGAGGTTGGTTGGCAACAGCCGTTCGCCTGCAAGAACTCAGTTGACGGCTGGCGAACAAGCACTGACGGCCGACAAGTATTTGGAACTTCAAATTGTTACAAACACCAGCAGCACCACAATGTTGCCGCCTGACTAGCATATAATAACTCGCAGTTGATGAACATTGTTATGAGTTGTAAAAGAGAGTACGCAGGTAAACGAATAACGAGACTGTGACTGAATCAATTTTGAATACAATGAATGCACAGACTAATGTAGGGCTAGCCTAGCTAGGAGGAAACCTCGGGTGAGCGAGGTTGGGTGCAGGTTTGGCGATGGAAATGCCGAAGGCGACGCGAGGAGCTTCGGCAGCGTGGAAATCGCCCGAACGTGCGAACTCCGAAAATCGGGTTGTACGCGCAGTAGTCAACCCCGATAAGGAATTCGAGAAAATTCCTTACCCCCCCCCCCTTAAGAAAGGCGGTCAATATCCGAAACACGCTTGCGCGCCAAGTAATCACCAACAAGTGGCGAGGCGTCGAGCGAGGCGGATGGCACCCACGTGTCGTCTTCACTGGTGCGATCAGTCCAGCGGATTAGGAAATCCACGTGTCGGCCAGCTGCGTCAAGTCGAACTCGATGGGCGAGAATTTTCAATGGGTCGAGTGTCGGCTCTGGGACAGGTCGAGCTGTCGGGGCAGCTTGCTGACGTGCAATGTCGGTCGTGGCTGGCACGAACTTGCGAAGCAGGCTTACGTGGAAGGCGTCGTGAATGCGCCAGTCGTCTGGTAGCAACAGCTTCGCGGTGACAGGTGTCACCATCTTGATAATCTTGAACGGTCCGCAAAATCGGGGCCGTAGTTTCGATGGACCGGGCAGGTGCAGGTTCTTCGTGTCGAGGAGCACTAATTGCCCAGTAGTCAAGACGAGTTCCCGGCGTAGGAGGTCGGTGTATTTGCGGGAAGTAATATTCGCCTTGCGAATTGCGTCTGCTGCTTTCTCGCGTATATGCTGAAGTTCCGTCACAAAAGCTTGTGACCTCGGGACTGGGTTCTCGAGCGAAGTCGCCGTGGGGACCGTCGGATCCATCCCGTAATTTAGGAATAACGAACGGGGAGTGATTAGTCGTGCTCGACGGTGCGTTGTTGAAGGCGAATTCCAACATTGCGAGGGAATCTTCCCATCGTGCGGGGTCGGGGCGGTTTGTCTGTATCAGCTGCTCCATCGTTTGGTTGGTGCGCTCTGTTTGTCCGTCCGTCTGTGGGTGGTATGCCGATGAGAACTGTAGCTTCGTGCCGTACTGCGCCCATGTCTCCTTCCAAAACTTGGATATGAATTTCGGGTCCCGGTCGGTGATGATCGCCGAAGGGATGCCGTGTAGTCGCACGACCGTTGAGATGAAGAGGCGCGCAGTTTCTTCGGCTGTGATCGTCGTTCGGCATGGTGCGAAGTGCGCCATTTTCGTGAAGCGATCGACGACGACGAGAACAGCGTCGTTGCCGGACGGCCCAGCTGGCATCCCCGTGACGAAATCCATCGTCACCTGTTGCCACGGTCTTTCGGGTGGCAGCCCAGGTGGCAAATCGTCCGGGAAAATGTCGGGGTACTGTCGAATTAGCTCCGCTAAATCCGGAGGTACAGCTGCACACAGCTTCTCGATGTCTTTTCCGTCGGTGTCAACTGCCAACTCGCGCAAGCGGACGGCGAACAGCTGCGCACCCCTGTTGAAGTGGTGGGCGATGGTGATGGCTTTGACGCACGGGGCTTGGATGTAGTCAGGTGTCCATGCAGGCAACTTAATTAGCCCCTCGTGCTTGCTGACGCAGCACGATCCCGTTGTCCAGTCGATGACGGGGTTGTGTCGTCGCAGCCAATCACGTCCCAGCAGCACGTCGCAGTCGTCCAGCGTCGTCGTGAGAAACTTCATGCTGAAGCCGAAATCTTCGCCGCACTCGATCCGCACCGTCCGTGTTTCTTCCGTTATCGCCAGAGGCGTCCCATCCACGAGTCGTGCGTCGATTTCGGGTAGACACCTGTCAAGTTGCATGTTGCATTTTTTTGCGCTCGCCAAGTTGAAGAGGCTATGGCTGGCCCCTCCATCGACGAACATTTTCAGATGATGTTTCCCCACCTTGCCAGCGACCAGCACAGGGTGATCCACATGATTATCCCCGTTATTCGGCCGAGTGCGATCGATTGCATGAATCGGAACCACGACTCGGTGGGGATGGTGGTGTTCGGGCGACGGAGCATAGTCAGTAAAGGGCCCGTTACTTACTGACTCTTCCCATTTCCCTGCTCCTTCCTGTCGTCCCCTGTCAGCGGCATCTTCTCCTTGCATTCGTTCTTCCAGTGACCCACCTTCCCACACCGGAAACACTGACCCTTAGGAGGGCGGTCGGGTGTATGGACGGCGTTGATTGTGGCCCGATGGGTCTGGCCACGAAAACCTCTCCCATCCCTGGAAGCCGTTCTCGCGTACTGCATCAGCGCATCAGTAGACTCTACCACGCGTACTGCTTCGAGAAACGATGTCGGGCGGCTGCGACGAACCTCAAACTGTATCTCGTATTTAAGGCCGCTCACGTATTTATCCAACCGCTCAGCTTCCGACATGTCATCGACCTGGTCGGCGAGGCCCATAAATGACGCCGTGTAGTCTTGGACAGATCCCATCTGCGACCATGCACGCAGCTTCATGCGAGCTTGCTCCGAGGCGGATACGTGCTCGAAGCGATCCCGTAAGGCTGCGCCCCACTCCTTCCATGTGCGTATCTTGGTCACACCGAAGATTGGTTCTGCAACTTGATTAACCACTGTAGAGGTCCCGTCTGCCGCATGTGTCACACCTGTCGGCGTCCCTGTTTCCAAGGTCCGGCGCCACCATTCAAGTGCTGCACCTCGAAGAAGCGAGACTGCGTAATTAATGCGCGTGGCATCGTCATTAACTCCGGCTGCAGTGAAGAAAACCTCAACCCCGAACAGCCACCCTTTTACCGTAACCGCTTTATCCGTAGGATTGAACGGGGGCGGGTTGACGGGCTTGATTTTGATCGTCGTGACTGCAACTGGTGCTGCTGCCGCTCGCTGCCTATCTTCTTCTTCGAAGTCACGTGTGAGCTCGTCCAGAGGATTGCCCATCACTTGGCTGTTGCCCTCGCCTTCGTCCACAGGCGACGTCTGACGCGCTTCACCTCGCGTCCGGCGTAGCTCGGCGTTTTCCTCCTTCAGCGTTGTCACTTCCGCTTGCAGCGATTCCATACCCTTCGCCATTTCTGCCACTTGCGCCATCAGTCGGTTAACAGCCTCCTGATCCATGTGTCTAGCACTACGTCTGGTGGGCAGTTGGGTACCCGTGGCCACCCGGCAAGTGAAAACACGAACTATCGGAGTCGGGCAGGATTGAATTAACAACCTCTGCAGCCAACCGTCGTGTAGTCACTAAACCAACCACACCCTATGCCACCAAACTACCCTCGAAAAGCGGGGTGAACTAGGAAAGTAGCTCTGATACCAGGTGTTATGAGTTGTAAAAGAGAGTACGCAGGTAAACGAATAACGAGACTGTGACTGAATCAATTTTGAATACAATGAATGCACAGACTAATGTAGGGCTAGCCTAGCTAGGAGGAAACCTCGGGTGAGCGAGGTTGGGTGCAGGTTGGTGTCAGAATCCCAGCCACTAACCACTGGGATAAAAGGGCTTGTTTATGTAGCGGGTGAGTGCGCCCATAACCCCCCAGGCCAACGTGCCTGTAACCCTTCCCTAGGATCAATCGGGGATCACCAGTGGATCAATCGAGGTTTCAGTCAGCGCGAGGGAGTTGACTTCTTTCAGACCTTCGCGCCCACCCCGAAGATGACCACTCTTCGGGTGTTACTACACGTAGCAGCACAGAGAGACTACGAGTTACACTCTCTCGACTTCTCTACTGCTTTCCTTCAGGGCAGTCTTCACGAGGAGGTCTGGTTGCGTCGTCCCTCTGCCTTCACTGGCTCTTTCCCTCCTGGGACCCAGTGGAGGCTGAGGCGACCGGTTTACGGACTTCGTCAGGCTCCTCGTGAGTGGCACGACACCCTGCGTTCTACCCTGTCTGACCTTGGGTTCCAGCCGTCTTCTGCTGACCCGTCGCTGTTCGTTCGTCGTGGCCCCACACCTTTCTTTGTTCTGGTCTACGTTGACGACCTTGTTTTCGCCACCCCTGACAGGGTTGCTTTGGCACACGTGAAGTCCGAACTGCAGAAGAGACACACCTGCACTGATCTTGGTGAGCTGCGCCACTACCTTGGCCTGCAGATCACCAGGGACAGAGCTGCTCGCACCATTACACTTTCACAGTCGCACATGGTGCAGCAGGTCCTTCAGCGGTTCGGGCTTCAGCACTCCACAGTACAGCGCACACCTCTTGCTGTTGACCACAGACTCACTGGACCCTTTCCTGACGAGCCGTTCGAGCCTAGTGGTCCCTACGCTGAGCTTGTGGGTTGCCTCATGTACCTGATGACTTGTACTCGCCCGGACCTCGCCTTCCCTCTCAGCGTTCTTGCGCGCTTTGTTGCGCCAGGGAGACACCGTCCTGTTCACTGGACAGCAGCTGTGAGGGTGGCGAAGTACCTAGCGACGACGTCAGGCGTGGGGCTAGTTCTTGGAGGGCAGCAGTCTGTCGTACTTACTGGTCACTGTGACTCTTCTTACGCTGACGACGCTGAGACTCACAGGTCTACTCAGGGGTACTGTTTCAGCCTGGGTTCTGGAGCTGTTTCCTGGCGGTCCACGCGCTCCTCTTCGGTCTCGACCTCTACAGCTGAGGCTGAGATCTACGCTGGTGCCATGGCGGCACAGGAGCTGCGTTGGTTGACCTTCTTGCTCACCGACCTTGGTGAGCGGCCGAGCTCTGCACCGACCTTGTTCACTGACAACAAGGCGTCTATTCTCCTTTGTCGAGAGCCACGACTGGAGAGCAGAGTGAAGCACATTCACGTCAGGTACTTTCTTCTGCGAGAGTTGCAGAGGCGTGGACAGGCTCGCTTTGAGTTTGTGGAGTCCGAGGCCAACACTGCAGACATCTTCACCAAGGCGCTTCCGCCTTGTGACCACCAGAGGTGCTGTGTGCAGTTAGGCCTTGTTGACACTGGTTCTCGTGTTGCTTAGACTTGAGTGTACTGTTTACTTTGCTTTCTATATACCTCTGTTACTTCTTGGACTGGCCTTGTGGCCACTGTTGTTTGTGCTCAGACTGTGTGGTGACGTTGTGATCCACCCTGAGCTTCGTTTCTTGGACTGGTCTTGTGACCGTACTCGTTTGGTTCTGCTAGACACCCCTCACTTAGGCTATGGGGGTGTGTCAAATGTTGTAGCCTATAGTGAGGTTTGTCTTAGGAGGTACAAAACTTAGGGTTAGCTATATGTACCCCAACCAACATCAATGCATCATTCATTCCTCATCTTGACAGTTGGGCGATGGAAATGCCGAAGGCGACGCGAGGAGCTTCGGCAGCGTGGAAATCGCCCGAACGTGCGAACTCCGAAAATCGGGTTGTACGCGCAGTAGTCAACCCCGATAAGGAATTCGAGAAAATTCCTTACAAACATCATATAGGAAATAGGCATTCTACCTTAAATTATTATAAATGGGGGACAACTTTTCATTTTAAAAATGGATACAAAAATGGTGCATCAAACAAAATGAATGCAGAGCTGTCAAACAATATGTTCAATATATACCCTGCGTGCTGTAGTTACTGTAGTTATTATTATTAAGAGTTGGTGGTGCACCTTCTTTGTTGCTTTGCTATATGTACCTTGTGTGCTATAGTGAAACCCCTTCTTCTTTCTCGTAACTCTCTTGGCACAACTCCCTCGACACCCCTTGGCCTAGGCTCCTAAGCCTAGGCCCTCCTAAACTCATACGTCCCTATCTTGACATGGTACAGAGCTGGTTCTTTCCCGGAACCTTCTCTTTTTTTTTTAAGAATCATGGGCCCGCCCGTACTACAGCGCGAAATGCGCTATTTTTTCTCCCCGTTCGCCCGTCACGCGCGCCCTGCCCGTCCCCCCGAACGTGCCACGTCGGCTGCCTCGCGGACGCCCCGTCGGCTGCCCCGCGGACGCCCTGCCCGTCGCCCGCTGCCCCCCCGTTTCGTCGCCACGCGGCCCCCATTTCGTCGCCACGCGGCCCCCGTTTCGTCGCCCCCGTCACCCCGCAATCCGCCAGCGCGGAGGCCAGCGCCGCGGCCAGCCGCCAGCGCCAGCGCCAGCGCCTATCTTGACAAGAGCAAATATGCTGCTGCTGCAGCAAATTGGTTTATGCGATCAGGTTGCAGATTCGCGTATCCATGGATGTCCTGCAATAGGAGAGATCACAGAATAAGCGACAGGGGGTGGGGAAGGGGGGAAAGGGGGGAAGGGGGGAAGGGGTGAGGGAGGGGGTAAAAAGGGGAGAGAGAGGAAGAAAGCTAAAAAAGCAGCAAAAGGGGATTGAGGAGAGGCCGTCTTAAAAGATACCATTGTTGATACCACAAAAAGATACAACACAATGAAAACAACACTCACCAAGTATCTCCAAAGCCGTTATTCGCCGCTTCGGGTCCTTCACCAGCATCCGGCCAATCAAATCCTTGCATTCCTCCGGCACGCCGGCCCACTTGGCGCTCTTAAAGCTGGCCTCCTTCCCCCGGATCGCCTCCGCTAGCGAGCGATTGGACGACGCCCAGAAAGGGGGAACGCCACACATGGCGATGTACATGACGACCCCCGCGCTCCACACATCCACCTCAGGGCCGTACTCCCCCTGGATGAGCTCCGGTGCCATGTACTGCGGCGTGCCCATCAGCTCCTTCAGTCTCTCGCCTGGTGTGAGAGTGAGAGAGAGAGAGAGAGAGAGAGAGAGAGAGAGAGAGAGAGAGAGAGAGAGAGAGAGAGAGAGAGAGAGAGAGAGAGAGAGAGAGAGAGAGAGAGAGAGAGAGAGAGAGAGAGAGAGAGAGAGAGAAGTTGAAGGAGGAAAGGCGGCACGCCGCACATGGCAATGTACATGACGACCCCCGCGCTCCACACGTCCACCTCAGGGCCGTACTCCCCCTGGATGAGCTCCGGTGCCATGTACTGCGGCGTGCCCATCAGCTCCTTCAGTCTCTCTCCTGTTGGTGGGTGGGTGTGTGTGGTGGTGGTACAGGGGAGTTTACGGTGTGAGTGTGCGTGAAGGAGAGGGCGAGCAAGGGCACTCCACACGTCCACCTCAGGGCCGTACTCCCCCTGGATGAGCTCCGGTGCCATGTACTGCGGCGTGCCCATCAGCTCCTTCAGTCTCTCCCCTGCAGTGTTCAGTACAGGTGGGGGTGTGTGCGAAGGAGAGAAAGTGTAAGGACAGTGATTGACTGGAGTGGCCGTACTCCCCCTGGATGAGCTCCGGTGCCATGTACTGTGGCGTGCCCATCAGCTCTTTCAACCTCTCACCTGGAAGGAGAGCGAGAGATGATATAACGTGTGTGGGTGAGTGAGAGAGTGGGGGAGCAAGGGCAGTGTTTGAATGGAGGGGCCGTACTCCCCCTGGATGAGCTCCGGTGCCCATCAGCTCTTTCAATCTCTCGCCTATTATTGGTGGGTATGTGTGTGGGGATGGTATGACGGGGGTGGGTGGGTGGCTGTTTGAATTGAAAAGGAGAGCGATCATTGATGGAGAGGGAGAGCACGTGCTCCCTCTGGACGTGCTCCCTTTGGACGTGCTTGCTCCCTTTGGTGCCCATCTAGGGACACACTTATACTTAGTGCCAAACATTAGCTCATTGTTAAGCACTTATGGATGATGCACTGCAGCCAGCTCGTTCAAAATCCCAAGCCGAACGCACCTTCCTGGAAGAACGTGGCGATCCCAAAGTCCACGAGCTTTATATCGCTATCGAGGCGCCTGCTTGTAAGGAGGATGTTTTCGGGCTTGACGTCGCGGTGGACAATGCCGTGGCTGTGGCAGTGCAGCAGCACTGCCGTGATAGCTCCATGGCATGCGGCACTGTACTGTGCAGTGCGGTGGCAGTGCAGCAGTGCCGCCACCAGCTGCAAGGGTTCCCCTCAGCCCCTTCCCGCACATCCCTTTCCTCACAGCCCCGCACACACCAAACCACAAGAGACGCACCTTCCTGGAAGAAGGTCGCGATTCCAAAATCCACCAGCTTTATGTCGCTATCGAGGCGCCTGCTTGTAAGGAGGATGTTTTCGGGCTTCACATCACGATGCACGATGCCATGACGGTGGCAGTGCAGCAGCGCCGCCACCAGCTGCGCGCACAGCCTGGCGCCCGCTGCTGCGCTGTAGGGGCCGTCCTTTGCCACTCGGTCAAAGAGGTCTCCTCCTGTGCACAGCTCCATCACCATGTGCACGTGCTGATTGGGGGGAGGGGGCGGGATGGGAGGGGAGGAGAGGGGGGACATAGTTGGCGGTGGCAGTGCAGCAGCGCCGCCACCAGCTGCGCGCACAGCCTGGCACCCGCTGCCGCACTGTAGGGGCCGTCCTTGGCGACTCTGTCAAAGAGATCTCTTCCTGTACACAGCTCCTTGACCATGTGTACGTGTTGTTGTGGGGGGCCACAGGGTGCTGAGGGATGGGAAGGGTGGGGGGAGGGGAGCATAGAGGTCAAACAAGTCAAACAAGTCAAGGGGCCCCCGCTGCTACGCTGTAAGGGCCCTCCTTGGCAAATCTGTCGAACAAGAATAGGGCTGTTATCCAAACAACCTTCCTGCCCTCTTCTGTGTCATGCAACTGCAACCGAACCACGAAGGGTTGCCCCCGCACAACAAGGAAAGCCCGTTCCGTTAACAGTCTCTTCCCACACTTGTTCCAGAGCCCTTTCCCTCCCAAGCCTATCCCACCGTACCTTCCTGTCTTCTACTGTGTCGTGCAGACGAACGATGAAAGGGTGCCCCTGCAGCATGGGGATACCATTCCATTACCTCTCAGTTTACCGAACCTGTGCCCAAACGTGTCCCGAACCTGTCTCGCCGTACCTTCCTGTCTTCTACTGTATCGTGCAGCCGAACGATGTAGGGGTGACCCTGCAGCATGGAGAGAGTGGCGACTTCCTTCCTCAAGTCCTGAGCCTCCTCGTGTGACTGATAGGCACACAGAGAGGAGAAGAGAGAGGCAGAGACCGAGTCAGAAGGAAGGAACGATGTAGGGGTGACCCTGCAGCATGGAGAGAGTGGCGACTTCCTTCCTCAGATCCTGAGCCTCCTCGTGTGACTGGTGGATGGAAAAAACAACAGGGGATGGGAAAGAGAGTGAAACGGGGGTGTTGCCTTTGAGGTGCCTCAAAGTAGGCATGATTAGAGGGACGGAAGGAATGAAGGGGTGGCCCTGCAGCATGAAGAGAGTGACCACCTCTTTCCTCAGATCCTGAGCCTCCTCGTGTGACTGATGGATGGTCGGACAGACAGAGAGGCAGGGAAACAAATAAGATGATTAAGGGAGTTGTCTATGAGGCGCCTCAGAAACAGGAACGACAAGAGGGAAGGAACGAACAACACGTATGTATGTCATTCCCCTCACCCTCATCTCCGCCTTCTCATGCATTGCAATCCCCCTGCTCACCTTGATTTCGGCCTTCTTGACCGTCTTACACGCCAGCTGCATGCCGCTGCTGATCTCCAGGCACCGCCGAATCACCCCGTACTGCCCTCTGCCCAGCTTCTTATTATGCAGAATGTACCGCGCTCTCAGGTCCTCATACGGCTTCTCAAATATGAAATCCGTGGGGCGAAGGCTGGGGTAGGTGCCCCTGTGATGGTCTTTCAAGCTACTCACACCTATGGCTCGGCCCTGCAAGGGACCTATGCCCCCTCCGGACCGACAGTTAGGCCCGGCCGAAGCTGCAGCAGCAGCGGCAGCAGCAGCAGAAGCAGCAGCAGCAGCAGCTGCTGCTGAGTTCACTCCTGCCGGTTTCATACCATGCTGATCCTCCTGCTGTTGCTGCTGCTGCTGCAGGGTGTGCTGCTGCTGATGCCGGTGGTGGTGGTGCTGATGATGGTGGTGCTGGTGGGGAAACAGCTGGGCAGAGAGGCCACCAACAGAGGTCATGGAGAATCCGGGAGCGTGTGCTGTTTCCGTTCCACAGTAGTACCCCCGGTGACTGCTGCTGCTGCTGCTGCTGCTCTTGCTGTTGTTGTTGCCGGTGTTGCTGGTGTTGGCGCTGCTGCTGCTGCTGCTGCTGCTGCTGCTGCTGCTGCTGCTGCTGCTGCTGCTGCTGCTGCTGCTGGTGCTGCTGGTGCCGCTGCTGATCAGAGTCGTGTCGACTGTAGAACCCTTTCATATCGTTCTCCCCGGCGCTCCCACCCATCCTCCCCTTCCGCACCCCACCACCACCACCAGCAGCCACAGCACCCGATGCACCTGCTGCAGCAGCACCATCGGCAGCAGCAGCAGCGCCACCAGCACCACTCCCACCACCACCCTTAGCCCTAGCAGCCCTTCTTTCTGCCTGCTGCTCCAAAAGCAACCCCAACTGCTCCTTAGGAATACCTTTCAGTTGAAACCCAGCCAGCATAGCAACACCAGTACCAGACGCGGAGCCAATACTCAAATCCGCATCACTCTCATTCCTGCAGCTTCTGCTCGCAAGCACCCCACTGCCCCCTCCCCCGCCTTCCCCCCGCGCCTCCCACCCTCCCCGACCCTCGAGCACAGCCGTTTGGTGCGGTAGCGGGCCTCCGCCGAGCCTGGCTTTGCCTCGGGCGCTGACCCTGCGGTCGGAGTGGTTGACGAACCTGGCGGGCCGGTCCGGGGAGTCAAACCCTAGGTCACTGTTCACGTCACTGTACAAATCACTGTTTGTGTCGTCTTCTTGTTCATTGTCCTTGTCTTTAAACGAGCCAGTGATGGCAGGGTGGTCTTCTTTGTCTACTAGCATATTCGGGCGGATATATTCGGCACTTTGCCGCCGCGGCCGGAGACTCATGGCTGTTCTCGACTCACCACCACCAAACTCAGTGGCAGCACCAGCAGAACCAATACCTGCAGCAGCCCAAACATCCCGGCCCCCACCATTAGCACTGCAAGCCCCAGCAGCGGCAGCAGCAGCGGCAGCAGCAGCGGCAGCAGCAGCAGCAGCAGCAGCAGCACCGCCACCACCAGAAGCAGTGGTAGCACTACCAAAGGGAACAATATCAGCACCTCCCCCCCCATCCCTAACACTACCAATCCTAGCAGCAGCGGCAGCAGCAACAGCAGCAGCAGCAGCAGCGGCGGCGGCAAATTCATCAGTATCATCACCATCATCATCACCATCACCGTCACCATCAGCAGCAGCAGCAGCAGCAGCGCCAGGCCTTCTCGACCTCACATCATGCCCATCAGCAGCACATGACACACGCCTTGTACTGCGATTGGCCTGCTTCTGCTTCTGCTTAAGAGTCGTGACAAAGCCTGCCACGTCATCAGGAGAATCTTCAGGTATGCCGAGCCTGAAAGTGGCTTCCAAGCCTACCGCTGCTACTGCTTCCACCCCTGCCGCCGAACCTGCAACCGCCGAGCCTGCGGTTGCCAAGCCTGCGGTTTCCGAAACTTCTGATGCCAACACCACATGAGGCTCGGATTCCAGAGATGCAGGGTCGGCATGAGCAGCATCGGAAACAACCGCACCAGCAGCAGCAGGAGAGGCAGCAGCAGGAGCAGCAGCAGCAGCAACAGCAGCAGAAGCAGGAGCAGACTCAGCAGCAGCAGTGTGAAAGAAGGAGAGGGCAGAAGAGGGAAGAGGCGACGGCAGAGGGGAGGTTGCACTGTGGCCCCTGCTTGATCCACTACCAGTAGCACCTGCCCCACCACTGGCACCACCACCAGCAGTGCTGCTGCTGCCACCACCGATTAGAGATTTGAGGGTACCCGAAGCAGCAGAGAAGAATCTAGCAATCGGTTGGTTACCCCTCCCGCCATGCTGCTGTTGCAGCTGCTGCTGCTGCGGTTGCTGCGGTTGGTGCTGCTGAGATGGCAGAGCTGGCTGTGCCAGCTGCCCATGTGTCTGTTCGCTCTTGCCGTCTCCCTTCTCTTTCTCCCCCTCCCTCTCCTCCGGCCTCTGCTCTTGTTGCTTGTGCTCTTGTTGCTTCTGCTCTTGTTGCTTGTGGCTCTGCCTCCCTGACAGTATCTTGCTCAGGGTCGGTCGTCTTCCAGAGCGATTGGATTGCCGCTGCTGCTGCTGCTGCAACTGCCGAGCCTGCCCCTTCTTCTTCTCCTTCTCCTTCTCCCTCTCCTTTTCCTTTTCCTTCTCCTTCTCCCTCTCCTGCTGCTCCTGTTCTGCGAGTAACCTTTCCTCCTGTATCCGCAGCTCCTCTTGCTGCTGCAGCAGCAGCTGCTGCTGCCTCATCAGCTCCTCTTGCTGCTTTTGGAGTGCTGCCCGCTGCTGCTGCAACTCCTCCTGTTTCCGAACAATCTCCTGTTTCTTCTCCCTTTCCTTCTCTCTCTCCCTCTCTCTCTCCCTCTCCCCTTCCTCCTCCTCATCCGTACCTTCCTCCTCAGGCTCCATCTCTCCCGAGCCTTGCAAAGAGGCTTGGCGCTGGTTCGGCATGGACGAACCAATGGGAGAAAGCAAAACAGGAGACTCGGATAAAGATGAAGATGGTGACATCGAAGGGAGGCGAGACCTCCTTTCATCATAACCACTCGTTACACCTTTACATCCCTTCTCGTTTAAAGCACTCTCGCTAGGAGAACGTCGCATACCCAAGCCCACATTAACACCAGCATTCGTGCTTAAAGCCTCTGCACGCCGTGAGCTTTGGGACGTCGCAAAACTTAAAGCCTCTCGCCGTCGCCTCGAGCTAAGGCTCCGGTCTAGTTCCACTTGATCCCTCCTCCTTGCACTTAGTGTTCGCTCCAACCCCACCTCTCCATCCTCTCCTTCCCCTTCCCCGCTCCCTCCTCTTTCTCCGCCCCCTCCTCCTCCTCCTCCTCCTCTTACTCTTCCTTCTCCCCCCACCCCTCCATCAATTAGTGCAGTTGCAGCAGTAAGTGCTGATGCTTCCCTTCGTCTGGCACTTAGTGTCCGTTCCATTTCCGCCTGGTCACGCCTTCTAGCACTTAAACTTCTCTCTAACACCCCATCACCTTCCTCCCCTCCTCCCCTTTCCCCTTCTCCTCCTCCTACTTCCCCTATTTCCTTCTCTCCTACTGCTGACGTGGCAGTTAGCCTCCTCTCGTTTCTCCCCCTCCAACTCGCACTCCTCCCCGCCTCCCCTCCCGCACCCGCTCCGCCACGCCCCTTGGGGGAAGCCTCGGAAGAATACATAGATCCTGATAAAGCAATGCTATCTTTTTCTACAGTATAACTATTTCCTACTGTAGACACAGTGCTACCCCCAAGAGGAGACGCGGCGGGTTGAAACGCGAATTCCTGGATTCCGCGTCTCCTGTTCGGCGATTGGACAACCCCACCACCCGCTCCCCCTGCGCCTCCCCCTCCGCCTCCGCCCACCCCTCCCCCTCCGCCAGCGAAAGCCGCCATGCTTGCGCTCCAGCCACCTAACCCCAACCCTAACGACGATTCTTCCCTCCCCGCGGTAAAGCTTAAACCCAACGATAGCCCCTGTCTCCCGCCTGTTCCCGCCTTGCAAATCTCGGCAATCTGCCGTCCTCCATCATCCCCTTTTCCGCCACGTCCCCTCCCGCTTCCCCCTGCGCCGCTGTCTTCCACTTGCGCGCCTCCCGCCTCTCCCCCCTCGTTCCGCGCGACCTCATTCGCGGCGGCGCGAATCTCCGCGCTAATCGCGGGGCCAAGGGACACGTGAGAAACGAGGCGCGGGCGGGAGAGGGGGGACGAGAGGGGGGGCGAGCGCTCGCGCTCCGCGCGGAAGGGCGCGCTCGCAGCACTTGCACTTCCGAAACTGGCGCTTCCGCGCGCACCAGGCGTACGTGCGCTTGCGCCACCAGTCCTGCTCCTCGCATCCGCCCCTTCTCCACTGCCCTTGCTGCTGCCCGTGCCGCGACTACCGCCGCCACTCCCGCTAATCGCACACTTAGACGACGTGCTCTCCCTGCTCTCGCTGCCACTTCCGCCGCCGCTGCTGCCGCCGATGCTGCTGCCGCTGCTGCTGCTGCTGCCGCCGCTGCTGCCGCTGCTACCAATCGAGGTCAATTCCCGCCGACCAGTGAATTGCGCCGCTTTTAGCGGGCTGCGGTTTCGCACGCTTCCGCTGCTGGGCGATTTCGGCATGGTTAGGGTTGCTCTCGTTCTTGCGGAGATTCCGGCGGGAAAGGTGGCGCGGTCCGCGGTAGACTGCTCCTGCGCCTGCTCCTGCGCCTGCTCCTGCGCGGGTGCTTGTGCTGTCCGCCCGAAAAGCACCGCCGCAGTGTCCATAGAGTTCAGTTGCGCGCTAGCAGCGCGCCGATGACCCCGCCTATGCCCCGACGCGGCGGAACTCCCCCCTGACACGGGGGAAGTGCGAACCTCCGCCGATTCCGCTGCCTCGGGCGAACCGGCGCCTTTCCCGCGGTGCAAAACGGCGGAAAATAGCATCCCCGCTTGAGTTGGATCAAGCGCGGGGGCAGGCGGACCTGCGGATTCATCCGCGGAAGGGTTGGGGGAACCAAGGGGGAAGCGGGCAGGTCGCGGGGATTTGTGCGGGAAATATTGTGCATGGTGCGCAGCATTTGCGCCGCCGCCTCCGCCCTCGCGCAAGCGGGAAGATGCACGCGCGTCCTCCGGGGAGGCGTTGGCGAAGGGGGAAAGCGACTGACCACGCTGCTCATGCGCTTGCGCGCGTGTATTCTGCGCGCCGCTCTTTCCCTGCGCAACATACGCCGCCCAATCTCCGCTCGCCTGGCGGTTCGACAGATGCAACCTCCTCGCGCCGCCGTCGGCGGGACTACTGCCAGCGTTTGCGGCGCCGCCTTTGGTGGAGGTCTCAAAGCCGCGAGCCGAGGGTGATTCTTTCGCCGCGGCTGCAGCCGCTCTCGCCGCCGCGACATCCGCTAAGTCGATGGACGAGCGTCGACCGAGCCGCGAGACCGTCCCTCTTTCGTTGCGACCTGGCTGCCGCGGCTGCTGACTCAGCTGGTTCTGCTGCTTCCCTTCGCGCTCCCCATTCCCTTCCCCCGCCCCCTGCCACATTCTTCCCCCGGTCCCTTGCCGCGGTTTCTGTTCTTGCGCCGACGGCACCTGATAAACCCCCTGGAGTTCGGGTGGGGGGGAAAGAGACGTGCGTCGCTCGAGCCGCTGCGCTGGCGAGTGCCGAGGCTGGCTCAGCCAATCAACGTCGAAAGCGCCTGGCCTGGGATCAGCATGATCCTTCATTACTGTCACACCCTCGCTGGCGCTTGCGCTATAATCACGTCCGCGAATCTCGCCGTTGAACGCGCGGATTCCGAACCCGTTGTCTTGAGAACCGCCGTCTCGAAATCCGTCGTCAAGAAACCCGCCTTTATGAAACTCGTTATTATGAGACCCGCTACTGTGAATCCCGCCAGTATGAAACCCGCCAGCTTCCCCCCTGCGAGCTTGCGCCGTTGTGAGTTCCGGGAGGTTTCGCACGTGGCGTCTTGCCAAAAGCGACGAATGGGCTTCGGTACTGTTACTCCCGTCCATACTCGTTAGAGAGTTGCCTGTTGTTGCTGGACAACCTGCGTGTGAGCAGTTTCACTGCAGTGGCATCGGTTGTTGCTCGTCGCGACCGCGATTCCCGGACGAGGTAATGGCAAGTCGGAGCGGTTTGGCCGCCTAATCAGGCGGAAATAATCAACATAGTGTCAGAAGGTGTTGAAATGTCGCAACAATAGCGGGCCATTTGCAAAACGAACGCGTGCGGACAACGTCCTGGTCAGTAGAACGTACACCACAGCCATTAGCGGATATCGTCGCAAGGCACGAGCCAGATTAGAGAACGACCTGGCAGGAAGCCGTAGCACTAGCACGTGATGTGCTGGAGGAGGTGGTATAAGCCAGATATGATTCTCCTTGTTCATAAGGCCTGGCTGGGAAGGAATCGTGCGGGGATGGCACGCGATTCGGGAATAAGATGCGAGGGAAGGACGATAGAATGATGCTGCAGCGACAGCCATAAAAGAAGCTGGGAAGCCAGAGGCTTGGGTTCGTCGCGTAGCGAAAGCTCTTGTCGCGCAGCGAATTGCGACGAGACGTGCTTGGCGTTGAGTGTCTCTCAGGTGGTGGTAACCGGCGATCGGTTTGGCGCGAAAGGCTCACATCCTTGCTGTCCATGCGGCGGCGAGAGCTGGCGAGGATTTCGCAAAAGCTGGTGACAGTTTGAATGGCGGTGTTGACGTCTGAATTTTCGAAGCACGAACCACACCGTGCATCATGCCACATCAATCATGAGTACAGTACAAAACCAACGTCTTAGGGCGCGTGTCTTTTGGTGTAGAAGTTCAAAAAAAAGGTCGAACTTTTGCTGGTAACCATTTTCGCCAATTTCGTTAAGAGCTGTTGACGACGATCGTGTGTCCAAGCTCAAAGTTGCCGAAACAGAAGGACACTGAACTAGGGTCGACCTCGCATTCGACTATCCCCGAGCACTTTTCTCCAAATGTGTGTTCTTCTGCCCACGCACGAAGAAGCTGCGAGCTTCGCGATGGTTACGAACAACGTCGCGCCAGGTTACCAAAGCTGAAAGTGTTAGCGAACTCCACTGTATAGACAGGGTAACATACGAAAGCTGGGCGCGACTCGGGTTTTACTGTACAAATTCGACCTCTGAAAGTCGAGCATTTCTTGTGCCATGTACTCCTCGTCAAGGTGAACACGCGACTCGACAAATGAATGACGAGATAGTCGACTACTGGTCGACCTGTGTTCATTTGCAAAAATTCGACCTAAAAACATGAACTTTGGCCTAGATTTCAAAAGACACGCGCCCTTACCTTCTCACCACTTGAAAGGCCTCTTGCCCAAGATTTTGGTACACATGATGCCCACCCCCTACACGCGAATTTGCCTTGCATATTTGGAAACCCCGCAACCGTGTGTTTTTCCGTGAAGTTGCACCCACGGTTCAGTCCCCTGAGTCAATTGCTTGTGGGTTGGAATAAGACCAAGAAAGAACTTTGCACGCCAAAAAAACTCTGTTGACCCGGGAAATCCCTGTTTCTAGGCCAGAAACGGGCAGATACGACTGAAACTCGAAGGATGGCCACCCTTCGTATCTTTTGTTTTCAACATTGAGCTCGGCGCGAACGAGAAAGCCGTTAGTGCAGTGCAGAACTGTAGCAGGTCACAAGTTTGCAACCTCCCAAACGTTCGCATCAAAGCTCACCCGAAAAGATATTTACAACCGTTTACCTCCAACTCATGATGTAGTGATATAATCGTTGCCTGCCGATAATTGTGGAAGGAAGTAAATTTCACTGCATTATAGCATTCCCACAGTATTTGACACCCAGAATGGTGCGTGCCAACAAAAGATGCCCAATCCTACATTGCATATAACTGAAAAAAAAAAAAAATCAACCAGTGTATGAGAGATAAAGAACACCTACATTGCACATGTTGTCTGGGACAAAATGGCTTATGCCCCTTATGACTCGACACACGACATCCCCCCTTCTCCCCCTCCTCTCCACCCCTACCTCCCCCCTCAAAAGCTCTTACAGTATATATCCACCACTCCTCTACACTCCCTCGTTCTCCTTGTCCACCGCAACAATCCCTTCCGACCCAGGCACCTTAGCAAGTCGCTGCGGCTTCACAGGCTTGGTGGGGCTGGCAACACGGAAGGCAGCAGAGAAAACAGCAATCCTCTGGTTCACATTCCCCCTCCCGCCCGTCGCCTCCACCCCCGGCCCATTCCCTGCCGCCTTGGATCTTAAAGCAAGCCGCCCTGGACCCACCCCTTCCTCCGCACCAACCTCGTTCACAACCCGTGGAAACACCACGCCACCCCCAGCAGCCCTGTTGCTCGCCCCCATGGAACGACTCCCCTCCCCTCTCGCCGTGATCCCCTCGCCGATCTCCTTTGCAGCAAGCAGCTTCTTGCTCAGATCCTTCTCTCCCTCCAGCCTTTGAATCTCCTTCCTCAGCTCCTTCTCTCCCTGCTTCCGCCTCTCCACCTCCTTCTCTAACTGACTCACCCGGCTTGCACTCACCTTCAGCTCCTGCTCAACCCTCTCCGCAGCAGCTGCCGCACCCCTCTGCGCCTCCTCCGCTTGCCTTTCATACTCAGCAACCCTCTCTTTCAACTGCTCCACTTCAGCTTCCAGCTGCAGCACCATCTCTCCCTTCTCACCCTCCAGAACCGTTTTTGCTGCCCGGACCACCTCCAACTCCGCCTCAAGCCTCTTCAGCTGCCCGTTAGCAGCGGCCAGCTTCGCTTCTGCTTCCTGGCTTCCCCTTTCCGCCTCATCAGCCGCCCTCTTCAGCCCTGCAGCCTCCTCCAGCATACCCCTCACCTGTGCCTCAATCCCCTGCCTCGCCTGCACTGCAGCCTTCACCTCCTCCCTCGCAGCTTCCAGTTCCCCTTCGGCGTTCTTGCACTGCCGCTTCAGCAGCGCCTCTTTCGCCTCCCTCTCCTTCAACTCCCCCTCCACCTTCCTCAGCTTCCCCTCCAGTCGCTGAGCCAGAGCAGCCTTCTCTGCTGCCACCTTCTTTGCTGCTTCCTCCCTCCCCTTCATCTCCCCCACCAGCCCCTGCAGCCTCCTCACCTCCCCGTCCAATCCCTGCCGTCCACCCACAACGCCACTGCTCACTGCCTTCTCATCCCCATTCCCTGCTTCAGCCTCCCCCACGGCCACCACCATCCCCTCAGAACCAGCAATGTCCATCCCCATGTGATCCGAGTCCCCTCTCTTTCCCATATCCGCAACCATCACCTCCAGCCGTTCAATCTCCACGCTCTTCTGCTGGACAGCTGCCACCAGCCGCTGCCTGTCAGCTTCTGCCTCCAGCAACCTCTCCTCCATTCCGCCCTTCTCCTCACCAGCAGCCTGCACCTGCTTCTCCAACTCCACTACCTTCTCCAGCAGCCCATCTCGCTCGCTCACCATAGAAGCGACCTCAGATTTCATAGAATCCGTCTCACTCCCCATCTCCCTCCCCTGCACAGGCCCCGTTTCCTCCTCAACTGCCCGCTCCTGCTGCTCCAAGATCACCACCTTCTGCAGCAAGCCATCTCGCTCGCTTGTCACAGCAGACAACTCAACCCTCACAGCAGCAGCAGCCCTCCTCTCGTGCATAACCGCCGCTTCAGCAGCAGCAAGCTCCTTCTCCAGTACCACTAGCTTCAACTTTGCCTGCACGGCCTCCTCCTGAAGCGCCTTCAGCACTCCTCCCATCGCTTCAGCAGCAGCAAGCTCCTTCTCCAGCACCGCTAGCTTCACTCTCGCCTGCCCTGCCTCCTCCTCTGCCTCACCCTGCTTCTTCTCAGCCTCTCCCAGCTGCTTCTGGAGCAGGGAAACCTCCTCCTGAAGCCTTTCCATAGCCTCAGCAGCAGCCTCAGCAGCAGCAGCGTCAACAGCAGCAGCAGCAGCACCTGCTACCTGCTTCTGCTCAGCCTCGGCCAGCAGCGTTCGAAGACGAGAAACTTCAGCATCAAGCCCGCCCACTATCTCACCCATCACCTCCTGCTCAAAGCGGGACCTCAAGGCCGCAAGCTCCGCTTCCGCCGGCTCTTCTTCTGCAACCACAGCTTCCGTCGTGCCCTTCTCGCCCTGATCCGCCTCCAGGAGTTCCTCCTTCTCACCACCCAGCACTCCTGCGCCTGTCTTCTCCTCTTCCTTCTCCACCAGGTCGAAATTCAGTGCCTTGGGTGCTTCCTCCTCGTCCTCTTCCTCCTCATTCACTCCAGCCATCACCACATTGAGACTACCTTCTATTGCGAGCCGAGCAGGTGTAGCAGCAGCTGCTGCACCAGCAACAGCAGCGGCAGGAACAGCAGCACCACGAGCGGCTGAGGCAGGAGAAGCACGAGCAGCGGCCGGAGACTTGAACTCAAAAACCCCCACCACTTCACCCCCCACAATCCCTCCACCCGCATTGTCATTCGTCTCACCCTTCTCCACACCCCCGTCCCTACCCTCAGCAGCCATAGAAGCCACCCGGCTCCTAAACCTCCTCGCATACAGCCCGCTCTGTCCAGGATTCGGCGCCAAGATCAGCCCAGGCGTTCCGCTCCCCTCCTGCTCACGCTCAGACCTCACCGTTCCAACTGCGGCCACCAATCCAGACGCCAACCGCACGGGGCTCTCCTCACGCTCCTCCCCTCCGCCCTCTGCCCCACTCCCTTCGGGCCTCCGCCTCTTCCTCTCCCGCCCAAGCTCCTCCCTCAGCGCAGCCAGCTCGCACTCCATGCGCTTGATCTGCCGCGCGCGCCGCCAGCGCTTGCCTTGGGACTCCTCCAGCATGCGCCTGAGCGCGTCCAGGTCCTTCTCGCGCTCCTCCAGGGTCGCAGAGGCGCACAGCAGCTGGTGCTGCAGCAGGGAGGCTTCAGCCTTGCGGGATTCAATGGCCTGCAGAGCAGGGATTGGGAGGGGTGCGATGTGTAAAAAGGAGGGGGAATGCGTCTGTAAGCAAGGGAAGTTTGAGACGGAAGCCACGCCTGCTGGGATGTTTGTACAGGAATGAATGAAGGAATAAGATAGGAGCGGAAGGGCCCTTGATGTGAAAGCCACTGCTGGGACGATGCAGCACTCACGATACAACCAAAAGCTGCCTTTTCTTAAGACGACTCAAAAGATTAGGGCTCACCTCCTTGGCACGCTTCAGCTCCTCGCCCATGCGCTCAATGGTCCACTCAGACGCTGACAGCTGCTCCTCCTTGTCCGCCAGCTCAACAAGCTGCACATGCACAGTCAGAGGCATGCAGAAACATCGACAACAGTCATGAGATGGTGGCATCAAGAAGTTCCTCCCTCACAGGAACAAGAACATCCAAGACTTTCACACAAAAGTGGGACTACTGGAACTGCAAAAAGCAGCACTCAAATCCAGTTCTTGAATAAGCAAAACCGTGGATACCAGGTCAGGAGAAAGAGAGGGAGTGAGAGAGAGAGCCTCACGTGCTCATCAGAGCCTCACCTGTTCATCTGCGTCTTGCAGCTTGGCCTCCAGCTCCTCCATCCTCTCCTCCATCCGCGCCACCTGCTGCGCGCGCACCCCCTCCTGCTCCAGCCTCACCAGCAGCTCCCTCACCTCCTCCACCAGCGCATCCCCCACGTGCCCACTCTCCACCCCGCGCTGCACCGCGGCCATCAGCCCCTGTCGCTGCTCCTCGTTGCGCCGCCTCATTTCCCACTCCAGATCCTTCACTCGTTTTTCCAACGCCTCCACCTCCTCCTGCTTCCTCCGCGCCTCCTCCTCCATCCTCCCCTCCCGCGCTTCCATCTCGGCCACTTTACCCTCCAGCCCCGCCACCACCGACCCCATCTCCCCCTTCACATCCTCCACCTCGCTCCGCCTCCACGCTTTCTCCCTCGCCGCCTCCTCACGCCCGCTCTCCATCTCCCGCCGCAGCCCCAACACCACATCCTTGTGATCTCGCATCAGCGCCTCTTTCTCCTTTTCCATCTCTGCAACCTTCTCTTCAATCAGTTCATGCGCGGCCTTTTCCGCCTGAAGCTCCCGCTGCGCAGCCCCAGTCGCGAGCACCGCAGCTGCCAGCTCCCCGCTCAGCCTGTCCGCCTCATCCCTCGCGCGCTTCTCCTCCGCACGCGCGTTTTCCAGCGCCTCCCGCGAATCCTCCAGCTGTTCCGCCAGTTGCTCCACTTCTTGGTGCCGCCGCTCCTGCTCTGTCGACAACTCCCGCTTCAACCCCGCCACTCTTTCCTGAAGCACTTCGATCTCCTCCTCGTATCTCCCCACCAGCCGCTGCTCCTTCTCCTCTAACTCGCCCACCTTCGCTTCCGCTTCCTCCCGCCCAGCCCTCTCCTCCGCCGCCGTCCTCCCCGCCTTCTCCGCGTCCGCCTCCGCGTTGCGCAACTGCCTCTGCAGCCCTTCCGCCTCCTGCGCAATCTCCGCCAGCCGCTCCTCCGCGCGGACCACAGCCACATCCTTCTCTGCGACTACCGCGTGAACCTCGCTCAGCTCCGCGTGCATGCGGCCCTTGTCGTGCGACAGCTGCGAAACGTCGCGCAGCAGCTCGTCAATCCTCGCCTGCATCGCCTGCCGCTCATCCCCCACCGCATCCACCTCACCAGTCAGCTTATCCACCTGCGCCTGAAGCTCTGCCACCTGCGCCCCCATCTCCTCCTTCTCCCGCGCCATCTCCCGCTCCACGCTCGCAACCTCCGCCTCCGCCTCGTCCCTCCCTACCTTCTCCCTTTCCACATCCGCCTTCGCAGTAGCAATCGTCTCTCGCACTTCCTCCACCACACGCTCCAGCGCAGCAATCTTCTCCCTCCCCTCCTCCACCTCCGCGCACACCTCCGCCTTCTCCCTCACAGCATCCTCCGCCCTCGCCCTCGCCTCCTCGACTTCCCTCCTCAGCCCGTCAACCTCCTTCTCTGCAACATTCAGCTTCGCCAGAAGCCCAGGGGCCTCCCTCGCCTCGCGCTCCACGCGCCCTTCAACATCCTCCACCACCTCCCGCAGGATCCCCATCTCTTGCGCCAGTCTCTCGCATTCCGCCGACACTCTCTCGAGCTCAGTCTCCGCCTTCACCTTCGCCGCCTCCATCGTCCAGAGGTCGCTCTCTGCCTTCTTCCCAACCGCTTCAGCTGCCATCGCACGCTCCAGAAGCCCGGCGATCTCGCCCTCCTCCCCAGCGACCACCCCTTGCAGCTGCACCACGCGTTCTTCCGCCTCTCGGCACCTGCCTTCCAGCTTCGCGCGCGCACTCTCCGCAGCGTTGCTCTCCGCCAACCGCCGTTCCGCCTCCTTCGCCGCCGCAGCCTCCGCCGCTTCCGCCCTCCGCACCAACTCCGCCACCTCGCTCGCGCGCACCTCCACCTCCCGCCGCAGCACCTCGATCTCCGCGCCCGTCTTCCGCGCCTCCTCCTTGGTCGCCTCGTACGACTGGCGCAGCTGCGCGCGCGCCTCCTCCGCCTGCGCCTCCATGCGCCGCTCCGCATCCTCCAGAGCCGCGCGCACACCACCCAGCTCGTTACCCATCCTCTCTCTTTCCTCCACCACCCCCTTCAACTCTTTCTCAAGCCGTCCCACCTTCATCTCGGCCTCATGGCCCTGCTTCAACACCCGTCTGAACTCCTCCTCACCGAGCTCCACCTTCCCGATCAGCTCCGCCTTCTCTTCCTCCAACGTCTCAACAGCCTTCAGCAGTCCCGCAACCCTCTCCTCAAACTCCGCGCATTTCCTCTCCGCGGAACCAACCGCAGCCGCCACCTCCGCGTGCCTCCGTTCCTTTTCCGCGCGCAGAGCCTCCTCCGCTTCCCCGCACTTCGACTTCGCCTCCGCCAGCGCAGCAGCAGCCGCATCCAGTTCCTTCTGCAGTCCCTCCACCTCCTGCACCTTCTGCTTCCCCGCCTCCTTCGCCGTCTCGTGCAGTCTCCCCGCATCGCGCTTCATCTCCGCAAGTTCCGCCTCCAGGCGCGCAATCTTCCCCGCCAGTTCCCCCTTCTCCGCGTCTCTCTCCCTCACTGCCGCCTGCAGCTCCTCCTGCAGCTGTTCCTTCTCACGCTGCATCCCTTTCATCTTCTCCTCCAGCACATACACCGCGCGTCTCCCCTCTTCCTCCGCCATCTTCACCTTCCCTTCCGCCTCCACCGCGCGCTTCTCCGCGCTTTCCTTCCCCATGCGCGCGATCTCCGCCTGCAGCTCCAGGTCCGCGCGCTGCCCCGTCATTGCCTTGAACTCCACCTCCAGGCGCTGGTTGTCCGCCAAGCGCTGCTCCGCCAGGGAAACCCGGGCTTTAAGCTCGTCGTTCTCTTTACGCACTGCTGCCGTCTGTTGCTCCGCGCAGCCGGATCCTGCCGCCAGTTGGTTCATTTGCTCCTCCAGCTTTTCCCGCTCGCGACGCTGGTCTTGGAGTTTCGCAGTCAGGTGAGTCACCTGAGACATCACAAAACGGAGCAAGAGAGAAAAGAGAATGTTGTAGTGCAAACGGAAACGCGAATAACGTAGAAACAAGGAAACTAGTAGCGCCAACCGAAACGCGTACAACAGAGAGAAGAAGCGGAATGCTGTACCGCGAACGGCTGCGAAAATGCAAGCTCCTTTATGCCGCTAGACATCACCAACGCACAACAACCCAACCGAAGCCAGCCTTCACCCACCTGCTCTTTGAAATGAGCAGCGTTAGCCTCAGCAGTTTTGAGCATCTTGGCGTAGTCGCGCTTCTTGAACTCCGCTTCCTCCAAAGCTCTCTTCGCCTCCTCCAGCTCCACCTTCATGCCCTGCGCCTCCTTTGCCCCCTTCTCCGCGCGCTGCAGTCGCTCGATCTCTGCCGGCCCCACCCACGACCAGGCCCAACACAAGACACGCATTAGCACGGCAAAAGGGAAAGTAGAACGCGAAAGCGTCGAATCTCCTGGCTTCGGCGATGGCTGGAGCTCTGGACAATGCGAACAGATCATTATGCCTGCCGGCAGAAAATGTCTGGTATTACGGAATGACAGAAAGCGGTTTGGAACGAGGAATGGTGGACCCCTAGAGACAGGTATCCTGGAGCGAGTGGTATCCTGGGCTCACCAGAGCGCGCGTCCTTCAGCTTCTTGGATAACTCTTCGTTTCCTTTAACCTTCGTCTCGTCCTGCTTCTTCAGATCCTCCAGCTGCGAGTTCAGAGCGTAAATCCTGAAAGTCCAAAGACGCAGAAACAAAAGCACAGTCAATCAACAACAGGTGAGCCACCAAAGCATTTTGAACTCGATTCAAGATTACAAGAGCAGCGTTCCTTGCTCTCCTCGACTGCGAAGAGAAACAAAAACGTAGATAGCAAGATGCCTGAGCTTCGGAGCAAGATGCCGATTGAGGTGCGTACTGGTCTTCCAACCGGCATCGGAGCGTCGCCGCTTCTCGCTGCTTGTCCACGTGCTTCTTCAGCTCCTGAATGTAACGAGAGTGCTCGTCCTCCTTTTCCTGCACACGCGACAGCCAAACCGAAGCAGCATGAGACATAATCATCTCTGTGATGTCTCTACCTCAGTGCGTGCTGACTGTCCCGCTCCTAAACTCACATCATTCAATCCAGAGCAGCGCAAACGAGCAATAAACAAGTGCAGGTCAGTGCTACGAAAACTACTGATCGAATACATCCAGAGTTACTTCGAAAAATCATTGTATGTGTTACATGATTTCAGTACCTGCTTCACTAAAGCCAACGTTGCGTTGGCTTTCTCACTTGCCACTTCCAGCAGCCGTTGCGTCTCTTTAAGCTCGTCCTGAAGGCTCTTCACCTCTTCGTTGCGACGCTGGAGCTGAGTCATCAGACCCATCTTTTCCCGCTCGGACACCTGAAGCTCCTGAAATAGTCAAAGACAAAGAATTTGCAATGCAATTCAAATCAGAACATACAGGCTTCGATGAAGAAAACAAAATGGATTTGCGGACCTGCAGATGACCGTTATATTGACATTGGTCTTCGAAACAGACCAGCTCGTACAAGAAGCTCATACCTGCGATCGCTTTGAAGACTCGTCCTTCATGGTCTTTATCTCGTCGGCAATTTGGCTCATCTCCTGAGGAAAGATGACAAACAATAAAACAAATGAGCTAATGTTACGGGTGTTCAATGGACACAACGACGATTCTTTAGGCACGGCGTATGTAATTACCTGGCGGACAGCATCTTGATATTTCTTGAGATCCTCGAATTCCTGAAAGAAGAGGAGCAAGGAAAAAGCGCGAATGGTAACGAGTTAAGCTTTAAAAGATGACACTCCATGAAAGAGATTAAGACGCGGCTGAAACGCACGGATGAGAAAGATTGGAGACTCTCGAAAAACTGACCTCAGATTTCTTGATGCAACGCTGCTCCAGGTTCAGGATTTTATCATCTTTCACTTTAATATCCGCTTCAAGTGACTGGATAATCTGATCCGAATGCCTCTCTCGCTTCAGCTCCGGGGTCTTTCCGCCGAGCTTCCATCCCGACATCTTGGCGAAGCTCTATTTCAGAAACAGGTCCCCCAAGATATCAAGCAGCTATAAGTTCTAAAGCCTATCCTGTATCTGCATGCTCAAAGTAGCTTCCAGTTCAACGGGTAGACAATCAGAGTCAGGCAAGGGCTGCTCCGATACGTCGTACCTGGCAAATTGATGAAAACCGTGATTAATCCCTACGAAACCAGGGACAGGAGAGTCTAGGCGACGATGAAACTAGAAATCTCAACAGTAGAGCTGACGATTTACCTGCTTACAGAGTCTGGAACGTCGACGACTATTCCTGATTCCAAAATTCTTCAGTCCAGCCTGAATGTATTCTCTAGGCTGATTACAATCTTCAGGCAGGCTGATGATGAAGCTCTGTTTCCAGGGTGTGGGTTGTTCCAGGGTGTTGGTTTTTGGTTTGCTCCCTTCCCTCACTAATTCTGTTCTGTTGAACGTATGGTGCCGATTTGCATTGGAAATGTCAAGCTCTGCACATCTGACGGTTCATGACGAGCCGCCATCCTTGAATATGTTTTGAAACCCCGCGGGAATGCCGAGTCCGGGGGGTGGCAGGCTGCGGTTTGAAGTACTCTGACAGCAGGATTCTGGCGGGAAACAGCGGAAGCAGACATCGGGATTTGTTTAAATTGTTATGAAAGAGGAACACCTTGAGCATTTAACTAATAAATGATAAGAGATTACGCATATATAAGGCCTATTGCAAAACTATCGTATTCTTCGGCTGTTAGGTGCTCATGTGGTTTCCAGTTATCCAGACCCATCACACGTGATATCCATTTTTAGCACATATACCTTCTGAATCACCACTCAACAACATGAACACATATGCACGAAGTCCTGTTGCCATGTCTTGCTCATTGCTCGAAAAAAGAACTAGGTATCTGTCAAATATTATAGCCTGTAGTGGGTTGGGCTATATGGGGTACAACTAGTTAGGGTTAGGTTATGTACCCCAATTCTGTCAATGCAACACATTCCGCTCTGGTTCTCATTCTGACATGGTATCAGCAGTAGGTTAGCGCTCCTAGCCCTAGGCCCGCCCGTCCCTACCACTAGGGTTACCACTGCGCCCCGCCAGCCCGCCAGCGCCCTACCCCACGCCCCAGCCGGCGCGCCCCTCCCCTCCCCGCCCTTAGCCAGCGCGCCCGCCAGCCAGCCATCACGCCAGCCAGCCAGCGCGCCAGCCAGCCAGCGCGCCAGCCAGCCAGCGCGCCAGCCAGCCAGCGCGCCAGCCAGCCAGCGCGCCAGCCAGCCAGCGCGCCAGCCAGCCAGCGCGCCAGCCAGCCAGCGCGCCAGCCAGCCAGCGCGCCTGCCAGCCAGCGCGCTAGCCCGCCAGCCAGCCAGCGCGCCAGCGCGCCAGCCAGCCCGCGCGCCAGCCCGCTTGCACGCCAGCCCGCCAGCGCGCCCGCCAGCGGGCGCACCAGCGAGCCCGCCAGCTCGCCTGCCAGCGCGCCCGCCAGCGAGCCCGCCAGCGCGCACGCCAGCGCGCCCCGCCAGCGCGCACGCCAGCGCGCCGCGCCCGCCAGCGCGCGCCCTGCCTAGCCGCCCGCCAGCGCGCCGCGCCCGCGCGCCACGCCAGCCAGCGCGCCGCGCCGGAGCGCGCCCCGCCAGCGCGCGCCCCGCCAGCGCGCGCCCCGCCGCCCCGCGCCCAGCCAGAACGCGCCCCGCCTGCGCGCACCCGCCTCGCACTCACCTCCCTCTCCTCCTCCTCTCGCGGCTGGCGGCCGCTATCGCTTATTATCGCCCCTCATGGCGACGTCTCGCGTGCTCCGTTTCGACCCTGAGGGGCGCGCGATCGACTTTAGTACCTGGCTGACGCAGGCCCAGCGCCACCTTAGGAGCCAGCGCCAGGATGGCGTGCACCTGTTTGCGCACGCGTCCGGTGCTCTGCCCGCCCCGCCGCAGCCTACACCGCTGCCCACTACCCCACCGCCTACTTCCGAGCAGGAGGCTGAGTACCAGCGCCGGTTCCTCGCTCGTGACGTGTGGGAGTCTCGTGACGCTGCTGCCTGCCTCGCCCTGACCGACCTTCTCCCGCCGACTGAGGCCGTCCACTTCACTCAGGTCGAGTCTGCTGCAGACCTTTACACTGCTATTGTTGCTCGCTACTCCACTCCCTCCTCTGCCTCCCTCAGCCGCCTCCTCGTCCCCTTTATCTACCCTGACCTCGCCTCCTTTGAGACTGTCGCTGACCTCGCTACCCACCTGCGCTCCCTTGAAGCTCGCTTCAAGGCCGCTTGCACTGAGGAACAGCTTGCCCTTGCACCCCCCCCCATGTGGCTCACTATTCACTGGTTAGTCACTCGCCTCCCTGACCGTCTAGCCACAGCCCGCGACGCGCTTCTCCTGAAGCACCCCACTGAGCTTACTATCGATCTTCTTGAGACCGCTCTCTCGAAGATCGAGAGTAACCTCCTCGCTGTTGCCTCCGCCTCTTCCGCGCCTCCTCCTCGTCTCTTTGAGGGGTGTGCGGTACCACAGCTTCCCACCTTCACTGCCTCGCTTGCCACTGCCGCGTCTTCTGCCTCTGAGGAGACGGCGGCCGTTTCTGTCTCTGGCGGACAGAAACGTGGCAAGTCCGGCAAGAAGGGAGGGAAGGGCGGCGGGGGTTCTGGGGGTGTTGCGGGTGGCGGCGGTGGCGGTAGTACTAGTGGCGGGGGTGGCGGCGGGGGTGACTCGGGACCTGACGGCTCTCCTCTAGACGGTGGTGAGGGGTTTCCGCAGCAGCAGCAGCAGACTCCTCCGCAGCTGCCACCGCCTGGACAGCAGCAGCGGCAGGGACAGCAGCAGCAGCGCCAGGGCCAGCAGCAGCGTCCGCCTCAGCAGCAGCCCCAGCAGTGGGGCACTCAGCAGCAGTGGGGCACTCAGCAGCAGTGGGGCCCTTCGCAGCAGTGGGGCCCCCCGCAGCAGTGGAGACCTACGGGCCCCCCGAGCACTGGGCGCAGTGGTGCCCCTTCTAGTCGGGGACCCCGCTCGGCCGGCCGCGACGTTGGTCCCTGTGAGTACTGGATCCTGACGGGTCCGCGCAGGGACACGTACTGTGGCCGCCCCGACCACTCTGCTGCACGCTGCTTCAGCCGTCTCGACGACCTGTACGTCCTGCACCACGGCCCCTCCGCTCCCCCGCCACCGCGCTGGGGACCACTCCTTGCTCGTGGTGTTGCTGTGTTTGATATGTCTATGGATGATGCTAGGTCTTATGCGATGTATGCTGATGTTGACTATAGTGCTGCTGGATCTGTTTACTTGCCTGTACCTAGCGTAGGATCTTTGCCTGTTGCTAGAGTAGGTGCTGGTGTAGGATCCTGTCTAGCTACTAGTACAGGTGCTCCCTCGGCGAACGCGCCGCTCTCCTTCACACTGGACTCCGGAGCGACGCAGTGCTTCTTCCGCGACAGCACGACTCTTACTCCACTCTCGGCGCCGGTTTCTGTAGCACTGGCCGATCCCTCTTCGGGACCGGTCATTGCGACTCACGCCACTACCCTCCCGTGCCCAGCTGCCCCTTCCGGTTCTCTGACCGGCCTCCACGTTCCTACTTTCTCTAGGAACCTGGTTGGTGTGGCTCCTCTGGCGAGACAGCACGTCGGGGTCTGGTTTGAGCCTTCTGGTGACACTGCAGTCTGTGTGGACGGTGACACGTACGCCCCTCTGGCCACTTTTCGTCAGGAGCCGGGCTCTGGTCTGTACACCCTCCACACCGACACCCGTCCGGTTCCCCCGTCCCACCAGGTAGCCAGGTCCAGTCAGGTAGCTGTGCCAGGTCTAGTGGCTGCGTCGTGCTCGTGTCGGTCGCTGTCCCACCCTGTCCTCCTCTGGCACCACCGCCTTGGTCACCCGTCCCTCTCTCGTCTCCGCGCTATGTCCAGTCAGCGTCTTGTCTTAGGCCTCCCCCGCGACCTCCCGCCGCTCCCGCCGTCCCCCGCTCCTCCGTGTGGTCCTTGTGTCCAGGGTCGGCTGCGCGCCACTCCTCACTCCTCCTCCCTTCGTCCAGCCTCCGAGCCCTTTGAGACACTCCACTTAGACGTCTGGGGCCCCGCTTCCCGGCTTGGACCTGAGCGAGAGAGCTTCTTTCTAGTGGTCGTTGACGACTACTCTCGGTACACCACCGTGTTCCCTTTGGCGAAGAAGTCCGACGTGACTTCTACGCTGATCCGGTGGCTGCTCGCCACCGAGAGTACTCGTCGTCGTCGTGTCAGTTGTCTCCACTCCGACCGTGGGGGTGAGTTTCGCTCCGGCATTCTCGCCAGATTCTGTGCTGAGCAGGGCATCACCCAGTCCTGGACTCTTCCAGACTCTCCACAGCAGAATGGGGTTGCTGAGCGCCGGCTAGGCCTGGTCATGGAGATTGCCCGCACCTCCATGATCCACGCCCGCGCGCCCCATTTTCTGTGGCCCTACGCGGCTCGGTACGCCGCTCACCAGCTGAACCTCTGGCCTCGCGTCTCTCGGCCAGGGGCTTCACCGACCAGTCTTTGGACAGGGTCCCCTGGTGTTGCGTTGAGGTTTCGTGTCTGGGGCTGCTTGGCGCTTGTCCGCGACACCTCTGCGGACAAGCTCTCACCTCGCGGCGTCCCCTGTGTCTTCCTTGGTTTCCCTGAGGCCTCCTCTGACTTCACCTTTTACCACCCTCCCTCCCACCGGTTCTTTGACTCTCGTGACGTCAGTTTCGACGAGTCCGTCCCCTACTACGTCCGGTACCCCTGTCGAGGTCTCCCGGTTCCCCCCCCTCCCCTCTTCCTCGCCCCAGCTCCTCCTCCTCCCGCTCCCTCTCCTCCGGTACCCCCCCCGGTTCCTGCTCCGTCAGGTGTGTCACAGGCTACCCCCCCTCCCTCGGTACCCCCCCAGGTCTCTCCTCCTTCCCCACAGTCGTCCTCACAGCCTCCGCAGCAGCCGTCGGCGCTTCCTCTCCCGGCCACTGCGGACTCTGAGGGTGTTGGTGCTCGAGGTGAGGGCTCTGGCGGTGCCGGTTCTGGGGGTGTTGGAGTTGGAGCTGAGCGTGCACCTGCCGCAGCTGCACGTCCCGAGCGTGTTGGAGTCGGTGGTGGTGCTGGAGCTGGTCGTGTTTCTGGAGCTGGAGAGTCTTAGGCTGGTGCTGGTGCCACTGGGCGCACCACGACTGGGGGTGCGGGTTTGCCTTCCACAGGTGCTGGTCGTGCTGCAGCGGGGGGCACTCGCTCTGGGGGTGCTCAGCCGGGCGCTGTCGAGGGTGGAGCCGGTTCTTCGTCTTCCTCTCCTGACCTCACTCCTCCTCCTCACTCCTACCCGACTCGACACCAGGCCCGTCTTCGTCTTGAGCGTGAGGAGCAGCAGCGTTTGGAGCGCGAGAGGTTGGAGGTTCAGCAGCGGGTGGAGCGTGAGAGGTTGGAGTTGCAGCGGGAGCAGCAGCAGCAGCAGCAGCCGCCGCCGTCGCAGCAGCAGCAGCAGCAGCAGCAGCCGGAGCAGTCTCCGGCCCCTGTCTCCGGCCTCTCCTCCTGTGTTCGGTCCTACGTTTCCTCCTCCGGACTCAGCTCCGGCTGTGTTCCCTCGTTCTCGCTCTCCCCCCTCTCCCTCTCCACTTGCCCACACTTGGGCTCCTCGTTCTCCTCGTGCTCGTCCCTCGTCCCCCGTCACTGACCTCCGTGCCGCCTTGTTTCACCCTAGCCCTCCTCGTTCTCCTCCGTCTGTTCTCCCTCGTCCTCCGGAGTCGTCCCTCACTGCCGCCCTGTCCACTCCTGTCACTGACTACTACCGCACTTACCGTCCCACACTCTCTCGCGTTCTCGCCTCTCTCTCTTGTTCTCCTTCCTCTGTCGCAGTCCTCACTGCCGCTGTCACTGACTTTACTGCCACGCGTCGCCTTGACTACGCCACTCGTGTTGTGGCAGCTCCTCCTGTCCGTCCTCTGTCCGCCGGGGGTGTGTCTGCCCTTGGCTGTGACGCCCTAGAGGACAGACAGTTTGAGCTAGAGTTCCTGGCAGCCGCTTCGCCTCATCTCTGTGCCATGCTCCTTGCTCCTGAGGGTGACCCCGACGCTCCTGACATACCTACTCCTCGCACTTACGCTGAGGCAGTGTCAGGGCCTTGGGCCTCTCAGTGGCGAGCTGCCATGGACGCAGAGATGGCCTCCTACAGGTCCACAGGCACTTACGTTGACGACGTTCCCCCACCAGGGGCGAACATAGTCGACGGCATGTGGATCTTCAAGGTGAAGCGGCCGCCGGGATCTCCCCCAGTCTTCAAGGCACGTTACGTGGCTAGAGGGTTTAGTCAGCGCGAGGGGGTTGACTTCTTTCAGACCTTTGCGCCCACCCCGAAGATGACCACTCTTCGGGTGTTGCTTCACGTAGCGGCGCAGAGAGACTACGAGCTACACTCCCTCGACTTCTCCACAGCGTTCCTGCAGGGCCGCCTACACGAGGAGATCTGGCTGCGTCGTCCTCCGGGCTTCACTGGCACCTTCCCGCCTGGGACCCAGTGGAGCCTCAGACGACCGGTCTACGGTCTCCGCCAGGCACCCCGCGAGTGGCACGACACTCTTCGTTCTACTCTTTCCGACCTTGGTTTTCAGCCGTCCTCCGCCGACCCGTCGCTGTTTGTTCGTCGTGGGCGCACACCTTTCTTTGTTCTGGTCTACGTTGACGACTTGGTCTTCGCCACAGCCGACACTGTTGCACTGGCGGAGGTGAAGTCCGAACTGCAGAAGAGACACACCTGCACTGACCTTGGGGAACTGCGCCGCTACCTTGGCTTGCAGATCTCCAGGGACAGAGCCGCTCGCACCATCACTCTGACTCAGTCACACATGGTGCAGCAGGTCCTTCAGCGGTTCGGGCTTCAGCACTCCTCTCCCACACCCACTCCTCTTGCTGTAGACCACAGACTCACTGGGCCTTTTCCTGACGAGCCGTTCGAGCCCAGTGGTCCCTACGCAGAGCTGGTGGGCTGCCTCATGTACCTGATGACGTGCACTCGCCCGGACCTCGCCTTCCCTCTTAGCATCCTTTCTCGCTTTGTTGCGACTGGGAGACACCGTCCTGTTCACTGGACGGCGGCTAAGAGGGTGGCGAAGTACCTGGCCACGACGTCAGACATGGGGCTTGTACTTGGAGGGACTCAGCCAGTTGTTCTCACCGGTCACTGTGACTCCTCGTACGCTGACGACGCTGAGACTCAGAGGTCTACACAGGGTTACTGTTTCAGTCTGGGTTCTGGAGCTGTTTCGTGGAGGTCTACTCGGTCCTCCTCTGTTGCGACTTCTACCGCAGAGGCCGAGATCTACGCTGGAGCCCTTGCTGCACAGGAGCTGCGCTGGTTGACCTTCTTGCTCACTGACCTTGGCGAGCGGCCGAGCTCTGCACCGACCTTGTTTGCTGACAACAAGGCGATGATTCTCCTGTGTCGTGAGCCGCGACTGGAGAGCAGAGTGAAGCACATTGACGTCAGGTACTTCCTCCTTCGAGAGTTGCAGAGACGCGGACAGGCTCGTCTGGACTTTGTGGCCTCCGAGGCCAACACTGCAGACATCTTCACCAAGGCCCTCCAGCCTTGTGACCACCGCCGGTTTTGTCTGCAGTTAGGCCTCGTTGAGACTGGGTCTAGTTGACTGCTGTAGGGTGCTCTTTGTCTGTTGCTTGCTTGTACCTTATATATATTTGTTTGCACACTTTTGGACTGGCCTTGTGGCCCTTTGCTTGTGCTCAGATTAGGTGGTGACGTTGTGATCCACCCTGAGCTTTGTTTTCTTTCTCTTGCTTTTGACTGGTCTTGTGACCGTAGGTTGCTTGTTGTTGATTGGCCTTCCCCACTTAGGCTATGGGGGTGTGTCAAATATTATAGCCTGTAGTGGGTTGGGCTATATGGGGTACAACTAGTTAGGGTTAGGTTATGTACCCCAATTCTGTCAATGCAACACATTCCGCTGTAGTTCTCATTCTGACAGTATCGACAGCTGTTAAGGACACACCTGAGCATCCTACATGTAAAGAAGAAATGTGTAGTGTTTAGGGAATCATGTAAGAATGAGCTCTGGCCTGAAGACAGCAATTGCGAACTTAGCTAAACTGCTCCTTCAGCCAGTAATGTCACCATGGCTTGTGCTGCTCCATGCCCGTGATTATGCACAGATGGAATTATGATTTTCGGGTTAACAGCCTTCACACACTCTTGAAGCTCGTAAAAACTGCTGTGCTCACTGTAGGGTACTTCGTATCTGCCCAAAAAGAAAGGGTGTACAGTACAGATGCTTACAGAATCATGACTGTGGCACACCAGGAAATCATGAAAATCACCGCATATTCGTCCCATATAACTTACCCATCAAACATGGCAACCAGCAAAAATAATTTGAATCTTACCTCACGATGGTGCCTCGCTGTGTTCGCCTGATGGGTCGAGCCTTCTTACACTTGTCAAACGCCCAGCCGGATGGTGAGAATGCAATTATGGTGGAATAGCGTTGCTGGGCAGCAAAAAAAAAAAGAAAAGAAGAGGAAAGACAGATGTGAGTATGTGCATGATGGTCACAACAATCGTAGTTTACATCATGAACCAGCAACTTATCAGCAGAGTTTTTTTTGTCTATTTTAGAATATGAACAAGCACTTCATCCACACCTTTATGCCTGAGTAATTTATCCTTCTGATGACGTGCAACAAAGCTGAATAACCCTGCAGAAAGGGTGTAACAAATCGAACTTACCCTGTGGAATTTGGCAATGTGCTCAATTCTCTTGAAGCTGGAGATGGACCAGAGCGGAACGGCGTGCAGGTTCGTGGAAACTTCCTCGCCATCCCCAGCCACCCACGCCATGTCATCATGTGAAAGCTCTAGGCATGCCAGCAGGCGTCTCTTCACCGCCCCCACATACACTTTCCGCTTAAGTGCTTTCGCAGCTTCCAGAAACACTTTCTCCTTGCCTGTGGGGAACAACGTTTGGGTACAGGGATGAGTGGAAACCTGTGCTAGCCACCCCAGCTATGCCCCAAGACAATTCAGCAGGCTTCTCTTCACTGCCCCCACATACACCTTGCATTTGAGCGCTTTAGCTGCTTCTAGAAACACTTTCTCCTTGCCTGTGATGTGGGGTGCATCTACAATACAGCCGTGTCATCATGTGAGAGCCCAAGACATGCCAGCAGGCTGTCTCTTCACCGCCCCCACATGGACCTTCTCTTAAGCACCTTGGCTGCTTCTAGGAACACCTTCTCCTTGCCTGTGATGTGGGGTGCATGTGGTTTCAGGGATCCATCAAGGTATGTGGGAGCTCAAGGGATGCCAGCAGTGTCTCTTCACCTCACCCGCATACACCCTTTTCTTGAGCGCCTTAGCTGCTGCAAGACACACCTTCTCCTTGCCTGGGATGTGGGGTGGGGTGGGGGGTGGGGTGGGGTGCATGCATGTACGGCCATGTCATTATGTGATAGATAGGTCAAGGGCATGCCAGCAGGCCTCTCTTCACCGCCACCACATACACCCTCCTCTCAAGCACCCTCCACTGCTGTTGAACGTCTGCTGAGGCGCTCCAAGAAGCTTACTGAGTACAGGGAGCGCCGAGCGAGCGCACAGCAGATGACTTTTGAGGCGCCTCAAAAGTCTTACTGACTACAGGGAGCGCCGATGGTGCATAGCAGATGTACACGGAACAGGACATGGTGTAAAGCTGCTGAAATTGCTGATGAGAAGAGTGCGTTGGTGTAAACGCATGCATTGAGGTGAGATTTGAGGCGCCTCAAAACTCACCTCAATGCAGCAGCAAGGGAGTACACTGAGGGACCCACCGATGGTGTAGGTCCCGATGAGAAAGAGCGCGCTGCTCTTGAAGGCCTCTGCTTGAATGGCTTACAAAGAACAGAATGCACATGGAGCAGAGCGGCAGCAAAGGAGCACACTGCGGGACCCACCGATGGTGTATTGGCCGATGAGGAAGAGCGCGCTGCTGTTGAAGGCCTCTGCTTGAATGGCTTACAAAGAACAGAATGCACATGGAGCAGAGCGGCAGCAAAGGAGCACACTGCGGGACCCACCGATGGTGTATTGGCCGATGAGGAAGAGCGCGCTGCTGTTGAAGGCCTCTGCTTGAATGGCTTCTGAGAGCTTGCAGAGCATGCAGAGCACAGCCGCAGCAACAGCCAGAGCTGGTTTTTGAGAATTCTCAAAAACCAGAGTGGCAGCAGCAGCGAACTCACCGATGGTGTATGTGCCGATGAGGAAGAGCGCGCTGCTGTTAAAGGCCTCTGCTGACGCGCGCCAAACAGCTTTAGGGTCTAACGGGTGTGCAAAGCACAGCAGCAGTAGCAGCAAACGCACCGATGGTGTATGTGCCGATGAGGAAGAGCGCGCTGCTGTTAAAGGCCTCTGCTGACGCGCGCCAAACAGCTTTAGGGTCTAACGGGTGTGCAAAGCACAGCAGCAGTAGCAGCAAACGCACCGATTGTGTATGTGCCGATGAGGAAGAGCGCACTGGTGTTGAAGGCCTCTGCTTGAATGGCCTATAAAGAGCAGAAAGCACACTCGCACCAAGAAACAGCACACCCACCGATGGTGTATGTGCCAATGAGAAAGAGTGCGCTGCTGTTGAACGCCTCTGCTTGAATGGCCTCCACCACAAACTGCAGCGCCGCCTCCTGAGGAGGGAACTCGTACTGGCGTGGGGAAAGATCAGGAGGGAAGAGCGGAAGGGGGTGGGGGTGGTATGGAGGGTTGGATCAACTCTCACTCTCTGCTTGAATGGCTTTCACGACAAACTGCAGCGCCGCCTCTTGAGGAGGGAACTCGTACTGCATTGTGGGGTGGATGGTCGGGGGTGGAGTGGGGTGGAGGGGGGTGGAGAAGGGTATGGAGGGAAGATCCACTCGCCTCTGCTTGAATGGCCTCAACCACAAACTGCAGCGCCGTCTCCTGTGGAGGGAGGGACCTCGTACTGGCGCGGTGGGGTTGAGGGGAGGAAAAGGGAGATTCATTCACGGTAAGCATTGATTGCCTCCATCTCTCTCTGCTTGAATGGCCTCCACCACAAACTGCAGCGCTGCCTCCTGAGGAGGGAACTCATACTGGTATGGGGTTGAGGGGAGTGGAGTGGAGTGGAGAGGGGTAGAGTGTGATGGGTATTAAACCAAAGGCATTTAATCTACTCGCCTCTGCTTGAATGGCCTCCACCACAAACTGCAGCGCTGCCTCCCGAGGAGGGAACTCATACTGGTATGGGGTTGAGGGGAGTGGAGTGGAGTGGAGAGGGGTAGAGTGTGATGGGTATTAAACCAAAGGCATTTAATCTACTCGCCTCTGCTTGAATGGCCTCCACCACAAACTGCAGCGCCGCCTCCTGAGGGGGGAACTCGTACTGGCATGGTGGGTGGATAAGACCAGAGAGCAGCAGAGAGAGAGCATTTGGTGCGAATACCTGGCAAGCCAGCATACCCTCGCATGCACCTTGCACACACACTGTCACACGTGTGAATGGTGGGGAAATCACCTTGGGGTGGCAGTAGGTTGTGTCGAGGATGAGTGTGTGAATGCGCGTGGCAGTGAGGCACGGCAGAGCAGCCATGGAAGGATGCCATCTGAAGTCACCCGTATGCAGCACTGCCTGGGGTGGGATGAGGGAGGGGTGAGGGAATGAGAGGAAGAATGGTGGGCATGCGGCAGCAAGCAATGCAGCGAGGCACGGCAGAGTAGCCATGGAGGGGTGCCATCTGAAGTCACCTGTATGGAGCACTGCCTGGGGTGGGATGAGCGAGAGGGAGGGGGGAATGCAAGACAGCAGTCACAGATGAAAGAACGGGGAATGGTGGGGCTCGTGGCAGCGAGGCAGGGCAGGGCAGCCATGGAGGGGTGCTATTTGAAGTCACCCTTGTGCAGCACTGCCTGGGGTGGGATGGGATGAGGGAGGAGGGGAGGAGAGGGGGAGAAGGATCGGTGGGCATGTTGCAGTGCTACAGATGCCTGGATCGGTGGGCATGTCGCAGGCAGTGAGGCAGGGAAGGGCTGACATGGATGGATGGAAATCAAGGTAGCAATAAGGGATTGCTGCACACGGGTGAGAACTGAATTGAAAGTTGCCCGTGTTCTGAGAAATTCCTCAATGTCGCCTGTGGAAGGAGGCAAAGCAATGCCTCAATTATTCCATCCCTCAGCCCTTAGAGCAAGGCAGTCTTATAGCCCTGAAGAATTCAAGGCATCTTGTTCGTATCTTGCAATATGCACTTCACTCATTCTTCCTCACTCACCTGTCCGTTGGGAGGTTCAAACAGAATCATAACTGCCCCCGGGCAGTGATTCGCATCCATTAGTGTCACTCCCACGCCAGCGATCTCCACCCGCTCGCCCACGGGCAGCTCGCAAATTTTCTCTTCGGGCAGCCCGAGACGGAGTTTTACGAGCCGGGCAGTGACGGGGGAGCAGTAGACTGTGCCAAAGCGGAAAGATTTGGTCAGACCGTTGTAGTCTGGGGGCAGGAGGGAACATAGTTACATAATGCGGGCAGAAGGTAAAGAAAAGAGTTGGAAAGAAAGGAAGGGGACAAACTGCAAAAGGCAAAAAAAACTTCAGAGCAGGCAGAACAGCAGGCAGAAGGCAAAGGCAACAGGAGTCAAGACCTTGTGAAGACAGACAACGTTATTACGGAGGAAGGAGGAGAAAAGGAAAAGAGAGGAGGAGGCATACGGTCAGCATGGAAATGAGTGGGGAACCAGTGGCGGAAGGAGCGGGAGGTAGGACGAACGGGAAAGGGGGAAGGATGCGGGAAGGAAGCGGGAAAAGGGAAAGGGGAAGGCGGAGATGAGTGGTAAGGGGGAAGAGGAAGGTGGGGAGGAGACATACGGTCAGCATGGAAATGAGTGAGGAACCAGTGGCGGCAGGAGGGGGAGGTGCGCTTGAATGCGTCCTGTGTGATGGAGAGAATAGGGGGGGGGGGAGGGGGAACGGGGGAATGGGGAAACGGGAAACGGGGAAATGCGGAAATGGGAAAACAGGGAAAGGGGGAAGGGGGAACGGGGGGACAGGGAGAGGCACACCCGAATGCATCCTGTGCAATGCAGAGAGGCAACTGGAAGCACACCTTTCTCCATTGAGTCCCTGGAAGCACACCCACTCCCTTAGACCCACGCCCTTAGACCCACGCCCTTAGACCCACTCCCTTAGACCCACGCCCTTAGACCCACGCCCTTAGACCCACGCCCTTAGACCCACTCCCTTAGACCCACGCCCTTAGACCCACGCCCTTAGACCCACTCCCTTAGACCCACGCCCTTAGACCCACGCCCTTAGACCCACGCCCTTAGACCCACTCCCTTAGACCCACGCCCTTAGACCCACGCCCTTAGACCCACGCCCTTAGACCCACGCCCTTAGACCCACGCCCTTAGACCCACTCCCTTAGACCCACGCCCTTAGACCCACTCCCTTAGACCCACTCCCTTAGACCCACGCCCTTAGACCCACTCCCTTAGACCCACGCCCTTAGACCCACTCCCTTAGACCCACGCCCTTAGACCCACTCCCTTAGACCCACGCCCTTAGACCCACGCCCTTAGACCCACGCCCTTAGACCCACTCCCTTAGACCCACGCCCTTAGACCCACGCCCTTAGACCCACTCCCTTAGACCCACGCCCTTAGACCCACTCCCTTAGACCCACTCCCTTAGACCCACGCCCTTAGACCCACGCCCTTAGACCCACTCCCTTAGACCCACGCCCTTAGACCCACGCCCTTTGATCCACGCCCTTAGACCCACGCCCTTAGACCCACGCCCTTAGACCCACTCCCTTAGACCCACGCCCTTAGACCCACTCCCTTAGACCCACTCCCTTAGACCCACGCCCTTAGACCCACTCCCTTAGACCCACGCCCTTAGACCCACTCCCTTAGACCCACGCCCTTAGACCCACGCCCTTAGACCCACGCCCTTAGACCCACTCCCTTAGACCCACGCCCTTAGACCCACGCCCTTAGACCCACTCCCTTAGACCCACGCCCTTAGACCCACTCCCTTAGACCCACTCCCTTAGACCCACGCCCTTAGACCCACGCCCTTAGACCCACTCCCTTAGACCCACGCCCTTAGACCCACGCCCTTTGATCCACGCCCTTAGACCCACGCCCTTAGACCCACGCCCTTAGACCCACTCCCTTAGACCCACGCCCTTAGACCCACTCCCTTAGACCCACGCCCTTAGACCCACGCCCTTAGACCCACGCCCTTAGACCCACGCCCTTAGACCCACTCCCTTAGACCCACGCCCTTAGACCCGCGCCCTTAGACCCACTCCCTTAGACCCACTCCCTTAGACCCACGCCCTTAGACCCACGCCCTTAGACCCACGCCCTTAGACCCACTCCCTTAGACCCACTCCCTTAGACCCACGCCCTTAGACCCACGCCCTTAGACCCACGCCCTTAGACCCACTCCCTTAGACCCACGCCCTTAGACCCACGCCCTTAGACCCACTCCCTTAGACCCACGCCCTTAGACCCACGCCCTTAGACCCACGCCCTTAGACCCACGCCCTTAGACCCACTCCCTTAGACCCACGCCCTTAGACCCACGCCCTTAGACCCACTCCCTTAGACCCACGCCCTTAGACCCACTCCCTTAGACCCACGCCCTTAGACCCACTCCCTTAGACCCACTCCCTTAGACCCACGCCCTTAGACCCACGCCCTTAGACCCACTCCCTTAGACCCACTCCCTTAGACCCACTCCCTTAGACCCACTCCCTTAGACCCACGCCCTTAGACCCACTCCCTTAGACCCACGCCCTTAGACCCACTCCCTTAGACCCACTCCCTTAGACCCACTCCCTTAGACCCACTCCCTTAGACCCACGCCCTTAGACCCACTCCCTTAGACCCACGCCCTTAGACCCACTCCCTTAGACCCACGCCCTTAGACCCACGCCCTTAGACCCACGCCCTTAGACCCACTCCCTTAGACCCACGCCCTTAGACCCACGCCCTTAGACCCACTCCCTTAGACCCACGCCCTTAGACCCACTCCCTTAGACCCACTCCCTTAGACCCACGCCCTTAGACCCACGCCCTTAGACCCACTCCCTTAGACCCACGCCCTTAGACCCACGCCCTTAGACCCACGCCCTTAGACCCACGCCCTTAGACCCACGCCCTTAGACCCACTCCCTTAGACCCACGCCCTTAGACCCACGCCCTTAGACCCACTCCCTTAGACCCACGCCCTTAGACCCACGCCCTTAGACCCACGCCCTTAGACCCACGCCCTTAGACCCACTCCCTTAGACCCACGCCCTTAGACCCACTCCCTTAGACCCACTCCCTTAGACCCACGCCCTTAGACCCACTCCCTTAGACCCACGCCCTTAGACCCACTCCCTTAGACCCACTCCCTTAGACCCACGCCCTTAGACCCACTCCCTTAGACCCACTCCCTTAGACCCACGCCCTTAGACCCACGCCCTTAGACCCACTCCCTTAGACCCACGCCCTTAGACCCACTCCCTTAGACCCACGCCCTTAGACCCACGCCCTTAGACCCACGCCCTTAGACCCACGCCCTTAGACCCACTCCCTTAGACCCACGCCCTTAGACCCACTCCCTTAGACCCACTCCCTTAGACCCACGCCCTTAGACCCACTCCCTTAGACCCACTCCCTTAGACCCACGCCCTTAGACCCACGCCCTTAGACCCACTTACTTAGATCCACTCCCTTAGACCCACTCCCTTAGACCCACTCCCTTAGACCCACGCCCTTAGACCCACTCCCTTAGACCCACGCCCTTAGACCCACTCCCTTAGACCCACGCCCTTAGACCCACTCCCTTAGACCCACGCCCTTAGACCCACTCCCTTAGACCCACTCCCTTAGACCCACGCCCTTAGACCCACGCCCTTAGACCCACGCCCTTAGACCCACGCCTTTAGACCCAACCCCTTACACCCACTCCCTTAGACCCACGCCCTTAGACCCACGCCCTTAGACCCACGCCCTTAGACCCACTCCCTTAGACCCACGCCCTTAGACCCACGCCCTTAGACCCACGCCCTTAGACCCACGCCCTTAGACCCACGCCCTTAGACCCACGCCCTTAGACCCACTCCCTTAGACCCACGCCCTTAGACCCACTCCCTTAGACCCACGCCCTTAGACCCACGCCCTTAGACCCACTCCCTTAGACCCACGCCCTTAGACCCACGCCCTTAGACCCACGCCCTTAGACCCACGCCCTTAGACCCACTCCCTTAGACCCACTCCCTTAGACCCACTCCCTTAGACCCACGCCCTTAGACCCACGCCCTTAGACCCACGCCCTTAGACCCACGCCCTTAGACCCACTCCCTTAGACCCACTCCCTTAGACCCACGCCCTTAGACCCACGCCCTTAGACCCACGCCCTTAGACCCACGCCTTTAGACCCAACCCCTTACACCCACTCCCTTAGACCCACGCCCTTAGACCCACGCCCTTAGACCCACGCCCTTAGACCCACTCCCTTAGACCCACGCCCTTAGACCCACGCCCTTAGACCCACGCCCTTAGACCCACGCCCTTAGACCCACGCCCTTAGACCCACGCCCTTAGACCCACTCCCTTAGACCCACGCCCTTAGACCCACTCCCTTAGACCCACGCCCTTAGACCCACGCCCTTAGACCCACTCCCTTAGACCCACGCCCTTAGACCCACGCCCTTAGACCCACGCCCTTAGACCCACGCCCTTAGACCCACTCCCTTAGACCCACTCCCTTAGACCCACTCCCTTAGACCCACGCCCTTAGACCCACGCCCTTAGACCCACGCCCTTAGACCCACTCCCTTAGACCCACGCCCTTAGACCCACGCCCTTAGACCCACTCCCTTAGACCCACTCCCTTAGACCCACGCCCTTAGACCCACGCCCTTAGACCCACGCCCTTAGACCCACGCCCTTAGACCCACGCCCTTAGACCCACTCCCTTAGACCCACTCCCTTAGACCCACTCCCTTAGACCCACTCCCTTAGACCCACGCCCTTAGACCCACGCCCTTAGACCCACTCCCTTAGACCCACGCCCTTAGACCCACTCCCTTAGACCCACGCCCTTAGACCCACTCCCTTAGACCCACGCCCTTAGACCCACGCCCTTAGACCCAAGCCCTTAGACCCACTCCCTTAGACCCACGCCCTTAGACCCACTCCCTTAGACCCACGCCCTTAGACCCACTCCCTTAGACCCACTCCCTTAGACCCACTCCCTTAGACCCACGCCCTTAGACCCACGCCCTTAGACCCACGCCCTTAGA